TTTTAAGTGGGTAACATTCACACAGGAGCATTTATGTACAGAAAGTGATCAGAAATTGTACATTTATAAGCATAGCTTTGGATGAGAATAGCAAAATAAGGCCCTCTTTTGGCTAAAGCAAAGCAACACGGTAGACTTTTACAATAATGTCAACGAGAACTCATAACCATGAACTTAGACCTAACTTTGTAGATGTTAATGAACAAGTAAACTGCAGCATAAAAACAAACAAACAAACATCTTTTCTCTGTTACTCACAGGATCGTAAGCTCTGCACTTGTAGCATGCAACAAATGAATAATAACAACAGACACCTGTACAGTTCAAATGATGAGCACTGTAGAGTCTGGGAACACTGGTAAATTATAACATTTCTCCCTCCCATTCCTGTCAGTGCAGCAGGATAGCATTGAAGCACTGGCTCTCAGCATGTAAACAATTAATTTATGAATTTAAGATAAAAAGATTCAAATTATTCAAATATTCCTGATTTTTTTTTTTAGAGGGAATATTCAAACTTCGTTTTTGACATATTTTGACAGCCCCAATAAGTTAAAACTAGCTTTACTAGTAACCTGAGTTGTGTTATTGTGTTATTATTGTGTTATCATATATCAGGTTACTTTTGGATGTGTATATAGAGTAATGTGTCAAAGTCATAGACTGTATATAGAATGGACATTTTCTGCCTCCTCACTGTGAAGCCTCAGCGAGAATAGCACCCCCTGGTGACTGGCTGTAATAAATGTCATAAGTCCCACCTCCTCCAGTATAATTAATGGAGCTGTAGACAAACTTTAGAAATTAATTACACACAACATAAATTTTTCTCCCCCCTGGTTGTGATGTTGACATTTAGTTACTGTTAGACTGGTTTGTGCTCAAGTCCTCTTTTTTCTGTCCAGCTCCATTTTTAAACGTTATTAGGGGGTTCATGTTTTCTATGATTGACACTTGATACAGTCAATGGGCATGCAAAGATTGTGTAGATCATCCGGAGAATTGACCAATTGCTAAGCCCTGCCCCTTGGACACAGATGAGCCAATGGCAGTTTAGTATCAGTTGCACCGGGACCAGAACTCAGACATCTGTAGCTTTCAGCTCCATATACACTACAGGCCGAAGTTTGGAAGCAAGATCAGATTTGTACAAAAAAAGATCATAGTTTCATATATATAATTTGCAACACAATAAACATGACTATTGTGTAAAGAGTAACTTATCAGAAGACATTTTGACTATAGTTATTAGGTATTTGAGTTATTGTTGCTTAGACTTTGCTTTCTTTAAAGTAACCTCCTCTGGCTTTAACAACAGCTTGGGATATACCAGGCATTCGTTCCACAAGTTTTTTAAGGTATGTTCCAGGGATTACATTCCAAGCTTTCTTAAGTTCATTAAAAAAGAGACTGCTGATTTGTGGGATGCGTTTTTCTGACCAATCGATCCAATTCATCCCGCACAAGCTCAATTGGAGAAAGATCTGGAGACTGAGGGGGCCAAACCATCTTTTGAAGAACACCTTCCTCTTCTTTTTTGTCTAGGTAACCCTGACAGAGCTCGGCAGAGTGCTTAGGGTCATTGTCTTGCTGCAAAACAAACTTATGAGCCACAAGTCTGAGTCCAGATGGAACAGCATGGTGCTGGAGGATGGAGTGGCACTGTTTCTTCTTCATAATACCCTTTACTTCAAACAAATCTCCTACTCCATCACCTGCAAAACATTCCCATACCATGGAACTACCACCTCCATGCTGAATTGTGGCTGTAAAACATGGTGCTTTCAGACGTTCACCAGTTTGTCTGTGGACATAAACTCTGCGTTTTGAACCAAACAGTGCAAACTTGTTTCTAGTCATCATAAGTCCAATTTTTGTGAGCTTTTGCCCACTCATATCTCCTTTTCTTGTTCTGTGGATGAAGTAGTGTTTTTTTGCATATACACAACCCCTCAGACCAGCCTTTCTCAAGCATCATTTCACAGTTGTCAGAGATATGGGTTTCGACTTTGTCATGTTGATTTCCTCCCTTATTTTTGGTGCTGTCTTTTGCCGATCTCTCTTACTGCTATGTTTTCCCTCTGCTTTTGTAGTAACTCTCTTTCGTCCAGGTCTTTTTCTATCGTCATAACTTCCAGGTCCTCTAGTCTCTTGTAGTGTGTAGTAGAGTGTAGTGGACTCCTTTGTTAAACACCTTTAGGCGTTTTGCAATTTCTCTTTCTGTGTATCCTTCTTTCCTTAATGTACAAATCTGTACTTTTGTTTCTTTACTCAGATGCTTCTTTCTAGCCATTTTTGCGGTAGTTTGAACTCAGTTGAGATTTATTAGGATTTTTGTATGCAGACTCTCAAAAGCCAAAAAGTTGAAGTAAATAATCCAACTGTGATTTGTTTTTTTTTTTTGCTTTTGCACTGAAGTTGTGACTCTTGCAAATGTTTTCAACCCTAAAACTAAGCCCTTATTATCTTTTGCTGACAAATATTTAGTAATGGTCTGTTAACATCAATGTATATCTAAAGGTAAATGGAGTAAAATGGTGCATTTTCATGAAAGCAACATCTGATCATGGAGTAAATACATCCCAAAATACATAAAACTCATGCTGGATTAAAAAAAAAAAGCATTGTGAACAAAAACTTGAAGTTACTCCCAACTATTCGGCCTGTAATGGCCTTGCTTCCAAACCTTTGGCCTGTAGTGTAGAAGCGTTAGAAGTTGTGATTTTTCATTTGTTTTATTGCGTTAATTTCAATATAAAAGAAAGAAACTTGGTAATAAGGTGTGCATGGGGTAGATGTAAAACCAACACAAGGTATCCTGACAGGATGGGCAATGGAGTGTGTCTCATTCCGTTCTAAAACTAAAGAAAGACCAAAGTAAATGTCTGCTATGGATTAAGTTGTGCAGCAGACCACACAGCCAATTTAATGTCCAGAAGATCAACAAGAATGTCTACGTTTGTTCTAAAGCAATTTACACCAACAATAACTTTACCTGCAGTTATTTAATCGTCATTAGCGATGTAGTAACAAAGCTTTTGCCTCTGGTAAACTAGCTAACGCTAATGTTAGCCTATGTTAGCACACTAGCGGAGTGACTGTAACACTCAGTGCCTCTCTAAATTATTTTAAATAATTAAAGTTGAATAATTTAATTTTACCTTGCGGTACACAAACAGTGTTTGTCTTGGATTTTGTCATCTGCAATTGTGATGGCTGTGAGATAAGGCTTCTGGATCTTACCTGTGTTCTCTCCCACCACCTCTAATTTTAAATTCTGGACAAATCCCTTCATGGCATAATGAAGTCCCTTTTGAAGGCTTCTCAAAGAAATCAGGTCTTTCTGTGCCCAGACTTTGTCGAGACCCTCTTGGGGTAGCGTTTTGACACCGGCAGCGGCCATTGTAAGGCACTGCTCAGCTCTGGTTGTTTGTCCGAGTTAGCAAAAGTAACTAAGGGGGGCGGGGCTTAGGGATAGGTCAATTGGCTGAACCCTACTCCACAAATGATAGTTTCAGGAAATGGAGAAAATTCCTGTAAATACTGAGCACAATTTGGCTTCAAATTTGTACAATGTCAGGGGGCAGAATCACATTGTTCATGCTATATACAGTCTTTGGTCAAAGTATGTTCAGGAAACAAAAACAGTTCAAATGCTTTGGTGATTATTTTGGGATAAAAAACAACTGATGTTTTACCTCATGTCCGTAAAATAGTAGGTCTAACACCTCAGATTTTCCTTATGATTGAGCTGAAACCAACAATCTCCACCCTAAATTAAAAATTATGTTCAAGCTAGCCTGAAACTAACCATCGCTGATGCAACCAGGGCCGGTTTTTACTTGAAAAGTAACCACACAAAGTCAGCATTAAAAAGAGTCAGGGAGAGATGCCACTAAATACCTGAGAGAAGAAATTAAGGATTTTGATACAGAACAAAAGACAAACATGACATGAAAAGACAAGATTTATCATATAACACTATGATTTCTTAATTTGTAGGAAGGTAGGCATATAATTGGCATTTGAATGGGTCCAGTTGGCTTTTGCTACATGTTTCTGATCTTTACGCTAAGCTAGGCTAAGAGTCTGCTGACAGAAGCCTTATAGTATGACAGGCTAATGTGAAAATAAAGCTAATGTTCTCATCCAACTCCTGATAGAGAAACCAGTTAGTGCCTCTCCAGGATTGTCAGTGTGGATAATATTTAAACCCAGACCTTGGTTGACTCGTGCACATACCGTGGATATAAAAGTGCATAATATAAAGAGTGTGTGATGGCTGCATGTCTTGTGAACATTTTGTCTAATACTGGAAAAGGTTTTCTGTTGCATTGCACCCCCCCTCTAAAAATGTAGATGCTAATTTAAAGCTGATACATACTAAGATAACCCACTGATGATATGACTGTAATATAAGATGAGGGCGACTTGTTAGCACCTTTTTTATCAGTATGATAATGGTTTATGCTGTAAGAACTACAGCAGCATCTCACTGGGAAGCTTTACTCTCATTTGTGAAGCAGCAGCAGGACAGACACTGCTCTCGCCCCCGTGCTCGTCACCACTTCACAGGCTATTCAATTAGCAGAAGAAGCATGGGAGCTGGAGCCATAATGGAGCTGATGAGATGCACAAGGACAGGTGACACTAATCAGAGCGGCGCCCCATTGTCTCTGTGTGGACATCATTAAGGAAAGAGAGTGATTTCAGGCTTTTTTCCCCTCTCTGAGCCTGAACACACTCATGAAAGTGGCATGCATTAGCTACCTTACGATCAATTTGCAATATGTGAGAATATATTTGCTGAATTAAGTGAGAGTGTTTGATATAGGGGAAAATATGAATACTTGACACCTTGAAAATGGGTTTTAAAGTGCAAGATCTCATAAATGCCACGCTGATAAACTGATGTGATATCTTGAACGGCTGTTAGAAACCTTTAATACCCAAAGGATTTACTCTCACCCCAAGTTCTGGAGACTCTTTCTGTCAGTGATTCAGGAAGAGCTTAGACATCCGCTTTTCAACACACCCACTTTTCTTTCGTCTACTTCAGAGAACGAAGGTGCAGATGAAGCGAGGCATGCGGTCGTTGAAGCGGCTTCAGGGCGATCCCAACGGCCTGGACCTGATTCGGCCTCCTCTGAGCCTCTTGGCCGGACTGTGAAGGAGACCTGCTTAGCCTGCTGGTACCGGCTGCCAAGGTAGCTGGACAGACACCTGAGAAGACCACAGAGGGACAACGTTAGGTCTGAGAGCCTTAATCCACATTGTTCTGCTATTAAAGTCCAATTAGCTTTGTTCACACCTCAGCTCCTCCCAGTGAACTTTGTTGGTATAATAGCAGGATAATAATCCCCTTACTGTGTCACTCCCTGAGACTTCAGATTAGTTGAAAGCATTGGGAAAGGGGCTGCTGCTAAAACTTCAGACCTTGGTTTTGAAATGGAGATAATTTCAGGATTTTACAGCTTACAACTACATTACTCTCTTAGTGTAAAGGAGGAAGTTGTTTTCATCTTAAAAGCTCCAAAAAACAACTTTTTGCCAAATTCTTTGTTGCTACGATAAAGTGAGTTCCTTGAATTGGGGTTTAAAACTCAGTCTGGCTCTGGGTCCACAACTTGTGCTGTCACCTTAGAGAGGACCACTTCAAAGCCCTGTATTAATTATCAATATACAAAAAAAGCCTTTAATATCAGTCAATAGCTATTAGTTATTTATGGCATTTGGCACTAAAATGATATCGCTGTGTTCTCTTATATCTTTGTAGTCAACACTTCAAAATTTTTAAGCGTCCCACTCTTTCTGACTGTAAACAAAGCCATTTCCCGCCTCCTCAACCTGATTGGTTGTGAGGCAGACGCTGCTTCCTCATGTTATGAGGCAAACTATACAAATAACAATCAAGAGCCCAAACAAAAGTTAATGAGCTACAATATTGGACAGTAGAAACCAACCAGAAAGTATGGAAAATTGTCTGAATTCTCCTTTGGCCATGACTGCCAACACAAGTAAGAAAACAAAGTGTATACCGGGGACTCTGGCAGAATAATGGGTGCTTAAAATGGAGGTAGACCGGACAAGAGGTAAAAAACTGGGTCAACATAAAACGATTGGGATGTTACAGACCCTGTAACCTTTCTGCAGGTCCTGGAGTATGTCACTTTATGCTAGTTTTAGAATCATCTAAAGTGTTTATCTGCATCATATCTGAATTTAATGGAAACGATACGAGCGAGCAGGAGCGTCTGTTTGTAGGCGGGGCTTGCTGGAGCAGAGAGATAGGGGAGAGGAGCTGAGGGGAAAACTGGTTGGGAGGGCTAGTGTTTACATTCAAGATTCCTCTCAAAAACTGGCACTTCCTCAGATCCTGACTACCCTACCTTTAGCTTATACATAAAATTTTGTATTTTTTGCTATATTTCTAGGGAATTAAGGTTTTTATCTTAAAATTACATGGCATGACTGAGTAGTTTAATGAGGATAAAATATTTTTAAACATACCGTAGGCCATATCACACTATACTTTTCTTTCTTTTTCTTTCTTTCTTTCTTCCTTTCTTTCTTTCTTTATTTATCCATTTTTAATTGGATTGACTTTCACACATTGCCAAGACCAGGACATTGTTTGACTTTAACGAAACACTTTGTGGTGCCTGAACTATACTTTATATTGCTGTTACATTGCTCATTTGCTAAGAACTGTTGTGGTGAGTTTTTTTATTTCTCTCTGGCAAAATAAACTTAGAAAACATCAAATGTCAGCTGAAAGAGGGAACATCAGAGGGTAGAAAGCCACATTTAAGGGCAGGGCTGTGTTTCCATTCATGTAGGATGATCAATGTTTTTTTTTTTTTTTGTTTAGTTTAGTTTTTTTTTACCATAGCACAAAGACTCAAGTCAAACAGATCAAGAACAAAAAACCAATAGGTTACACTGACCAGATTCAGAAGATTGAACATAATTTGCCTCACAGAGTACATACAGAGGACGATCAAATTAAATAAGTTGACATTAAGCAGAAGGTCTATGTTTAATGCACTTTGTATATAAAAATATATGCGCTAATGTATATTAAATGTACATGACTGTACTCCAGGAGACAGGTTCTGTACATTATACTACTGTCTGGTCAACAATAAACTGTTTGCCATTCTCTGGGTGATATAAGGAACAAGTGCATGGAGTTTATCTGAAAAATGATGCATTTATATGAACCTCAAAAAGTCCCAATGAACAATATCTTATTCTGTCAGGGGTATGACAAAAAAAAAAAAAGCATAAATTTTGGTAGAAGAACGTGACATTTTTAAAGTAAAAAAAAATCAACGTAAACAGTTAAAAATGAAGCATTAATCAACAAGCCAAGCTCAAAAATCACACAGTTGAGGTTTTCAAGAGTCCACCCTTTTTTTCAGAGTGAGTACCCAAATAGGTCAGAATACAGGACTATGGTTAAATTTTAAGCAGTTGCACCTTTATCTTCCTCTTCACAGCCATAGTGCTACAGTGCTCGACTAGCCGGATGTAAACAAGCACAGGCGATCTCACACAGAGTGACCCTCCTTGAACGACTAAGAAAAAGATACCAGAGACATTTGAAATCCTTCACTTAGACACAGTCTCTGTCAGCCCTGGAGGGACAAATCCACAGTTATATAGCAGAGACCCATGGCCTCACATTAGGTCATGATCAAACCCATTCCTTTATTTCACCAAAAGCCATTTTCCCATGGTATTATTTGATTAAACACAAACACATGCATTATTCTCTATTTATGCAACAACTAACTGAGGGCAGAGGCCCTCCCACTGTGAGGTGATGCATAATATGTCACTGTAATTATGCAGCTTAGTTTTGTGGCTGTAATGGTATAATATTACAATTTCAAATATCTGTAGATACTGAAGCTGAGGATCCTGAATGAGGATCCTGAATCCTGAATGAATCAAGGAGATTGTCAGATTTTCAAATATGCTACATGGAAACCAGTTAGAGCAAAAACAATGAAAAAAGAATTCAAATTACAAGTATGCTTCGAACCATGAGTCTTGTACTAAATGGTTCTGTATGGTTTTCAGAATTAGGGCATCCCTAGTACTCATTTTTGTAAACCTTTTTAGGAATTGTGGTATAAAGTAGAGCCATATTTCCAGTCTTTGTTTTCTTGAACATGTGATGTGAAGGGTTTGGATAAATCTCAGTCACATAAAGGATGTGTGTTTATATACAAGGCAGGCATTTCCTTTGTCATTTGGAGTTCCAGCTCTTTATTTTTGTCTTATGAAGTCTTTCCTTTTTTACAATCCGTCTAAGTGCTATCACACAGGAAAGTATAGTGTATATTAGAGTTGTTGGGAACAAGGTGTTATCACGTCATTCTCCATGTTGGTGCGTGCTAACTATCACAGCAGTTATTCGCCATCATGTTCTTCATGTGACTGATGGAGCTAATCATGACAGCTTGGCTCTGAGGTACTTGACCAGTCTTTTACCATATAATTTCCTACAATCAGCAGCCAATTAATATCAAGACATACATCTTTGAACACTGCCTTGCAACCTGACAGAGGACCTGAGGAATTAAGACTGTTGCTCATTACTTCAAACAGTAACAGTTAGCGCTTTATTCTAATCTAGCAGTTCAAACCCCCTCAGAATTGTGTTGTACATAGAAATACACTGGACATGAAACAGGAAAGAAACCCCCCTCCCTGCAGACTGACTGAACGCAGAACTTCAGTCCACATAGTAATTGGCCTCAGAGGCAAATCAATGCCTCAGATCAGAATTGAAGCATTCTGCTTGTTTACAACATCTATCATTTGCTCCTTATCAACTGTGATCAGAGCAATTTTCCCTCCCTTAATATAGGTTTGATGGGACAAAGAAAAGCTCAATTCGTAGAGAATTGGAAAACACATTTCTCGTGCTTCGTGGTAACTAAACTGTCAGCAGATAAGAGAGTCCATAGTATCAACTCCGGGGTAATTCATCTCACAATGGTGCTGTTGTGTTTTCCTTCGGAGCAGCTTGGAAATATGCTTTGAGGCCTTTGCTTTAAATGTCATAGCAAATGCTTCATCCCGATGCTCAAGCAGAGGAAAATATAAAGCAGAACTAACTATGTGTATACTTTGAACAATGTCCTCTCTCTTTCTCTAAATTTGGTCAACTTATGTATCCATGTTACATCAAAAACAGCACATTAGTCGCCTTGTGTACACTTATATCTGCAAAAGGGCGATGAGCTATTCGTCCTCGGGCAGCTCTGCAAACTGCTGCAGACAGTAGCGTGAGGTGAGAGAGCAGTGTAGGCCACTTTGTATCATGTCAGCTCTTGCGGTTAGACGCCATCTCCACAGTGTCCCCTGTCACCAATCACATCCTTTTAAACCACCCAGGGAGCTCGATACCCCCCCACACACACATACACACACACATACGCACACACACTCCCTTATCTGTCAATGCTGCTTAAATAATGTAATTAATGACTTAATTAACATTTCCATAATCTATTTTCATAAATCTAACACGGCATAATTAGAGTTTCTAACCTCCAGGCAGTGGCATATAAAAATTCACAGAGCAGAGCTGCATGGTCAGGCCACTGTCTCAGCGCCCCGACTCTCGCCCTGACAGTGAAGGAAGGAGAGGGCGCATATTGTGTGACAGTGCTCTGAAAGGCAGCTCGAGCCTGACAAATGTCATGTGACTTTGTGAATGTGTCCAATAACAGACCTGCAGCACGAGGACGGGGGCGAAAAAACAGATTATTTTGGAGATTTGAAATGTCAAAAGGAAGTGAGGGGGGAAAGATGACGATCAGAACGAGAGGGATTACTTTAAAAGAAGTTTGTAAGAAGATTGCAAAGAAGAACAAATGATACAGTGTAAGATGGGAAGACAATTCAGCGGGTCATTTGTTATATTAGCACCTGAAGCCACTAGCTTCCTCCTTTTCTGTCCTGCCTCTACTGTTGTATGAAAGGTTGGTAGCAAGGCAACTTTCTTTTCCTTAAAGAGAGGGAAATATCTTTTTTTTTTCAGACTCTACACTTCCTCTCTGATACCTTAATAGCTTTACATGATTTTCAGATCAGGAAAATACCCTCCTGTTTCTCACTTTGGTATATTAAAATAGCAGTATTTCAGCCTCTATCATTTTTACTATTGTCTGTTTGCTGCTGTGACAGCAACTTTAAGCTCCTGTGACACTCTGGCTGATCTTATTCCAGTTTTTTTATTTTTTATTTCTATTTTTTTTAGGAACAGCTTATTCTGCATTCTTTTACCAATATAATGAATCAGTGATTTTTTATTTTTTGTTAAGAAAGGATAAAAAGACTGTGACACAGCAACAGTGGTTAAAAGACATTCAAATGTATACAAAAATTGTATACGTCATATTGAGGCTTCTGAATTTAATTTAATTTGTTTCATATCCAATTTTAAGCTCCTTACTTGAGCTCTAAGCAGCAAGAATGAAGTTGAAGTGACACCTTCTTAAATCTGCTTTCTGCCAGATGGACCAGAATTACTCAATTTAGCAAATTACTAACATTTTTTAATCAAAGGTGGGGTAGGCAGGATCTGAGGAAGTTTTTGGGAGAAATCTTGAATGTTAACACTAGCCCTCCCAACCAGTTTTCCCCTCGGCTCCTCCTCTCCCCTTTCTCTCTTCTCCAGAAAGCCCCGCCCACAAACAGATGCTCTTGCTCGCTCGTATCGCTCCAATTAAATTCAGATATAATGCAGAAAAATACTTCTGATAATTACAAATGGAGTCCAGTCAACATGAAAGTAAACAGCATTGGTGCTACTGTAGACACCAACAGACTACCAACAAACACAATGTTTGCTGGAGTTCTACAACTAGGATAAAGTGGCACACTCCAGGACTGGAGGTAAACAGTTTGGCGGCACTTCAACACGCAGCAGGTCCCGTTTGACAAGTTACACTTCTGTTACAGACACTTGGCTTGCTTTGTTAAACTGGTTTACCTGTCCAGCAGAAAGGTTACAGGGTCTGTAAGATCCCAAAGCGTCCCCCATCATTGTTGACCCTGCTTTTTTAGCTCTTGTCTGTGTGGTCTACCTTCTTTGTAAGCGCCCATTATTCCGCCAGAGTCTCCGGTAATTACTTCATTTTCTTGCCTGTGTCGATGGTCGTGTCTAAAGGTGGATTCAGACAATTTTCTGTACTTTCTGGTTGGTTTCTACTGTCCGATATTGTAGCATGCTAACTTTATTTGGGCTCCTGAACAACGGGAGCAGTGTCTGCCTCACAACCAATCAGCACTAGGGAGCAGCGTCTGCCTCACGACCAATCAGGTTGGGGGAGGCAGAGAATGTCTTTGTTTACAGTCAGAAATAGCGGAGCGCTTTCAAATTTTAAAATGTTGACTACAAAGACATAACAAAACACAGCGATATCGTGAAAAATACAAAATGTCATCAATGGCTAATAGCTATTGACTGATATTGAAAGCTTTTTTGTATACACACCACAAAAAAAGATGCTTCTTTAACAGATTCCTCCCTACCCCGCCTTTAACATAGTCACAAAATGGCAGCCATATATTGTGTAAAAGCTATTGTACTGCCACTCACCACTAGATTAGTTTTAGTGCAAGGCTTATTCTCAGTATCTGTGATGTGATGGTAATACTTTACTCCCCAGATGTAAAGAGGTACGGATGACAGATGGCTTCTTGTTCTATGTAAGAAAATATTGTAGAGTGTATTTGGTTGAAAATAAAACATACCTGACGAGAGCAGCACTGACAAGACTGTCTACCCACGTGTTTAGTCGTGTTTAAACACAGTTTGACTGCCTTCTGACGGTTCTTTTACTTTAATACTAGTTAGAAATCGATCTTCCATTTGAATTACCAATGAGTTGGTCACCTTTGGACAAACCTTGTTCATCAAGTTTGATAAGAGGCCAAATATTTGTTAGACTATAACCGGTTCGAGCACTGCACTCAGGGAAATATAAGCCATTCTTTTGCTATTGATTCAATTGATTCCCTTCATTCAACCAGTTAACTAGAAGCCCCTGTAAGGAACTTTATGTGTGTGTTGATTCTGGTGCCCTCTGTGGTCAAAGTGGAATTTTTTTTTAAATCTCTTTGCTAAATTCGTCCTGTACATGTATAAGAAGATTTTCATGTCAAATAAATCTCAGCCTGCTTAACTATCAGTTTTTGTTCAATAAGCCACAACACTGACTCTGCTGTGCCTTTCAATCTCCGCATCTGAAATTTAGCTTTTGACAGCCGTCACATGCATCAAAAATGATTACATGAGAATATCAAGTCTTGGGGCTGGAGGTCTTGTGGGTCACATGAAAGCAACAATGTCAATTTCAGTCTGTTTTGTAACCAGTAAACATCTCCTCACAGGAACTTTAAGTATGACTGATTATATTTCAGAAAATGGATGCTAGCCGACTTCCTAACTAAAGTATTGTCCCTTGCCCTCAAATTTTGCACTCAGTTGCTAACATGGTGGTGTTTTTTCTATGAGAACATAGACAAGGGTCATCTTTTAAAAATGTTTTGTCATTTACTAAGGCAGATGAAGCTGTGGGTTAAAGCAAACATAACTCAAAGAGAGACCAATAGGGGATTTGATAGGGGGCTACCTTTAGCTGCAGATCAATCATGAGAAAGTGTTCCCTCACAGAAATGAAGAAATGTGTCAGCCTGTGAAACAAAGTGACTCATTGGTGAGTTTTCTGACAACAGTGGAGCTTCACAGCACTGAAGAATGATGCAGTTTAGCCCATAAAGACAACAATTAGCTGCAGGTGTTTTCATGGGACTGGTTTACAAAAAGAAAAATGTAGATTATTGGTAACTTCGCCCTTAAGAGGAAGAGAAGAGAAGATAAAAGCATGCCACTAATTAAATACATGAACATAACTTCTCATTATGCTGAAAAAATTCTTTCTCAGCCAACACTTTTCATCAGAACTATAAAAACAAAACTTTTTAATTGCTTTGTTGCAAACCAAACTTGCGTTTGAAGAGTCGTCGCCATGGTAACTGACTACAGGTAACAGAGACGGGTAGCAAAATGCTTCAGCCCCCCTGCCAATAAACTGGCATTATTACATGTTGCCATTTTAAGAGCTGTTGCAAATGAATATGTGAGTACACAACATGCATCCAATACAGTAACAGCTCCTTCTGAACTTCTGATTACTGAAACACTCATTTATCTTTGTCTTATCCCTGCTGCAAACACAACAAGGCTGTGTGGTGAGCAGGAGACTTGGGGCTCGCTCTTTATATGGACACCCTCCCTCAGGCTGAAGGGTGACCGAGATGCACCCTGACAGAGGGCAGCAGGAGGCTGGCACATCCCAGGCAGCACAAGCACCATGGGGCACGGGTCCGCAAGGCCCAACAATGCTAATAAGGGCACCCACCAACATCACTGTTGAACCAGCAATAATGGAAACATCAGTGAGAAAACCTGGTTGCGGCTGTGCGACACCTTCAATGTTATAGACTGTGTTCAACTTTTAAACTGTGGGAAACTTACAGCATAACAATAACAACAGCCCAACTGCAAAAGCTCAGTCCTCAGTTGCACTCGGAGATGAATAAATGAATATGGAATCCAAGAAAGGGTTATGCAACTAGCCAAAAGAGGTGTTAACATAAATCAGTTCAACACATTTGCTGTATATCCAAACATTAAAATTTGTAAGGTCAGGAACCAAAACAGAAACAGAAAGGAGATCATGAAAGAAGACAGAAGCTTTACTTTATTACTCTCACACATACAATATTATGCCCTCAAGCCTGCACCAACTTACATGACACCATGAATCTATACAGTCTCATTGTGTCAGACCAACAGAGGAAAATTAAAACATAAACACCAATTTAACAGACTGTCATGACTGTATTTTGGGCTTCTAAGATAACAATAGTTCCCTTAAATATGCCAAACTTTACCAGGAAATCCAGCTTTGGCTCACCTACTTAAATTTTTTTGAGTTTTGATAAATGATTGTGAGTAACAGTAGCTCTATCCGATCATCGGGGTTTGTGAAATAGAAAAAGAAAAAAGAGGATTCATTTACATTAAAATTAAATTAAATTCATTTTAAAACAAGAGGATTCATTTAATTCACATAACTCACAAAGTCTGTTTCCCTTGAAGATATTTTTGAATTGACCTACCTCAGTGGCAAGAAAATGACATCAGGTCTGGACAGTGAGAGAAATGTTCTTATAAAATGATAAATGTAACATATTAGACTCACCTATTTTAATACTTAGAGTGAAACAACAACAAATTAAGTACATATTTAAACAAATAAAGCCCAACATGGCCAGAATATTAAATCTGACCATTGTTGGAAAGTAGAATTTGCTAATCCTCTGTTGCATCTCATAATAAGCAACTTTGTGTAAGTAAGGTAAAAAGAAAGGTAAACATGACGCCCCCCTAAAGGGTAAGTCAAGCTACAGTGATGAGTCAGTCAGGCAATTTAACTGTAAGACTGTGCTTGACCCAGCTTGAACTCTGGAGCATGTGCAGAACACTGGCAAGTTTCAGTCTGATGGAATCTGTCTGATTTTCTGTTAGCATACTAAATAAGCAGGCCAAGCAAAGAGGATATTTAACAGTGGATCCAGTCCTATGCACCTCTAAGTTGCTGCACACTGCAAGGTAACTAAAACCGTAAGGAGTAGTGAAAATAGCGATAACATTTGAAAATTCGACTTAGTCTCTGGTCTATGAAGAAACGAGGACCAAAGTTAACAGGAACAGAATGGCAAAGACCCATTTCCTGTGTATAAAGGGGAAATAAGCTGGCTTATTTCTCTTGTAAATGGCCCAACCCCATCATGACATTGGGTTGCTTTGTGGTAAACACTAAAAAATACACTGTTTATTATTCAGTTTTGATAACACTGAGCAAATATTTTTGACTTATTTTTCTTTTTAGTCATTAGTATTACTGGTTATTTAATATATAAAATAAAGCAGAGTTCTTATGGAGATATTAATTTAATTTAACTGCAATTTATTATTACAAAATAGCTGTCTTGGTTTATTTTTCTAGCATGCACGGACTGTGTCTGTTCCATATAACACAGAGCCCATAATCTAAGTGTTGTTAGCGTTCTTTTTTTATGACTTGTATTTTGACGACTCAAAGCAACATAAATACAGAACAATGCGTTATGTTGAAAGCATATTTACAAAGTGTTGGTGCTTTAACCATATAACTGTTAGCATGACAACATATATGAACCTCTCTGAGCTCATAACGATGAACAAATACCTGCAGCCAAAATCTGCCAAGAATGCAGCTCGTGTGAAGCAGCTGAATGTGTTGTAAACAAACCAATTTCCTGTCATAAAATTACAGCTCATTACTAGCGTGGAGAAGGGCTTCAACAACATAATGATGCAGAAGCACATTACCAGTGCAACCATATTTATTAATTACCAGTTCACTAGCCGCATTCCTTGCAAAGGCAGTTAATGGGGGAAAAAGTTACGAGCCTTGTTTAGTTAATTACAAACAGCCTCTCTTATTTGACTTTAGACAAACACTGGAGGAAAGGCGCATGTAGAACACAAAGTTTTAATTTTGCTACTGGCACGGAAAGCTGTTTGGAGTGATTGGAGGCTTACATCACTGCTACTTCTACAATATTTTATAATGAGTTTTATAGGGCAAGAGTGTTTGTCCAAATCCCTGCATTTTGTTCATTAAAGTCACTTTCACTGTGTTTTATTTAGAGTCTGAGGGATCTTTTTTCCACAAAACTGCAGATTTGAGTTACTACTTAAGGCAATTACAGATTACATAACCTGTATTAGTAATCTGATTACAGTATCAGCCATATGTTGCTTTTTAATCACTGAGTAGATATTGTTTATGCCAGCCATCCAATGCATTATTTACAAGCTAGATGTTGATAAAAACAGACTGTTCATTTACTAATGGTTTACAGTACCGCAGGCATCATTCCAATTAGCAATATCAAAATGGGAAATAAGACTAAGTGAAAACAAGAGAGGTGGAGGGGTGGCTGGGGGTCAGGGGCATGTTTTTAAAGATGATTATTTTGATGACACTCCTTGTTTTTGAAACGCACATAAAAAAAAAAATAGAGTAAGTGTTCAGCTAACAAGACAAGATCTATCTTATTTTAATCATTAATCTTCCCTTTGTGTTGGCAATGTTAGATGAAGTTCAAACCAAGGATGCTTCCAAACTATACTGTTGGGACTGTTAAAAAAAGGTCAAAAAAACTAAATGAAAATGCTCACTTGATCAGTAGGATCTCTGTCAGCAGACCAAATGAAGCTGCTGCTACTTTAAAGGTGATGGGAGGAGGAGGGTTGGTGAAGGCAGTCATCATGCGGTAAACAACATAAGGCACCAGACCCAGCAAAGCTAACGCGGTGATGAGCACAAGCCACGTCTGCCACTGGGAGCTCACCAACCACCATGGGGAGATCCTCTGGAGTTGGTACTAGAAGAAGGGAGAAAGACAGCAAGTCAAGTAAACTGTTTAATAAAAGATCTACAGAAGATCTACAGTGATTCAAAGTACAATAAATGTTTAGTGGAGTTCTCAGGTGTGCTCAGTGAGTGAAGAAACATTCAGAGCCCCCCCTGCTGACTGGCTGCAGTATCATTTATAAATCCAATCAGATGTTCCTCAACTGTGCAGAAGAGTGGGACAACTGACATGGGAAAGTGTCAACGCCTGGGAGAATGAGGGGTAGCATTTGACATTTGATGTCAAGTAAAAAAAAACAAAAAATAAAAACAAGACACATGTGAACCATTGGAGCCACTTTAGCCAGTACAATCACAACCGACTTAAAGCCAGTGTTCATTACATCTTGTATTTGCAACAAGTGCACTGCAGGTACAAACCCTCAACTGTCTCCATCTTTTATTCTCAATTTTATTGAGTTTTTCTCCTGGTGTATGTCAGTGACACAGACACAACCAGCTGTTGGGGTGACATCGGTTTATATTTATTGTCTGCCAGTTTTTGCTGCTATTGCTGCTAATAGCTCATTGTCAGAGCCTTGACTAAGAGAGTGTTGAAGACTACATTTAGTGGGAGGTTCCACAGTTTTGATCAACCCTAAATCATCAAAGACTGAGAGGCAGGTCAGGGCACAGAGAACTGTCCGTCCAGCATGTCCATTCAGGCACCTTTAGGCACTGTTGTAAAAGTGCAGTTCGAACTTTTAATGTGTTTTAATCTATTCATTTAAGTCTGGAAAAACGGACACAGCCATGGTGGCCAAAGAAAAAGAGTTTTTACTCTCTACTTGCAGTGAGAATCATTCAACGTTACCACTTTAATCTGAGTGTAATGACCCTAGATCAGACAGGACAGCAGAGCAGCACAGTGGAAGAGTCTGGGCTAAATGGTCAAACTAAGGTGAGGAATCTGGATATATCCCAAGTTAAATTGTTAATACAGTAAAATGTTGTTTTATAGATTCAAACCTTTATTGTAACCTGAATGCAATAACAGTTACAAACAGTAAACAAACTCCTATGGCTAAAATACATTCAACCTGTTCTGTTCCTCCAGACCTTTACCCCAACCCTGGCTTCATTCTTCAAACTGTAAAAAAAACACTTTGACTACACAACAGAATAAAACAATATATAATTCTCACACAGGCACCTACATAAAAACACTTAACCGGCATGCAATGCCAGCATGCAAACACAAGCCTTAAATCCTCGCCAAATATTGCCTTGCTCTGGAGACAAACCAAACCACTTGAACAGCGTTTGATTAGTGTCTGGAATTCATCTGCAAATGCACACTTGCCTTGTCCTCTTTCATGGCTGCTATTCATTAATTACATTCTTTGTGCAACTGAGCTATCCTCCATGTTTAAGGTCACATCAGGCCCCAGTAAGTGGCTGCCTGATAACAGAATGCATCCATCTTCATTACTCAGGCCTTTCTGTCTGGGCTTGCTCTTCTGCAAGTGAGCTATGTCAGGAGGTTCTAAGGAACTGATACATTTCATTGCATTCAGATCCTGAACTTTTGCCTCCTTTGATTTGAGCCGCTCTGATTAAATTACTGGGTTGTGGTTTACACTCATATGAGGTTCTTTTGTGGTGATTTTTCCCTCTTAAGGCAGAACAGAGCTGCTGCTGCTGCTGCTGCTGCCAGCAGCAAAACTGAACACCTCTCTTTTTGTTTGCAGATTAGATAGTCTGTTTATGAATGCATAGCGAAGAATGTTGGGTGAATGTTACAGCAGAGTAATTTGTAAATCCTGAGTTAATGTCACGTTTCATTCTGTCCTACTTGATAAATTGGGTTGGAACGTAGACGGTGTATAAGTAGGTGATAACAACCGTCTACAATACATATATCTAGACTACATTTTAAGCCTCAAGTTCCACAGACTACTTTGCCCATGGCCATTTTGAGCGGTTAGAGCCAGAGGAGGATGTATCTGAATGAGAGAGTGGTTGGATGGCGATAGTTTTCAATCAAGAGTAGCTACCCTAAAGCTTTTTTGCTTTACTGTCTATTTGAAATGGGATGGCAGCTTGCTGAATTAACATCACTGAGGCACACTTGAAACTGGTGATTGAGACCAAAAACTCATTAGGAACAGTATTAGCATCTGAGAAGTGGCCTCATTTTCTAGCAGACTTGAATACAATCAGATTTTATTTTTGAGAAAACAGCTTGCTGTGTAATTGAGTCAAAACAGCTGAATTCAAATCCCATTTTAACTTTCTGAACACAGGGCTGATACCAAAATTTAAGAGAGGCACAATTGTGAATTTGTGCCGGTGTTATATGTTGATATTTTCAAACTAATTTAGGCCTATACCGATACTAGATTTGTCCACTAACAGAATTTGCACATCATTAATTACCTTTTTTGCTGAAGTATATCTGCAGAAATTTTCCTATCTACTGATACCAAAATCAATACCATGCCAAAATACTGTTTGCCCAACAAAACTTTCAAACCTCCACAGGTCCATTAGGATCCTGAGATTCCTGTTCAGCTGCAAGAAAGATCAAACATACAACTCATGGACGCTCAATACTGACAAAGGTTTTGTTTTTGACACACAACCTGAACACAGTATGAGTACAAGAAAGACTCTCAACACAAAGGGACCCATTTGAAATACCCTTACAGTAACTAAAAACATGAAGAGGAGGTTTCCAAAACAAGGGTAGATTTGTTTTGTATATGACACATCGGTTTTTACTTATTATCCAGAAGACACGTGGTAATGTCTCTGTCTGTTGGGAGTTTGCCCTCCATCTATATTTTAGGAGGATATTGTGTTTGGGTCGTTCTTGTGAGTCACTCTTCGTACAGTGGGGTGAAACACACAGCCAACAGCACTCGGCTATCGCAGGGTGGGTCCTGACTACTGCAGGAGCAGAGGTTTCTATGATCATTATATCGAGGGAAGTGGTGGGGAAATCTTCAAAGCTTCTTTTGCAGTTTTATGACAACACTTTGTTGCACTGAATTTGTTAGGTTACTCTACTCCTCATAAACCAAAACTAAAAACTACTTTTGCCTGAAGACTGATAAAAACATGGACAGTCTTAGAGACATCCCTCACTCATTGGTTTCTCTAGCAGTTTTGAGGCCTTAAGACAGTGGTTGCTATGTTGAAATACTTACTCAACACCACTTTTGATTGACCTGGCAGAAAGGCAAAGAGGCAGAGCTGATGAAGACTATAAACCTCCTTGGCAACTGCTGCAATGTGGCCATGTTTAAGTCAAGTAAGCTCCATCCTTGATCACGCAAAACTTGCAACTTTACAATCTTAAAAGAAGTCAGAATAATTCACGTCTATTTGTACGGTTTGATTACATTTTTTCCTTTGAACCAGGCTTCAAACGTGTATTCAAGTGGACACTCAAGGTACTACAGCAGTTTAGCACATCCAATCCTATCAAATTTGACACAAACAGGACCGCAGTAGAAACAGGAAGACATAAACAGTTCAATAGCAACATTAAAAGCCCAAATCTAAGGGGCCAAAGACTAAAAGTGCATTTTCAAGTTTGATTTAAAAACAGGCAGTCAGTGGGACAGTCAGACATGAGGAGGAAGAGTATTCAGGAGCCTCTAAAGGCACTGCCACTGACAAAAGCTTGGTCACTCCTGAGCTTGAGTTTGGGATGGTCATAAGACTAGTTGGAGGATCTGAAAGACAGAGATAATAATGGACTTTTAAAGGGTCATTAAAATAAGAGATTTTAAGATCTATGAATTTATACAACATTTTTAAAATCAATCCTAAAATGCATGGGAAGCAAGTGTAGAGAGGCTAAAATGGAGAAAAGGTGGTCATATTTACATTGGCTGGTTATGAGACGAGCTGCAGCGTTTTGAACAAACTGTAAACGCATCAGAGAGGTTTGGTTGGCACCAAAATGAAGTGCATTACAATAATTAAGATGAGCTTGCAGACCCCAAATCACTAAAGGTTAAAAAAAAAGCTTGATCTCGGTTAAAAGACGAAGATGATAAAAAGTGGCTTGAAAAGTTGCATTTATCCGTTGTCCCATTTTAAAATCTCACACATCAGCGTTAACCTCTTTTTATCTCTGGAGTTTGCAGCTTCTCTTTCCTTTGTTTTGCATGGTGGTCATTTGGGATGAAGGCAATTAAACTGAAAGTTTATTCAGTAGTTTTTGTAAAAGAAAGTTAAGACATTCGGACAAACAAACACACTTTTTTCAGCCTGCTAATGGATATAAAGAGACTTAGGGGCCTTTCTCACCTCCACTTAGAAGGTCCAGATCAGGGACCAAGTGTTTACATTGTTGCATTTTGCATTTGGTCTGGTTAGCGCTCACAGGGGACTTTTGCTAAGCGAACCAAAAGGTTAAAAAAAGTGGGAACATTATGAGGGAAAATCACTGTCTGTCACCTGCTAATTTGGGGCACAATCTTCATTGTCCCACAACGGCACAGAGAGTAGCCGACCAGAGAGAACAATGGGCGTCTTTTCCTCACGTAATTCACCAGAGGTGGCGAGACAGTGTGCGAGGAGATGCCGGGCATTAATGCAAAGGAATGCCTATAACACATTATCAGCGTGTTTGTTGAATAGAAGAAAATCCAGGTATTTAATATTTATCACCTGACTATTGTATTCGAACACAAACTCTCTGCCATTCATCCAGTTTTACGGACAGTCCAGTGTTTTAACCGGCTGTTCTCCATCTGGCATAATTTCCCGGCTGTATTACAGTGTAAATATGTTATCTGTTTATACTGACATTTAAAAAGTCTGTCTGCATCAGCACTGTATTTACACCCGCTGCCAACTGGACCATGGTTCATTTGGAAGGGGACCAAGTTCGGCATATTCAAGAGGACCATGGTCCATATTCAAGAAGTCCATGGTCCGTTTGTTTGACCCAGACCACAGTTTGCTTGCACGTTCGTACCACCTGGACCAAAGGAGTAAGGGAACCATGGTACTTTTAAAACGAACCAAACAGTCCTGATGTGAATGCGCCCTCAAATACCAAGGCAGCAGCAGAGCAAATACTGTATTTTTTCCACAGTTTTTCTTTGTAGTATAGAAATGAAGGCTTACAGTACAAGCTATTAAAATTGTGCTCATTACTGTGGTCAGTCATAAAGGTTTGAGAGACTAAAAGTGATTGAACACATTTGGTGGCCGCCCTGAAAAGGCTCATTTGGATAAAGCTGTGAGTGTCCCATCCATCAGTGGGATTTACGCTTTTGATTTTGGTATCAAGGCCAAACCAGTTTGAATTGGGTTAAAAGCAGTTTGATTGTATTTCTTGAGCCAGTTCCTGTGAAAGAGCCGATTAAAGTAGCCATAAGGAAACCATCCCATCTATCATGTATTAATGGAGCTCTGCATGGAATACAAGCAGGTTTTTAGTATTTTGGAGGCAAGCTGTTTAGAGCAAAGGGACTCATAGTAGTCCATCTATACCTTGAAAGGAACATGATTAAAGACACACTACATAAGGACATGTATCACAGGCCTGGCAGACCTATCTGCCCCTTTTTGGTCTCAACAGAAATTACATTTCCTCTGCACCTAATCTTAAAGTCAAATAACACTTGGCAATCCAAACACTCGACCGGGAAGCAAGCTATAACTTATAAAGTCAGCACAAAATACATTAACCACTGGTTAAAAATCACAGTGTGTTAATTACATCCTGATGTTTTATGACTATGACCTTTAAACACAAAACCAATCAATCAATACAGGAGGGGGAGCAGCCTATTGGGAATATTTAGATCCACAGATTCTGAAAGTAGGGCACTATTTATCCAAACACAATCATTATTAATAGCTGGACAGTCAACCCAAATACATTTTCTACATATTTTCCACATTACCCCCCTCTTTCTCCAGAGGTATGGTCCAGCATGGAGATAATTCATTAAGCAGGACTGACATAGTCGTGCAGCAAAGAGGACAAAGGCACAAAACAATATCGCTTAAAGTCATGGTCAGTATTGTTTGACCTGCTGTCACTCCGACAGTCCCTGTGATACATCATCTAACACTCACACTTAAGTTTCTGTGCTATTTTTTCTGATTTAATATACAGGGTGGAAAGAACTGCAACAGAAATCAGGAAATTAACTATTTGATCTTCTTCAGTGAGGATTGCAACACAAGTCATGTTTGTTTGCTTGGACACTGTGTGGAATGTTCATGACAATATTTCAAGGTTTCCAAATCATTTCAACACTTTATTTGATAAAAAATAAGGACACCATATCAAATGTTGGGACTGAAAGTTTGTTTGATGAAAAATACATAAATTCTTTTTCATTCTTTGCTAGCAACATATGTTTACCATTGGGTTGCAACATCTCTTCACTCTGTAGACATTTGGAAACCAAACTGGTTTGCTATATATTCAGCATTATTATGGTGCTTTCCCAAAAGTGTCAGTCATACATGTCACAGGGACTTGGGCATCCAACACAGACGCTGGCTTTAAAACTGCATGTGTTAATAGTTGTTCCTCTCCACTGTAGAGCAGAAGTAAAGGTGTCCAGAATTTCAAAAAGAAAGTCAAATTTTGATTAATCAGATTAAAGGATCCTTTTTACTGTCCCCCAGTCTGCTCTGTCTAGACTGAAGTATAGGGAATTCACTAGAAGTTCTACATAATGTTTCTACATGGTTTCCTCTTTGCATTGTGTAGTTTTAATCTGCATGTTGATTTTCATGTAGTGCTGCCTTAAAAACCACAGATTACACCCACCCAGTATTAGTTTTAGGCCTTGTCCTTTTCTTGAAGAGACTTCTCCGGATTCCCTGAGTCTTTTATTGGATTTATGTACTGTTGACAATTCTATACTAAGTGAAATTATTGAACAACATCACAGTTTCTCACAGAGTGGTAGACCTCTGAGAAAACGTACACTGACTTTGCATGCTTACTGTACATTTGTTTAGTGTAACTTTGATAATGTGTGAGGTTGTAAGCTTTTCAATAGTAATGCATTTGGAACTTAAGTACTTTATCTTCAAGCTGGCAAACATTTCTTATTGTATTCTTTACATTTTGACAACTGCAAGACCCCCAGGATTTGGCAGGCCGGCCTTTCTGAGTCACAATTGTTCAGCTGTTATTAGACAACCGTTGCTTTCTGAAAAGTATTAGCTAATGGCTAATTCCACCTTCAGATGTCAACTTCACAAAACATCTGCACACTGAAAATGTTATTAATTTAGTGAATTATGTTGTGCATGGTTGAGAAGTTTGCACCAATCACTGCATATGCCTTAAGCTAAACAAGCAACCATAGACATGTTTCATAAGCCCAAACTGCAACTGAAATAATAATAATTGGAAAAAAAAAAGAAAACAAAAAGACATTTAAATTTGTTTTCCTCAACTCTGTACTTAGCAACATGTCACTGGTTGATATCAGCAAATCAACAAACTTTAGTTAGATGTTCTACTCTCAGTTGCAGCCCAAATTAACTGTGTAAAGTGGAAATGCCAAGCAGCCCCTGAGACAGCCTCCTGTGTACATGCTGCTTGTTTGCTAACAACAGGGATGAAGTTCTACTTAGCAGGACCAGACCTGAAAGTCTATTAACTTATTGAGATTAAAAGCCTGATGCCTTCCCTCCCACCCGACCCTCTGTGGCCCCTTCCCCCTGGCCCAGCATCACACCTCCAAAGGAGAAAGGTGATTGATGAGAGCCATCAGGCAGCTTGGAATCTCTTGTCTCATTAGACTTCTTATGCATCTAAGCTGTTTTCACACACACTGGGAGAGCGAGGCGGGGGGAAGGGAGTTAGGAGGTGTGCTTCCTCTGACTTTTTAGAAGATAAGTACTCTACTAAAATATTTACCTTGTACATTAATCTCTTGGAAATTAATTTGCCATAATACTTTCTCCCTGGGACGAGGAGGAGGCCTTTTTATACAGGAGAAGTGTGGTTCCCACTCCCTACTTCTCCTGCCCAGTGAGCTCCCTCTCTTTGATTTACTCATGGGACTGCTTTGAAATTAATGTTCCAGGGGGAGTAGTGTTTGGACGGTCAGGGTGGATCTCATCATCGACCACTGAGGCTGTTGTGATGAGGGTTAGGCAGGAGTGAAAGGAAAGGAAAGCACAGAATCTTTCATATGCATTTCCCTGCAGCAGACAAGCACAATCACATTAATGCAAGTGCTGCACATTATTATGTACTAATTGCCTATGTATAGTATCATTACTATAATGTGCTGTTGATTGTAATGCTGCAAACCAAGAGGGGTCCATTCTGTTGGGATAAATAACCCCATTGCAATGAAGACAATGAAACCAAGATAAATAATCAGAATCAATGCTCTCCATGAGACCATTTAGTTTGTGCTGCAGCTCATTGTGCTCACTTTTTTTAAGTTTATTTGGAGTACTTTTGAAGAAACAGAGCCATTAAACTGTGCAATGGAAGAATAAACACATAGAAACCCACAAATTCTACAGAGGCGTTGTGTGTGTGTGTGTGTGTGTGTGTGGGGGGGGGGGGGGGGGGTTTGCATTTTTCAATACCTGCAAATGAATGATGTCTGAGCTTACAGAATCAGCTACTGAGTCCTGTGGCTCCTGATGTATCATTGTATTATGACTGGAGTTATGGATGTAGATCAAATCACTGGTGCACATAGATCAATGGTCTAAGGTTTTGTATAAAACTGAATTATGAACCAAAAAGGTATTTAAAAAATCTGATCGCCAGTAGTTTGCTGGTTTGTCTGAACATGCCAAAATGATCTAAATGTAGGCCACATTTCACGTAAGCAGTATGTAGTTTATGTTGCAAAATACTGGCTTTTAAAGAAAGGATATCAACCTACACCATGAGTTAAACCAAACCACTGATAGTTTTTGTGTTGCTAAAACCCTCAACTTTTGCTGCTGCAGGACAGCCTTTCTTGACTTTCACTCAAAGCACTCGTGGTAAGTGGACCTAAATTTTGTTACCAGTCCAGTCCATTAGGTGGCACATGACCAGGTTGTGATGTGTTCAGGATCAGGTCGGTACAATGATCATTAGATACAGTGAGTCTCTTTGCTGTTACACTTAAGTGTGAAGTGTGTGACTGTGCAAAGCTCATAACAATCCTTGTTCATTTTCTGAAGTACAGCACCAATTTGACAGTCTTGGGATTAATCAGGGACCTCTACTTTTTAGATAGGAAAGCTTGTGAGAGACAGTTAATCTGTGGATGGGGATGGGTAAGAATGACAGGAGCAAAATCATGGCAGGACCTTGAATTGATCCCTTGACCAGTGCCAAGAGGACCACAAATAAATGGGAGTGTGCTCAGACCACTTGGCCGATGGCAACCTCAATTTACCAATGCTGAGCATGTTCTTGAGTACGTTCAAAGCAGTTTTCACTATCTCATAAGCAGTATTGGGCAAGTTACTTTAAATTAGTAACTTAGTGACAGTTACTAGTTACTTCTTTCAAAGTAACGCAGTTACTTTAAGTTACTTGTTACTTTCAAGATAACTAGTTACTCTAAATTCTCTTATTACTGCATTGTGCTGGCACATTACCATCTTTTCCTCACACAGGTATTTAGCTAACCAGTTCTCTGAAAGCAGGGTACTCAACCGTTGAGATAGGTTGCATGTCTTCAGCAAAATACCTGGCAATCAGTCTGTTTAGCTGCGTCTGGGTTATAGACTGTACAACAGGCTTTGTAAAATCAAGCTTTCGTTGTTTGGCTGGAGTGGCTCCTCCTTTAGCGTCGGTGGGGCTAACATTAACAGCATCAACTTTGTAACCATCAGGGTCTTTTTCAACTAGCTTGGTAGATGCATGTTGTTTCTAAAGAAGTGTCATCAGATTAGGATTGCTCGTCTTTGACGTGGAACCTCCACATAGATAACAGGTCACCACAATACCCCTCCCCTTGTCTTTACTGTCAGAAAGGAAAAATAATGTGTATATTTCCACGAGAGAAATCCCACGCCTGGACTGTCATCGACTGCTGCCATTGTTGTTATCATTCATTCACTTGCATGTCGCTGCGCCACACGTGCTTCACGTCCATCAAGGAAACTGTAGTCCTGAGTTATGCACATGAAGTAACAAGCCTGTTTAAATTGGAGTAATGATAAGCACATTACAGATTTTGACAAAGTAATTAGTTACAGTAATCATTATGGTAAAAATAATGTAGTTACTGTAACACGCTACTTAATAATATGTTAGTCCCAACACTGCTCATGAGTGAACAAAGGACATCTTCTGTCAAGGGCAGGGGCAGCCCTACGCCATACAAGGTAATTCACTCTATGTACTGCAAGAGTCAACAGTAGGAGTAAAGAAATAGCAGTCGAAGATGTTGTTTCTCAATAACAGTACTCTGTAATTGTTTTCACCAAGTGGTGAGCACAGAGACTTTTTATTCGTCATTTATCTGTAGCTGTGGTCTTCTGGCATTGTATTATGCTCATATCCATCATCAACTAATTTGACACTTTCATTTAAGTAGTGTGGAAAACATTTCATGCTTATTTTTGGTTTTCCAGCAGAAAAATCTAAGTTTGAACAATAAAAACTGGAAGTCGGCATCTGTTTCCCTCCTTTTAAATATAAATAAGAATTTTGATCGTTGTGTCCCCCCCTGTCATCAATGCAAACAGCATTTTTTGTCTGAGTGAGAATGCTAATCCTGACTGGCAAAACAACTAAAACTTGGCAAATGGTCATTCATGGCTGTGTTTGTCCTTGTGAGGTGTTCAAGAGGATGTGCACAAGTGTGTATGTGTGAGTGTGTGTGATTGGGGGAGACAGAGAATGCATTGTGTGAAAGAGTTTGTGTGTCAGCGGGAGAAAAAGCGAGGGTTTGCCTGTGAAGGGTGGGGTTTTGGTCATCTGCCATCGGATAAGATATCCTGACAAGGCAATCAGAGAGAAACAAATTCTGCAGCCACATGGGTTCAACTCTGTCGTTCCTCACCCTGATGAGCTTTTGAAAAATGGAGTGTGGTTGAAATTGGTTTTGTATGAGAGGCTTCAGATCTGTCTCTCGTCAGGATTATTGCCACCTGTCTTCATTGGCTGCAAAGGTCTGTTAATTAATCTGCCTCTCTTTCTTAGTGGCCGAAGAGGACAGAGTGAACAGGTCTTTTTTTCTTCTCCCATTGGAAAAAGGTGTGTCAGATGTAACATTTCAAAGAAATACATGTCCAATTTGGAAGAGGACAGCTATGATGTAAAGCAACATTCCTAATCAGTATCATTAAAATACTACATCATGCCCTTCCTTTTAATTTTATGAGTGAAGATATTTAATTGGATATTTAATATAATTTAGTTAATGAAAGTGCTGGGAAATTTTGTTTGATGGACAGTGATATCTCATGTGATCAATGAAGCTGCAAATAGAGCTCTCCAGAGATCTTTTCCTGACTGATCACGTCTGTCTCCAACAGTGAAACTGCTTAGTACAGGATATTAATAAATAAATTGTGAAAATTACTATTTGCTAATGTAGAAATATATATGCAGCATGTCTGCTCTATAGGAAGGTGATCCCTGATTAAATATGTCAGCTGATATCAGTAAATGTAAGTGGAAGCCTGCAGTTAAGAGCAGCAGCATGTGATCCAGCATTGATTAATTGGACACGGATAGATTAATATGCCACTGGATACCCATGCCAAGCTCATCAGAGTAAAAGTGTTATTACACAACCATCAGCTGTGATGCTGTAAATGAGCAGGAGTGCGTGCAGGGATTTACTTGGCCTGAATACTGCAAGATCGGAGGCTGGAAAAAAAAAAAAAAGGAACAGCTCAGTGGACTTTCTTTTGTTGAAAGAGGCCCAATCACAATCCCACAGGAACCTGTCATTGGCATCTTCCCTGCAAAGTGTCAAAGTGATCAAGTGTGAGCTGGGATTGTCTGCTGCAGAGTGTCTGCACCTGTGCATTCCTCTAAGTGTTGAGATGTTGAAGTGGAGTTTGAACTTGGCCCGCTGTTTGCTGTCCAGGCGTACCCAGACTTGCCTGGCTGAGAGGAGCCTGTATTGTACACACACTCCTGTCACTCTCCACCGTTCCTTTGGAATGTAAACCACCAGTGTCACAACAGCCTGATGTAGTGCGACCAAACGTTTCTGTTGTAGTGCAGGTGCAGTTTGAGGTGCAGCACTTGTTTTTTTTGTTTTTTTTAAACCAAGTTTTAACATGCAACTGACTGGAATAAACTACACTTACTTGGACTTAACAGCTTGAACAATGATGTATTGTTCTTCTCTCAAAGTTTGAACAAAGAAAATCATCAGATAATGTTCATTAGACGTTTCCCCTCTGAAAGCATGCCACGGTATCCTTAATCAACAACACTTCACATATGTTTGATTAAAGTAAAAAAGGGCTGTTGTTCCTCCAAGGACATCTCTTCATGTGAGAAGGAATAGATGCTTACAGTAAATGCAGAACAGTGTTGTTGCCGCCCACAGGTATAATCAACCAGAAAATTAATAATCATTCTGCAGGACTACAATAAATCATTATGCTTTGGACAATTAATAATGGAGGCGAGGCTTGGGATGTCTGATTACAATAGTTATGATGCATATCATCAAGATTTAAGTTTAACATTTCACAGTAGAATTTCAGACACCAGTGCACATTACTGATGTTTAAATTTGGTATGAGGGCGGGTTGCCGGGGTTGAGAGATGAAGCGTACCCCTGTCTACAAATTTAAAGCAAACTGCTATAACAAAAATTAGAGAGCAGTACTTTGGGGACAGTAAATTTACATTTTCTGAGGAGAAACGGCAGGCTTAGCTTGTTATGACATGGAAAAAAAGTGTCTTGTGGTGTGTTTTATCAAGAACATTTTGTAAACCCAGTATGTTCAGGGATCAAACTAGCTGAAGATATCGACTTGAACACAACCTTTTATGTCAAATACAGATTTTTTTTAGATGTTAGTGGACATCTAGTAGCGTATGTTTTTTCTTCTGCTTTTAAGTGAAAAAAGGTTGTTGTTGAAGTAAAACATCAGTTTTTAAATTACAACTCAATTTAGGTTATAAAATGGCAAAAAGAGTCACGACAAGAGCTGACTGATCCTTTGCTCAGTGGTCAGACTCTAGTCAAACAGCAGGTGTAGTCTTGCTAAAAACACCCCAATGCTTATCATTTAATTATATATTTCGTTAAATGGAAACTGCTTTTGATTTGATTTTTTAAACTCAGTATGGGGTTTTATGAGGCCCAGTGATGAGCTGACAATTTCCTTCATAATCAGTGATAAAACTAGTTGCTTACAAATTTAATGTATTAAGTCATCTTTTTAAGCTGCGAGCAGACATAAAATCATGAGCAATTCCCTAAAACTTCTAATGTCTGGGGGTGGGGTGGAGTGCATTTATTCCTCAACTTGTCAAAGAAAAAAAAAAGGGGGACTTCCTGCCAAATTTTTACAGAGGACTTTCCAGTGGTGGAGCCAGACTTTTTGACTGAGGTTGGGAGCCTGGGATGGAGCTATCATGGTGTAGTGTTTCAGGGTGGTCACCAAGATGGCCTATCAGGGTCTAAGGTTAGAGTCCTGGCTCCACCCCTGTGGTTACAATGAAAGCACAATAATGCTCAAGCAAAATAAAAATGTAAAACATCATTTAGAACTAATTGAATGAAGCATTGAAAGTGGCAAAAAAGTTCTTTGGTTACAAGAGTTTCCCACACAAAGTGCATGAGAGAAAATCAATCATGTCTTTCAATCAACCTCGGCAGCATGAATCAGTGAGGTTAAACCTTGTAGGATCAACCTTGATGAGCACCTGCTGTTTAGCAGTCACATAAAGAAAGCAGTGTCATCTCACAGGCTTTAAAGCTATGCTGTCTCATCTTGAGTACTGCTCAGTAATCTGCTGAAGTGCTGCTTTAAAAGGGAATGATAGGCTCCATTTTGTGTGGAATAAATGCCAATATAACAACTTGTGTTTATCAAATGAATAAGAAGACATTCAGTTTAAGCTAGTAAACACAGAGAGATTTTAGGGATCCTGTCTTGACTTCTACAACTAAACAATCAAATATAAAAAATTTGATTTTGTGTATTTCACCAAATACCAACTAGCTTCACTTGGAAGTGAACCCTACATACACTGAAGTTCAAATCCTTATTAAATCTCCTAAAATGTTCCCCACCAGTTTTACAGTGCCCTCATAACCCAGGTGTGCAGACGTCTTACATGCTGTGAGGCTAACTAGCACTGGCTCCACTCAGTTTTGACATCCAGCTTTCAAGAGTCAAAGAAGAAACACTGAAGAGAGCATGAGGGTCCAAACCTGAGCGGGGTAGTGAGCTCATTGAGTGGACATAAACTTCCTCCACCTGACATGTGGTGGCAAGAGGATTAGTTAAACACACTCAGCCTTGGCTGACTCACACTTTGTGGAATCACAAAGTAATCTCCAGGCACATTCACTTAGGAGGCAGCTTGATGATCCCATGCCAGTGATTTATTCATCTTCGACACGTTGCGAGGCTGTAAGAATTTGTCAAGTTAGAATCCTAATTAAAACTGTTAATCACAGATTCCTGTTTGTTCAGCACTCGAGTGAAATGAAAAATGTGATCAAATTATTCATTGCCTCCTTTCAGACAGGTAAGTCAGCATAGCCCTGAGCATCAATGCGCTGCAAAACTTTTTTTCAGGGCTTATGAAGACTTTAAGCCCTGACTTTTTAATTTGTTTGATATCCACAATTTAACCATCTGATCAGTCCAGATTTATCTATTTATGTAGATCAGCATAAGTTGAGACATCCAGAAAATGGGCTCCCGGCGATGAAAAGTTTGCAGTGGACTGGATCAAAGTGCATGTTCAGAACTGCTGCAGCTCATTGAGAGTGAAGGCCTGGAGCAATGTAACGCAGAGTTAAAGTGACTGAAGAAAGGCTGCTTTATATCCTCAGCCTGCATATTCAATACTGTTCAAACATTTTGATTCTGACAGTCAAAAGCAATTGTCTTCTGAGCAATATGCCCTTAACATATTGGATTCTTTTCAGTTGTTATATACTTGGCATAATCTTTGAGCATCTTTTAGTCACTTAATCATTGAAGATGATAAATGCAGTCTTGGTTCTATTCTCAACTTGTTGAAAAGAGTGCACACATTAAAAAAAATGAAGACCTTGGGGGCTCACTAATTACTTTCTGGATGCTGTACTCAAACTAAGTGTGTTCAAGTGCCTTTGAATTGAAGTGACCTGGTAACAGAAGAGCAGAAGTCTCTGTCATAGTCATGGGAACTACTAAAGTGAAACAAACATGGGATCAAAATTCAGAGGAACACAGTTTCTGTGGGATACACAGACTTAAAACTGAGTTTAATAATCACTGGGTTTGTTTGAAATTCACATTTCTATGCCACATTTCCTTGTCAGTTTTCATTACTTAACTTTTTATCAAACACTTGATTTGATAGGTTAAAACCTCATAACAGTTGTGACTAATGCTCATCAGCAAAACAACACTAAGGACAACCTGGCAGATTGACAAGACCAGGTCAAGCTTCGGCAAAGTGTCTGGCATACCTATTGACACTGTGGCGAAACAGTTTTAGGCTGATCTTATGAGTCAGGGAATAATCTAGGCACAGATGGAAGACCAGTCCCACGAATTACTTGACTTCAGCCGTCTATGATGGGGAAAAATCAGAGTAACATCCTATCTTTCAATCAAGGCAACGGCAGCACAGCCAATGAGAGTATCTCTTGGCTGCTGATTTCAACTGAGTAACTTGAACCGTAAAGTGGAGAGATACTGAAACAAAGTTAAAAGATGTGACCTATGCCTTATTTAACTTTGGAGTTATGTCATCTGCAATGCTTAAAGACAAATGACAGCTAAATGAGGACAAAAATGTTGGTTTAAATATTCTTGCAGAAGTTCCACGTATCTGAAGTCACCTCCAATGGAAATGTTCACTTAGATGTGGGTTATAACCAACAATAAGGGTCATGTTTTAACTCAACCATGAGTTAAAATGTTCAGTTTAATGTTATTTTTATTCCACAAGGAGGCCAATAAGAATCTAGCGGCTTTACTGGAAATTGGAAATTGACTGACTATCTTCTTTGCAGTATATAAGTCTATTTTAAACCAAGAAAATCATCTTGACATCTTTGGGTCAAGACTTTAGGGTAATGTGTGGGAAAATGTAGAGTTAGCAGGTAGTTGAGTAAATTGGAATCCCAACAGGACACAACTCGACACAGAGGGGTCTTGAATGGTATGCCAGTCTCTCTGCATACCAGCAAAAACAGTGCCCTCAGGGTACGTATAGGCCTACCCTCCTGATCTACAGTTGACCATGTGGGATTGTGTTTTTTTTCTCAGTAAGAACCAGTGGGCAGGAAATTGGTCACAGTGGACACATGGGTCATCTTTTGCACTGTGACAGTGTAAAAGTGAACCATTTGTGAATAACCGATGCACATACAATACTCTTTTATGTGTAGATAACAAGCTTTATACTATGAAAGTCTCTACAGATGCTGCTTAATTAATAGTGTTCATTTATCTACAGAGCCCTCCCCATACAAAATTCTGGCCTAAAGGAGAAACTAGATCATCATTATCCAAAGCCTCAGGCCAATGACTGAACTGTCATTTTAGAAAAGATGAAAGTGAGAATATGTGCTTATGTGTTCATCTGTGAATATGTAAAACACTTCAGATCTTACATACATATACTGTATCTCTCACTTTAAAGGAAAACCATATATTCTCCAGTCCTGGTGTAGAGCCGGACACCACTGAGTATGAGGGAGCCAAGTACAAGGGCAGAGCAAAACAAATGGTTGTATCACTGCCTGCTGTGAGGACCCTATTATAAACACTGTGGGCACCAGCAGGCAGTCAATCCAGAGACCACCCTTTGATGTGCAGGCGCTGCCTGATAACAACTCAGACACTTTAACCAATACATTCTCTTCAGTTTACATATGAACATGCTGCAGGAATGACTGAGGAAAAATATGCAGCTATGAGCAGAATTCAGGTTAACATTATGCTGATTGTTAATAAAGATGTGAACTTTGGAGAGAAAAAAAGAGTACTCTCAAGTGCTGTGCATTATATAGATTTACTGTCCTGTGAACTTTGTGGAATTTTACAGAGACACGCTTTAACTCAAAGCTGGACCTCACAGAGGCAGATGGTAAAAGGTAGAGCATAACTAATATATTAACCACCCATACATAGCCATACTAGGCTGCAAGGGGGAGGCCTGTACTAGAAATAAAGCTGAGGTCTCTCCCTTTCCTCTTTTTAGAGAACCTATGGTGTTGTGTATATGCTCTACTTCTGAGCCCACATTTGTCTGTTCATGGGTTGAAAACAAACATTTTGGGGTCCTCAGTTTCAAATAACTTGTTCCATGTACAGAGGCTTTATTCCCTGAAGTAGACAGCTGGGGGTCAATTTCAACCTGAAGCTCTTTGCTGCATGTTGTCCCATTCAGTTTCCTACTCTACCCTTTGTCTTATTTCTACATAAAGGCAAAAAAAATTAGGGAAAATGACACTAAAAGGCTACACATAATAGGGGTGACAGTAGGGGATGGTAGATAATCAATCAAGCACTGATTATCAGCCTTGGTTGATCATCAAAACCAATATCTGACTGATAATCTCCATCTGCATTTTAATTTACAGCTGGCTGGTAGATTGTACAATTGGCTGGACTTTATTGTAAGTGAAATTGTAACTCATGAATATGATGTCAAATATTTCAGTTGTGACAACACATTTGCTAAAGGTATTTAAGCAAAGGTTTCCATTACAGTTTTTAATATTCCAAATTCTGAAATGAAAAAAAAAAAAAACTTTTATAACTGTCAACCCAAATTGGTTCCAAATATTGATTTTTGGTCTCATGAGGTACTAATTAACCAGTATCTGGGTATTAGCCATAGACTGTATAAAGAATGGACAGCGTCTGCCTCCTCGCTGGGTGAGGCCACTCCGAGAACAGCACCCTCTGATGGTGGGCTGCAGTACAGGTCATAAATCCCGCCTCCGCCAGCAACACTTAAGAAATTTATTACAAAGAACATACATTTTTCTCCCCCTGCTTGTGATGTTGACATGTAGTTATTGTAAGACTGGTTTGTGTTCAAGTCCTCTTTTTTCTGTGAAGCTCCGTTTTTAAAAGTTATTAGGGGGTTCATGTTTTCTATGATTGACACCTGGTACAGCCTATGGGCGTTCAGGGATTGCGTAGCTCACCCGGGGGGATACGCTGTTTGAGCCGAGCATCATCACAGCGACTCTCGGCGACTGCGCGGCCGAATGCGCGAATCGCTACTGCGCAGCTCTGGTTTCAAGGAAGTGGAGAAAAACCCGGAATTACCGAGAGCTTTTTGGCTTCAAATCCATATACAGGCGGAAGGCGGAACCAGGTTGTCCATAGTATATACAGTCTATGGTATTAGCCCAGAAAAAAATAAATAAATAAAAATATCAGTCAACCCCTAATAATTAAAAGTTGTGAAACTAGATTATGACTTATGCCACGTTCAGACTGCTTGGCCTATTTGTCTATCACAATGGTGACTGTGCCAGATTAGGCCACCAGAGAGCCACGAATTCACCCCATGGCAGACTACACAGTGGTGCCTGAACATTTGCAACAACCAGTGAGGTGAAGTTGAAAGAGGGACTGGGCTGGATGACACCAAGAGGAATACACTGGCCATATGTTTATTCTAACAGTAGGAACACAGCAGGTTGCAGAGCGGTGTCTACTATTAAGGTCGTTACACACTGGCGAATTAGCGAAGCGACGCAAAAATGCGAAACATTCAGCTTACGCCTTTTCCTATATACATCTGGTGCGACACAAATAAAATTCACATATTTGCATAAAAATACGCCACCGAAGAACAGAGTGGGAGAGAGAAGAAGGAGAAACAATGGCAGCTACATCCTCAAGTGATGATGACCTGGTCATGGATGTAAATAAAAAAAATAAAAAAAAGAATCAAAGTGTCTGGGTACTTCCAATACTGAACTTGCAACGGGAAATGGAGGAGCTCCACACAACAATCCAGGGGCTTAAATTGTATCCCAAGAAATTCCAACAAGCTTCATAAAGTCCCTTGGATAATTTTAAGAACTGCTCCATCAGCTGACTCCAAGTTTGCAGAAGGAGAGGACAAATTACAGAGAGCCGATTGATCCAGAGCAACAGCTTGCCACATATCTGAGGTAAGATTTAAATTAGGCTCAAGGGCGTAGGTTTGGTCTCAACATTGGTAGGGACGATATAACAGCATAACCTGTATGTACATTTTTTGCTGGGGACGGGACATAATTTACAACAATTTACAGTCAAAATTTACAGCTTTTGTCCTTCGTGTACCACAAGAGCAACACATTGCTTTAATTGGTTATCTCTTTTACCTTCTTCTCTGTTATTTTCATCTCTAAACTGCATCAGTGTTTGGGCGATTATGGTAAAAATCTAAATCAAGATTGAATGAACTTTCTACCTCTATTATGATTAATGTATGATGATCTGAAAAAAATGTCTGCATAGGCTGCATGGGGCGTCTAGTCATCAGCCAATCAAACATGCGTTTGAGGGAAAAAAATGGACCGGCACATTCAACAAGTGAAAAGGGGTAAGTCAGAACATAATGAAAATAATTCACTTAATAATGGTAGGGTCGATTCTATCCTTACAAAGTACGGGAAGACAATCTAAATTACCTATATAACTGAACTCATAAAATGCAAATAAGGTTACTTAAAAGTTGGTGGGGACAATTTGAGCACCCTGAAAAGTTGGTAGTGTTATGTCCCTACTATCCCTATGCAAACCTACGCCCTTGATTAGGCTACAGATTTATACAGCAGTTGGCCTGCCAACGTTCGCAAAATTCGCTACAAAATTACAGTCGCATTTTAGCACTGCGGAAGTTAGTAGCTGGTGTGGAAGCTTGCATTGACTTTAAGAGTTTTTTTTATTTTTTAAAGCGAATGATTTGCTTCGCAAATTCGCCTCGCTAATTCGCCGTTGTGTAACGACCTTTGGTCCTGAAATGACGCATCAAAAGGTGAAGCTCTACAAACATCTGTCCCAGAGATTCATCTCATTGCACCAACTTTATCATCACTCTTTAGCTTTGCCATTCTGTCTGTTTATACTGCATACACTGTAGACCTGGCACTTCCCAACAAATTCACCCAAACTTGATGTTTCAATGGTGTGATTTAGGCTTTACCTGCTAAAACTATAGTTAAAAGGAGAAGAGCCAGTTAATTCAGCTAGTAAGTAGCTGTAGCCAAAAAACAAAGAAGCACCAAAATGTCTCCAAAGAGAAGAAAAAATAACTTGCATCTAATCAAACGAACTGTCCCAGGCAAATACGATTACTGAAATAACTTATTTGGGTATTTAGATGTTTGTTGTAGGGCTGACTTGATTATATTGATTATGCTGTCAAACAAGACCAAATGTGCTGTAGAGACACTGATAATGTTCAGGGAAAATAATTTAAACTCCTAACAAGTGTTAGTCAGATTGAACAGGTGACAACAATCAAACTTCGCCAAATGCCACACCAAGCCCCTCCTCTGAGGAAGTGGTTCAGAAACTTACTGGAGCCCCCGGGGATTCCAGTTTAGGAGACTCCTGGTTAGTGGATGATAGTGAAGAATGTGTGTAGGAGGGGGTGCTGTAGATTAATTGGTCTGCTTTCTCCACTGTGACATCCTGCTTCTTTCACCATAGAAACAAGGCAGCTGTAAAACTGTACAAGATAGGGCTTGTTCAAAGAAACAGCCTCATCACCACCATCTTTAATGAAACTAAACACACACACACACACACACACACACACACACACACACACACACACACACACACACACACACACACACACACACACACACAAGGGGCCTAATGGGGCCTGATGTTGTTCTCTAAGTGCCTACGATAAGATAGAAAGCATTACATCATGTTATAGTACATCATGCATCAACATGCAGGTTAATCTCTGTAATTCAACAGCAGTTTCTGATCTCTCCTAACATGGAGACAAATCCATTCTGGAGAAACACGACACCATGAAAAAAGAAGATTGACACATCTATATAAGTCTAAAAAGCCAGCAGTCTAGAGTAGATTGGGGCTCAGAAGAGCCTGGTGAAATGAGATTTTACACTGTGACGTCATGCTTGGTGAAACTTTATCTGAGGGGAGGAAGAAAACTTTTTTAGAATAATGTCTCCTTTGCCTGTCTTTTTCTTTTGACCCACAGTGTTAGTGAATTTGTCATCTGGACAATAAAGAGGGTTGAAAACTCAGACACAAGTTTGTTACAGCAGGACACTGATTCTTAATTTGTTACCAAAGCTGTACCTTCGGTGTGCATGTGTAGATGGAAAGACTGTGTCAGTTATGGCATTACAAGTGTAAATCCTCTCTGAATGTATCTCTGTCAAATTGTTTCATGGTGTGCCATAATGTATCATATTGTGTTTTGTCCCATATATAACGTATTATATACTACATCATTTTGTATGACGTAGCACTGTGTTATATTATGTAGTAAAACGTGTGGTGTTCAGTGATCCCAGTAATGCGTCACTCAAGCACGCTACTCGAACAAATCCACTTTTTTCAGTAACGAGTAATCTAATGTGTTGCTATTTCCAAACCAGTAAACAGCTTTAAGTTACATGTCAAAGTCACTGCGTGTGCTACTTTTTTTTCCATTTTCTTTAAAAAAAAGATAGATTTTTTTTGTCTGGGGGAAGTAACTTTACTCACGTAGGCGACAAGTCACGTTTTCAGCATGAGGACCACTCACGTGTAATACATGTGCACTCACATGAAGCAGCCGCAGCAAAATGAACATAAGCAACAAAACAGGGAGGAGAGTGATGCACGTTCTCAAGCTGAAAATACAGCCACTATTTTAAATACTGTATTTGTTTTATATGTTATATAAGATATATATGTCTTGTCAGTCAAGCAAGACTATTATTATTATCATTTTTATTATTATAAATGTATTTTTTGGCATTCCTGTTAAAATTACACTTCGAATAAAGTAAATGTTGGAAAGAAAATGGTTGTTATTTATATGTTGAGGCTGCTGAATGTAACTTAAAAAGTAACTTGGGATTTAACTTCGTTACTTTGAAAATCCAGTAATCAGTAAAATAACTGAGTTACTTTTAAAGGAAAGTAAACCAAAAGTAACTGTGGCAACACCGGTTGTGTTGTATTGTATTGTACTGTATTATGTCGTATCATGTCGTATTCTGTCCTATCAAGTCACGCTGTATTGTGCCTATCGTAATCTATCGTATCAAATCATATGGTGATGTATGGAATGGTGTAATGTTTGGCAGGGCTTTGAGCACAAAGACAAGTAACAAAACACAGTAGCTTGACAAGTAGTGAGGGGTTCCTGTATCTTCTTGGTTGATGACTCAAACCGTCAGCTCTGAAAACAACCCTAATTTTAAGAAACAACATGGATTGATAGTTATTAAGTACTTATAATAATGTCAGTGTCCACGCTGCCACTCTATACTAACAAGTATTTAGGTGTTACATGAAGTACCTCTGTCTTAAAACATACCCTTCACCTCACTATATTTCTCATTCCCATGCATCTTAGGGTCCACATATTAAAGGACTGGATAACTTTAAATCATTAGTACATTTGCAACACAAAGCAATAAACAAACTGTTAAATAATTACCTAAATGATAAAGTAAATTACAACAATGTTGCATCCTTAGCTTTAGTTATTGCACATTAGTGTGATAATGTACAGTAAGTGATGCATTTATACCTAATGAGGTGAGACTACGGTAAATCAGCGGCTGCTAAATTGATACATTGCTGTTCTTTCCACTGATTTTCCCTGCAGGACGCTGCAACTGCTAGGACTCAGACTACAGTTCCGTAGTATGTTTAGGTGTTTGGGTTATTTCATGTAAAGAATAAAGTCTTAACATTAAATGTACCATTAGAAATGTTTTTAATTATTAAAAAAAGTGTCATTTTTATACTGATACGTCTTTATTTCTTCTGTCTTGAGATAAGCTTTCGGTGGCTGCTACTAAGCTATGGAACACTCTGTCTACTCGTATGAGATTTGCTCAGTCTCTTGATATTTTTAACTTGCTGTTTAACACCAATCTCTTCTTCATGCACTTCAATTGGAGTTGAGCCTACCTGTCTTTATACTCTATATTTAACATTGTTTTGCAGGTCTTTCTGATACCTTCCTGACTGAGATGCTCATTACAAAATTAGGAAGGAATAAATCACTCCTTACAAATTAAATGCAAATACCAGGAAACATCTAAACAGTGAATTTGGCAAAGGGTAGTAAATTAGTATATTTTTGCTCCGCTTACCTATTCCATTTATAACCTCACCACATTTTAAAATGTCCTAGAAGGCTCAGCCCCTGAGTTGGAAACCACTGGTATGGCCTATCATATATTATAGTATGTCTAATTATGTGTCTGTCAAGAGCAGTCAATGACATTTTGAGGAAGTCTGTAAGTCTGATAATGTAAGAGCAATTCTAACTAAAATTCTGCACAAAGTACCTAATTGTTGAAATGGTTTTTAAATGAAGGTGTTCATTTATGAATTAGAGCAGCTGTCAATCAAACTCTCCTCGTGTGTGGCGAATACCTCATCTTAAAATGCTAATTCTACCGTGTGACATCTCTCTTATAGGTGATTGGGCCCCACTAGAAAAGCCCATCCAGACATAGATGCGTAGCTCTGCTGACCTTTAATTTCATTCAGACTGTGTACAAATGACTTCAGCATAGCCCACTAAGAAAAAAAAAAAAGCCAGTGAAAGAAAGTCTTTGCAAGATTGTAGGTACTTTGGGTTTCGGCACTCTGGCATTATCTACTCTCTGGCTTTAATGACTTCCCGCCGAGAGGAGCCACGGTGAGAGCCTTGGCAGTCAGACTAAGAATAGCATTAGACACAAGGTTATCTGGGCATTACACTCACTGTAACATGCAATTAACTCTACTCCTCCATTTTCATTACACAATTATTCATTAATGTCAATTTAATTTTATGCATTGTTCTACATGACCAAAGCCTGATTACGGGGCCCTTGCACTCCAATATCCCGAGTTAACTGGTGCCAGCCTCACTCGCAGGCCGACTAATTGCAATTTAGCCCGAGACAGCACCTCCCTCTTTAGGCTGTCCTTAATGGAGCAACTGATTCTCAGACAGGTAACGATTGGAAAGACAAAGTGCTTCTCTCTCTGAATGGAAAACAAATGCTCTGCTGCTAAGCTGTTTTCTTTGTGATAGCACTAAGGTCTGCCCTTTGTATTCAGAGAGGGACAAGAGGTAATATGTTTCCTTAAATCCTATTTGTCTTCCAATTCTATCTCCATATAGAAATAAGAAGAGCCCATTAAATCACACAGGAATGTCTATACAGCGGGAACAATTGAATTTGGCCCGTGGACAGATAACAATTTGCATTTGCTAGGTCAAGATTAAGCCACCAGATGTACATTTTTTAACAAAAAGCTAAAAATATTCTAAAAAATACAAGGAAGGAATAAAAATCCAAAAACATATTGCTCTATCTGTAGCGTTTCTGTCTTTTGAAGAGAGATCAGTATCTTATTTTCTAGGTCATAAAAAAAATTTTTACTTTTAGTTGAGCATCTTCCACTTCATTTACAAGGCGTCACCAGTGGCAGGTGACAATAGCAAAGTATGGGGAACATGACAGAAGAACCCAGAGAAAAAAAAAAAAAAAAGGTCTCACACCTCACTGACTGTAAGGTCAAATAAGGATGGAAGAAATCTGCAAAGCCAAAAGTAATATGATAGCAAGCTGACTGTTTCTCTTGCACGCTGAAATACAAAACTAAAACACTTTTATTTCTGGCATCTGTTCTTCAGAACTACAAAAAAAAAAAAAAAAAAAAAAATCTGATTAAAGCAAGAATGTCTCATTTGTGTTAACAGAGACTGCCAAAGTGTGCTATGATCTGCAAAAGTCTCATTTTCCTGTAAAATATAGTGGTTTCAGGAAGTCATGAGTGCATAGACCTTAAATTTGGCCATTCAATCCTTCCTCTTTTCAGATAATGTTCTTTCTATCTTGATAGCAAATGCTACTTGCTATCTCAGACTATTCACTCACAGACTCAGTGATCCCAAGTTCAGCTGTTTGGTGCTAAACTTTGACTGTTACCTTTGGACGACTCAGGCTGTCTGAATTTAAACTTTGTGTTTGAATTATTGAGAAACCAGGCGCTTTATAATGATAGATAGTGACAGCGATATCTTCTTAAAATTTTCACAGAATCCTGTCATGATAAAAGCTGACAGTGAATTTGAGATGGTGTGTAGATAAACTTGATTGCGAGACATTTAACTCATCCAAAATGTTGGACTGGGGGATGGACAGACCACAAATAAATCCCTGGAGATGTGTTGGTTGGTAGCGTGGCTAAAAAAAGGCAATGAGTGACCTTTCAGTTCCAGCCATCTGATGGTAATTAGGTGCTGCAATCCCAGTGTTTATGAAGGTATTAACACAACAACTGTTTGGGCTTTTCCTCCCATGCTGTCTCTGTCCTCTGTAATGTCTCTCACAGCGAGCAGCAGTGTTTTGTGTGATATTTTTAACCATAGGTAAGGGTAGAAGAACACTGTTGTGCACGCCTCTGTCAGGAAATGTGCTTCATGTAATAATGGTAAAAAATGTTAAACCACGAGGGAGCATTTTTTTATACACCTGACACGGAACACATGATTAAAGAGTGCAAATTTGAGGGTTACTCCGGGCCAATTGGACCTGTCTTTCATGCACTGATTCACATCAAAGAGTCTCAGGCAAGACTCCTTAAGGCATACAGTATGTGATCAAAGCAGTCCTCTCCTTGTAAATTCTATTTTATCCTTGTTGTTCATATTGTGTTTCACAGTAAGCGTACAAATCTCATGCATAATTGTGAGGGTAAGAGACATTTTAATTCTCCCAGAACCGTATTTCATGCACAAAACAAGAAATCCTAATGTAATATAATGATTAATGTGCCTCTTTGTTGATTGACCATTGAAAAGACTTCTCTTATTCTTCTGTTCTGCAGACTTTGTAAGCAGTAGGGCAGCAATTATTGTTCATTTTCAGACCGAGGATAATCACGGCCTTCAAAAGAAAATTAGATAATAAGCATATAAAATATGAAAGGAAAGAAACAGCCAACTAGATTCTTCTTTAGGAATAAAAGAAGATGTGATTAGCATGGCCAAAGGTTTACAACATTTTGTTTGAATAGAATAGATATAATTATTTCATGTCCAATTGGATTCACTTCATAACAATATATCAGAATAACGTGAAACACGTCTGGATTATAAGTGTGATTTTTTTTCTTCGTCTCTCTGCTCTTATTGGATTTGAGTTATTCAGAGTCTTTCTTTAACCAAACAAAAGTGTTTCAAAAAGCAGGATGATTAGATAATTTTTTTTGTTCACGTATCAAAATAAATATCATTTTGTTAGAGTAATATTAATTGGGTTCACCAAAATGATTTAACATGTATGATGTGTCTTAACAGCTCTGACTGACCCCACAAAAGCTCCTGAGCTAATCAAGAACAATGCTCTTCATGAGGTTTGACAAATTCATTGACCTCAAAGCGTCCTATTACAAGTGATTACTTCTGTGGCTCTGTTTGACTTTCTGTTAGCATTCACAATGTGCTCTGTGTTTCAAGTTTAGCAAATAAAGAAAAAGAAAAGAAAAATGGAGCAGGAAAAAAGGTGTGGTATATGGTATGTTGGGCTAAAGTGGTGTTGTAGAAACCGTGAATTAATTATCATTTGGTAGACAAAATCTTTCATCGGGACTGCAAATGTTGATTTAGGTAACACTGATAAAAACAGTTATCAATCTGTTCGCTCTCTATTCACTTTACTCTGTTGACACAGTTCAGGCTGTGTTGTGAAATCAACATCCTAACTGATTGGTGGGGATTGATTAACAGCTTCGTGCCTCCCCCAACTTCTAATTTCTTTTTTGTCTTTTAATTAAAACCCAGTTCACTTCACCTCTGGCTGTATTGTGCAGCAGTATAATGAAAATGAATGGAGAGCAGCCTTGGGCTGAGAGCTCTCCTCATAAGATTATAATTGTCAAGATTAAACTCTCCTAAACAAGCTTCAGCTAAAAACATTCCCAAACATGAATTAGATTAGTTCATTCCCTTGTACAGAGAATACATGCATCTAATATATTGTTATTGTTTTATTATTAATCCACACTATTAAATTCTAAAGGCTAAATTCTTTCATTATTGACTAGATTTTAGATAAAACAAAAGGAAACTGCCCAGGTTTGTTGCTTTATTGTTAGAAATGCAATGATCCTGCATTAAAGAAATTATATTTGTAATTGGGACAACTGCATAATTACACCTACTGTAATAAAGCAGCATTCAAACTGCAGCAATGACATCAGACCGCTCATACTCTTCATGTATGTGTATGTGGAATCAAAGGACATATGGATTACCTTAGTGTGAGCAAAGGGGTCCCTGGACGTGTTAATGTTGGGCTGAACTGTCTCTGCACTCAGTTCTTGAGTCGGAGTGTTGAGATAGCTCCTCTGATTGTCCACTGAGAGTTGTTTACATTTCTTCAAAAGCTCCATTTAGTTTCCCCTGACAAGGTGGAATAAGTGACTTGGCCATGATGGATGGAGGCACCTGTCCTAATGGTGGCTCAAACTGTGCCCACTAGTGCACGCTACATTGATAAATTGACAACAGTTGGGACATGCTCTGCTAGCAGGGAGAATGGGGCTACGAGGACATCCGACTGCTCGCCATGGATTCATGTCAGAGCTATGGACCCATACAATGTGGAGGTCCCTGAACAGCTGCACTAGAGGAATATATGGCAATTAACATTTCATCTTCACTGCCAAAGAATATGGATGGCACCAGCAACTGTTTAAAGCAAAGGAGGTCTCTTTATCAGCGATGGAGGAGGAAGAAATAACATTAGTTATGTCTGAAACTCCTTTTTATGTCAATTCATCCATCTCTTCATTAAAAAAATTAAAAATAAATGTTACCCTTGTAGTATCCTTAGTAGTCTCCTCTTGTAGTAGCCACTACAAGAGAAGATGATACAACGCTGATTAAGCTGTTCGGCTCCTTTAACAACGTGCGCTATTTTTCAGTATTTGTTCTTTTTGAATTTGGTGTAGAGGGGCAACATGCCTGCACTGGCGCACATGAAATGACACATTTCACTCGGTTTTACCTGACAATGAGAAGGGAGGGGGGAGGAGAGCGCTGCTAGAAGCAACATGGTGGACGACCGGAAGAAGTGAGGTTCATAAGTGATTCCTACTAAAAAGAAAAAGCCTTCTCGTTCGGGAGAAGGTCTGTGGGCAAAGAAAGAGAGTGACAAACGGAAAGGACTAACACGGATTTACATCGGCGACGCTTTTCCTCGATGGAGGGCCCTGAAGGAGGAGATTGGACTGAGGTCCGATACCAGTGTTGCCTTAATACTGCTAGATGAGTAAGTGACTCTGTTCCTTAAGAGCAGGATGTGTTGCTGTTACATGTGCTGGACTGAGAATTTTATTATTTTCTTGGAAATGGTGCTATGAATATAATGTGTAAACATTGTGTAAAGTTAGCCTAACGAGCAGTAAGTTACAAGGTGTGTAGCCTGTGTTGCTGTGTGTAACTTACTGCAGGGAGTCTGTTGCTTTGGTCATACTTGTTTCCAAAGGCAGAAAGAAGCTTTTTGTGTGTAAAAAGCTCTGCTAAACCTGATGTAAAATTTTGCATGGGAATAAGAGGCTATTGGATAATGATGGACCTCTTAGTAGCAAAATAAAAGATATTAAAAAATCCATTGAAAATGATTTTCCATAAACTGTGATAACCATGGGACTGTTGCTTTGTAGGTGTTTGTACATAACAATGACCATTTTCCTAAAGCATCTTACAAAATTAATCTAAATAGTAAGATTGTGGCAGAAAATCCAGAACATTAAAAGTCATTATAGTAAACCAAAAAATAAGCTGTTTTTATTGTCCTTTAAAACAAAACCATGGTCCACAGCAGTTTCTGATCTGCAAACTCGTGGAAACACTTAAGCCATGCTAGTGAACATCTACAATAAAAGTATGCTAAAAGTCCCTCTGGGGAGTTTGGACTGATTGAGACGCATGCTGAAACTGACACTGATGCCTCGTTGTGACCTTCTAAAGCAAACAAGACCATCAGCAACAAGGCTTGTATTATCTCTATTGTAATTTTTAACACCTGAAACTGCTGTTTGGAGGTTAGTGTTGCAACATGAGTTCCTCTCCTCAATTTGGTATTTTGGTGAGCGGCGCAGCCCGGCGTAAGTATCTCCCCTCCTTAACTCAGCTCCTCCCAGCGGCGTAAGTCGTAGCGAGGGAGGAGAGAGGGCGTGGAGTGGGTTTAACACAGCCAAGACCTGTTTTCACCAATCACATAAGCTCCTCTCCTTGCCTTTAAATCCGCCACAGGCGAGGCGTATTACAATTTTCGTGAAGTAGTCAAAGAGATCAAGAGATGTCTGAAGACAGTGTCAACAAGTGTCGCTGTAAACGCTGCAGATAAAGACACTCACATAAAGTTGCATATATTCAAACCTCACGTGACAAAGGTGGGTTGTGCGCACAGATCACAACATAAACTCCAAAAATGGCATTAAAATTGGAACCATCTGTGCGTAAAGGACGCATCGCGCTCCGTGGCCTGGCTCTTTCTTTCATAGATGTTGGCATATAAAATAAATCTGGCCCACAAAACTGAATATTGTAATATCCGTACGTAGGCTTAAAGTAAATAACTCATCTGAGCACTGAAACAAATCATCTGTTCAGCCAGCAGGACGGAGAGAGGACACGGAGACGTGTCCAGGTCGAGCTGCACGAGAAATAAGGGGAAGAGGAAGAAAGAAAAGGAGGGAGACGAATTACATATCTTGTTAACTTCATCGTGTGTGTATTTACTAGATATTTGATTTAATTTAATGCGGTTTCAGCTGTGTTGATTCGGTCAGGTTGTATGTCCAAACACGTGCCAAACGCGCTCATCAGATCAGAATATATCTATATAGATCTAAATATATGTGCTGACTCAGAATATTAGTTGTTGATGATTATTTATTGCACTGAAATGTGCCTGACACTGTGGAAACCTGTTGGTGAGGCATCGGTGACGTATGCTAATACGCCGACGGTCTACCAAAATACCACTAGACCAGCTGCGCTCCGCCTGCGCTGAAAGCTGACCAGGTTTGAATCGGCAAGTTTTCAGCGCACTTTATACGCCGGTGGTGAGCATGAAAATATCACTATGCCCGCTGATTCTGTCGACACCTCCCCCTGCCACGCCACCACGCCCAGCTTGGCAGATCTTGGTTCGCCTCCGTGCACCTCAGTCCACGAAAATACCAAACTGGCTATATGCTGGGCTCCGCCAGATGAAAATACATGGCGGGGTCCGCCACCCTCCGCCAGGAGTAGCATAGCCTACCCCTGGTTTTCCTTGCTTCTTAACATCTACATACTTGTGCTTGTCACACATTGCTCTGGTAGATGCACAACTTTATCTCTGTTTTCTTGATCAAAACATGATCAAACTGTGCTACAAGATGCAATCTATACCTATTTAAATACAGGTTGTGGGGCATTACAGCATTAAGACTGTAGCTATAATGAAAGTTACTCCAACTGACTAGTGCATGTGGTGATGACTGTAGGATGTTTGAAGTGTTGCACACATTTCTATTTTTCTTGACTATGAATGATCACATTAGGCAGTATACAATACTTGGGCGGTTGAAGACTGCTAACTGTATGTGTGTCCACCCAGTTAGTTTGCCTCTTCCAAACAAGAACTAAAGAGTGACAAATGATGAATGTTAACATTTGCCTCCAACTAGATCAAAAATTCACCTTATGTCACTCTATTATTCCTGACACTTACATTAATTTGTTTACCACAAAAACTGATAAGGTAAAGTCTGAGTGCTTCGTTGACAGTGCTGCTACACAGCTAACACTGGTCAAAAAGTACAACAACAGCCACATCAAGTCTAATTTCGCTTTACAAGAACAAATACATTAAGAAGTGTCTCTTCAGTGGGGACAGTCTTGATTATAGACTCAGGGCCATTGTTAGCTTGAGAAATCAGTGTACATAAAATAAAAATGTTTCCATACAGAAATTAGATTCCACTAATAATGACTATAGGCTACAAACTGAGAGTGGTTGTTAAAAACGCCATAAAAAGTTATGTAATTTGTATTGCTGACTATCTCTCACACAACTCTCACCGTTTGTAATGAACATCAGTTCAGCTTACCTCAAATGAGACTCATAAAGCTTCCCTTGGCATCCTCCCTGCTGTCTGTTTTGCCTTAGTGTGATATGAGGTCCATAACAATCAGCACCGCCCTAATTATTTTTGGCACTCAAAACTTGCTCTGAAGGAGAAAAGACCAATTTGAGGCCTTTAAAATGCCTTAACCTTCTTTTAAAGAGCCAATTAGCAAGCAGATCTACCCATGAAGCCCAGCATTACACCATTTCTGTCACTTCTCTAGAGAGAAACCTATTTTACACTATTAATGAGGAAACTGCAGCTTGCATTTCAAAGTCAAAGCTCTTTTGTCTGTTTGAGTTTGTCTTTCAACATCTACTGCATACATGTCAGCAAGTACCCTTTGCTTATTAAAACAGGCCTAGATTTCATGTGTTTTAAATTAAATCACAAAATGGAAATATAACTTTGCACTTAAACATATGCTATTTGATGCGTTTCCAATAGCATATATCTTTGGAGAGTGTGCCAGGTCAGGTCGCTTTGAGAAGAGGCAGGGAAATGAGAGTGGTCAATTGGCTATCAGCTCTTATTTTGACAGGGTGAGCTCTCTCAATTTCAATGAAGTTATCCGAAGAGCCAATCCTTGCAATTACTTCACATCTGCAATAGTTTACTTGGGTTTCTCTGGTGATTAGTCAGACTCCTCAGGCCCTCTGAGATCAAATCCAGATGTTGCTCTTTGTTCACAGCTAGGACCACATTGTAGAAAACCCCCCTCTGTGTATCTATATATGTAATCCACATTATTAGGCATAATTAGTCTGCTAAAACAGCATAACAGATTGATAACTGATCTTACCAAGCTATATAATATCTGATCAAATTCTCCTACAGGCTGTAAATTTTATACTGTATCACAATGAGATCACGGTCTGTGGCTGAAGCCTTTCTGCACCACAAGTGACTCATGACTCTTAGTCATTTGTCTCATGGACATAAATGTCATAAATGCTCTCATTTCAATTAAAGCTGTTGTCTCTTGGCTCTGTGCAGGCATGCGTTTGACTTCGTCACACATGCGTCACTGCAACCTGCTGCGTCCTGAAACACTGTTGTTCAATCACACAGCACAGATTTCCATCATTTCAAAACAAGATCTGATTTTCTTTGTCTCTGGTGATTATTAAACAGGCTGTTATTTTAGATGAGTAAATGACGGACATTACAGACTGCCTGTAGTTGAGCAATCTGCGGATTTGAGGGTTAGCTGTGCTGGAACCAGCAAACATAAGCACAGTGTTGGTTTCAGATGAGGAAAGGTGGCTGTTGCCATACTGGAATAGCACACTTACTTTAACATTTGGTCAGTCTACGTACCCATAAAATATGAAGCTAGGATGAAATTAAACCCCTTAACCTGCTGCTGAAACTTGCTGGTCTGTCTGTCTCAGCCATGCCCCTAATAATGTAAATCTATGCATAATCTGTTGTTTTAACATAGACTGGTTATCAAAAATTGGGATGACAGACTTCTTAATGATGAAAAAAATAGCTGTTCATACCAAAAGCGTTACTATACCTAAAGTTTTTTTTTTTACTTTTTTTTTTAACATTTGTTTTTTTATGATTTTTATTTTTTATGATGTTTATCATAATTTTTCTTTTGCTAGGCAGTGAATATGTTTTTAAAATCTATTGTTAAAACCTGGCACTGAATATAATAGGGATTAATGAGCTTTGAGGGCTAACCTCAAGTGGCCACTTATAGAAATTGCAGCTTTTAGCACTTCAACTTTTGGCCTCAGTTTCTGTCACGAAAAAATTCCATTTGGTTAAAACATCTTTTTGAAGTAGCTGGCACACAAACTCATGCTAAGATGAAACTAATTTGTACCCTAGTTGAGTTTACTATAATCTCCTTTATTTTTTTATATCTCCTTTAATCTCTTATATTACTTTGAAGTTTAAGCAGGTAAATTTGGCCTCAATAAAGAAATTAAAAAAGATGGTCAACAAATTAGAAAATACAAAAAATATCATTTCGAGTGTTGGCAGAGCGTTAAAAACCGTCAAATTGACAATGTTTACTTTTTTTAACTTTATTTTTTAATAGTCAAGTCTTTCATTATTATTTAATATACATATACTTTGCTTTGTACTTTTTGCTAGAATGTGGTGCCAGGAATAATTTGATTTAAACACTCAATTTTCAATGCACATAAGATAGCATTTTTACAGTGTCATAAAATGGCTCTTTTAGGTGCATCCTGAACAGTTCATGTTTAAAATAATGGTATTAACCAAACCCTCCTAAGCCTACAGGGATGTAGTGACTCAGATCATTTTAAGGACACCAGATGAGACACAAAAGCTGACTTATGTTGCACAACTGTAACTTACTTTAAGATTTATCTAACTGACAAATTGAAGGGAAACAGAAAAAGAGGAAATTAAACAGAGAGAAAGAGAGAGAGGGGGGAGAGAGAGAGAGTGAGAGAGAGAGAGAGAGAGATTGTTGGTGTATTTTGAGGGGGAGGTGTTTGTGTGACAAGAATGTCACACATTTCAGGATTCACCCCCCTCTGAGCTCAAAGTCATTTATAGGCCCGTGAGCAGTTTGCTTTGCTTCTACTTGACTTTTGTCATTTTGGGATTGTGTCATCTCTCCTTAGCTGTGATGTTGGGAATTATTGGAAATTCTGAAAACAGGTTAGCAAGCTTTAAAGTAGAACTAATTCATCCTCTGAGCTTATCTCTTTGGTAAAGCCACATAACTTACATGATTATTCAGTGTGTCAAAGTCTTTAAGCTTTGGCAATCAAACTGCAAATGCAAGAAGTAAATGCCTTTAAAAGTAAGAAAAAAGTAGAAAAATAAGGAGAGTATGCATGATTCGAGTGTCCCAGCTTCGTGAACCTGCACCGAATCAATCAAAGCCAGAGAGAGGCGATCACCTATCTCACTGATAGTTGCTGAGTAAAAGTTGCATAGCATAAGGCCAGACAGAACAAAATCTAAGGCTGATCTATTTTCTTGTTTGGAAGTAATATGACTTCCTACATACCTTCTTGTGATTTAAATCAAGGTCATTAACTGTGATGTGTTGGAGGATGCAGAAATCGGGACATTAATCCTGAGGAAATAGTTATCTGCCTGAGGAGGTGTGATTCGAATGCAATGGGACTGGATAGTGGTGGGTGAAAAATGTGACAACAAGTCTCTGTCACCAGACATTATCTTCCACAAGTTTTCCACATAACTCCTGAACTATTCAAGATGTCACTGAGGGAGGAAAATCTAGGACCGTACCTCTTGTTCCCATGAGCCTCATTTGCTCAGCTATTTATTGTGCATAGCTGAGTCCCCCCCTCCCTGTGTTCTGGGCCTACTTCTCAAGAGGAAAGACATATTAGCAACAGGATTTGCATGCATTTTTGAGAAGAGTAATGGTTGAATCACAGAAGTATCTCAACCACAAAAAGGGCATGTGGAAGAAAAAGAGTCTGCTGCTTTTTTATCTTTGGACGACTCTGCAGAGTCTGGAGGTGAAGACTCAATTTGGCTTCCAGAGGTGTATTGGTTCCTTTTTGTAGTTCACATGTATATACTCTCAAGCTCTATTGTATTGTGAAAGGGGAAACAGGAGAGAAAGGAGGTTGACTACAAACCGAGATCTTATACCTTGATGACGAATGATAATTTTGCTCTACAGAAGCAGTTTGTAGTATTTTGCAGCATTTAACAGAACAGACCTGGTAGAAACTGAATAAAATAGTGATACACACATTTAAATCACTGTATAATCACCTGAGTATAAAAATGGTTTTGTTTTCAGTGACTGAGATAGAGTCTTTTCTATCTATGCAGGAGCTGGTCCCCCTTCTAAGATGCTGCTGTAGGTACCAGATGTGTTCAGGCTGCCATATCGGCGCGGGGCCCGGCGCCTACTGATGATGTTACGCTATATGATTGGTTGAAAGTTGGTGTGGATGATGTGGAAGATTGTGGTTGGTCTGGACATTATGGAAGCATTTTTTGCCTAGGTTTCATGGGATTGTAGTTCTTTGGAGAAAACATGGATGAAATGTACAAAGGAATCCATAGCTAATTATCAAAGGGAATTTACAACAGCCAGGGTACTTCCTCTTTTTGGTTGCCAAAGGAAATGTGGAATAAACGCAAAAGGCAGTTCAGGTCTATCCAATCGCAAACAAACAGATTCAAGAGCAGTTTCTATCCCAGTGCCATACTGGAACTGAACACTGCATGACACCAACTCGCATTGTAAAATAAAACTCAGTAAATGTTGACATCCCATTGCACCTTACACTGCTGCCTGCACATTATACTGCACAAAGTATTTATGATATTCATTCTATGTTTACATATTTGCACTTTATACCTACCCCTGTACATGTTTACTTCTCTCCGTTCTACCTTCGTGTCCTGCTGAATGTACAGACTCTATAGATTGCATGGATTGTATAGCTATATATACATATTTTTAATATCTATGTTTACTCTTCTTTTTTTTTATTTGTTTACTTACTATAGCTATATGCATTTTGTTCTCCTGATCGCCAGTAAAGTTAAAATTAAAAGTGGGCTGCTTTGTCTGAAGTGTGTACAATTTTTCTCTTTTGTCTCGCAACATGCAGTGAGGAAGTCATGGCTGGAATATGCTTGTATTTGTCGCTGGGCTTACATTAGCTGAGCTAGCACCACCAGGCTTCAGTCACCTCAGAAAGTAAACATCCACATGCTTGTGCTGGTGGCTGGACTACAGCTTAGTCACAACAGCTAACAGTAATTCAGGCTGTCCTTAAATAAAATATTAAAAACCAATTTGACCAACTAGTAATTTGGTGCCTAGTAAAGTCTGTGAGCTAACTGCCTCCTTAGTGAGGACCATAAACTGTATATAGAATGGATGCAGTCTGCCTCCTCGCTGGGTGAACCCATCGCGAGAACAGCACCCTCTGGTGACGGGCTGCAGTATAGGTCATAAATCCTGCCTCCTTGTGCAATCCCTATGGAGCTTGTTTTCTATGATTGACACTTTATACAGCCTATGGGCGTACGAAGATTGCGTAGCTCATCCGGGTGATACGCTGTTTGTGCCGAGCGTCATCACAGCGACTCTCCTGCTGAATGCGAACAATGCTACTGCACAAGTGGTGGTTCCAGGAAGTGGAGAAAATCCCGGAAATGCCGAGAGAAATTCTGCTTCAAGTTCATATAATGTCAAAAGGCTGAGCCAAGCTGTCTGTAGTATATTCAGTCTATGGTGATGACTATTGGAAGATAAAAATGTTTTAATTTTTTCTACATTCAAAAGCAAAATCAAAGCCATTTATTCAGATAGGCTACAATCAATTTTGAGAAAAACAATCTGTTTCCTAATTCTTCAGCTGCCTTTAAAATCAAATTTGTCACTGTGTTGTCTTGTGTTTTCTATTGCTGCTCTACCTGCATGGTTTATACAGAGGTTTTCTTATTCAGTGCATGTATTAATTAGACCGGTGCATCTGCCGCTGATGGCAAAGGTAAATCCCTCTGTTGGAAATTGGCAGGTGTATAAAATGTCTAAAAGCTGCTTGTATTTTGTGTAGCTGTCCATGTCCTTGCATCTCACATTACACATTAAATTTCCAATCACTGTATTCTACACTTTATGTCAGAAAAAAAGATTAAATCTGTGTTTTTAATTGGGATTTATTTCTACATCACAGTTAAATTGTGACCAAAGGAGATTAGTTAAGCTAAACCAAATCTAATTTCAGCTCTGCTCTCACATTTGCATATTCTGCAGCTATAACATGGAATGATTCACCTTTTCCACTTTCACAGATGGGATCATCAAGGATCAACTGATGTGTTGGTGTATTTAGATTTCCCTTTTTTCCCACATTAAGTAGCTTTTGATAAAGTCTTAATTTCCTTACTACATCATTATTAGCGTTTGATACCGACGTGCCATCTGGCAAATGTTAAAGCACAAGCAGATAAGAATTCATAATGAATATGGTTGACTCTATGACAGATTGTAATAAAAGAGAGGGGCTGTGACAATTATCGCAGAGACAGAGCGTGAGGGCATTTGACAATGTGGCAGGCCTGCACTCGCTAATTGCAAAGCTGCTCGTACATTTCCACAATCTCTCCGACCATCAGTATTCCTTTATGTGCGATCACATCCTTATTTCAATGTTTCCTCTCCTTAAATCCCACTCTGCTGCACAAGTCAGATTGTGTATTTAAATGGATTTTATTTAGCAGTTAATTTGAGCTCAGTGATATATAACAGCAGACCTATAACACCTCCCCACCTACACATGGTGAGAATGAATCCAAATCGTTCTGTTTCGCAGCCGTGTCAACTCCTCCCCAGCACCACCTGTCATCAGGATATTTTGCAGCAATATCAGAAGAAACACTTTGGAGGTTGTGTGAGCTGTGTGCTTTCATCAGTGTCCCTTAATTAAATCTACCTTTCCCCAGGCTCTCCCGTGATCTCTGCAAATAAAATACAGAGTAAACACACCTAATTAAAGAAGTTAAAACACAACCCTACCAGGTTCTGCCTCTATGTCAGTGGCTGGCGTATCTGCAGAGACTCTGCAGTGTGCTGTAATTCCTTCCCAGCTCACAGTCAGTGCAGGCTAAAATCATGTGTCATTAGTAAATTACACAGGTGCCAGACTGAGTTATCATCTTGAGTATGAAAAGCTTCATAATAACCTAAGGAGGTGCTTCTAAAACGGTCCTATCTTTTAAGCTAAATGAACACGCCACACTGATATGAGATTATCCAGCTTTAGAGCAGACACTGTTGCCCCGAGGCCTGCAGCCAGTTTATGATGCACTATTTTCCCCTAATCTTTTTCAACCTCAACAAGCACAAGTGCAGGATGAAAAGGAAGAAGAGAAGAGAGCAAAAAATGTGTTGTACAGATACTAAAATTCTAAGTTTTTATAACATAATCATTTTTCTCTAAAAAATCTTTGAGACTGGCAGACAGTGGTGGGAGGTGTGACTGCTATGAAATTCCACAATTTCGCAGCCGAACAGCTGTGTAGTGTTGTGCCCTTCAACCAGTCAAACTATAACTGAACGATGGATATGCTTTAGTCAAGGAGTTGGATGCAGCCACATAACAACTACATTTGTGCAAATCAACATCTCAATTCTGTTGTTCATTTTCAAAAAAAAAAAAAAAAAAAAAATACAGAAATGCAAAAGGAGTTGGAAGTCACCATTTTCCTCTTAATAAGGATGTGCAATAGAACAACGCATACTGAAGGACTGGAATGTGTTAATAATCTGCTAAATTTGATCCACTGCAGATGCACATGGACAATGTCTACACAGGTTAGGTCGAGTGATGCAGACCAGCAGGGCCACAACAACGGAGTCAATCGTATTTCTAAGCTGTACAGGCTGCTTTTGAAAACAGCTTTTGAAATGCCCACATTTAAAAAGTGTTCTAGTGTTGTTTTCAGTGTTTATGTGAGAAGTGGTATATCTGCTCATTAGCGGGGAAGAAGACTCTGTGTAACTTGGAGTCAGATTAGGTGCACTGCAGAGATGATAAACACAAATACAGTCTCAGACAGTCTTATTTGCATACAACAGTTATGTTTGGCAATAGGACTCCATTCTGAGAGCTCCCTGCCCTTCCACGTGCTCATGTGACCTGATAGGGAAAGCAGCAGCATCAAAAACCCAAAACAAAACAGAGCTGACATTAATGACAAAACATATGACACTGGTGAGGTCAGACTGAGCAGAAAAGGAGGAGCTGGGTTGGAGGGGCAAACCGGTTGCAAAGGAAAGCAGCTCTAGTTCAGGCGTGCTACGTTGATGATATCTTTACCTCTAACTGCTTTCTCAGCAGAAGTTATTTGACTTTCTACTTTTTTTAAGGACATCATGAGATTATGGTGCAAATGTTGTTGATTTTAAATTTGACTAAGAAGTGAAATTCATGAAAAAAAGAACATGTCCATGAAATGAATAATACCGCAAACATGCAATAAATTAAACAGACTGGTATGCTCAGCAAGCTCGCTGATCTGTGTCAAACATGTATTTTACTGGAGAGTTGCTGTTGTTTACCTTTTGCAAATGTGTGTGAGACTTGTACTACAATGAGTTCACGTGAGTGACTCCAACCTACACTTTGACCCATACAAAAATGAAAATATTATTTTCAAAAGTTTCAAACTGTAAAGATTGCAGTGTACTTGACATTAATATCAAGATGTTACAGGTGTTATGTGCTGGACTGTCTAATGAATCGATCTTTGCCACTTTAACTGCTTATCTGAAAAGCCTGGGTTCTTAAGATTCCCTGAAAAAAGATATGTTTTCAGTATTTTTTCTACAAATGACACTCACATGACTGAGTTTTAATCAGAATTGGTTTGAATAAATATAACCTATGGAATCATTTATGAAGAATACGACCTTTAATTAAGTAACTAATCCTCTTTTATAAGGACTGTGTAGGTGCGGCTTGCTTGGATTTAGTTGACAGTACAACAGCAAACAAACCCTCAATTGTCATCAGTCAGATCCAAATGCAGCTAAATCCTGGTTTGTGCACAGAAGTGTGCAGGATTACCTTATACAGCTGAGATCTTACAATTTTAAACCAACGGCAACAGAACAGACAAACAAAACATGAAACGGAACTCTCATTTAAAGTAACCTGAACATTTTTTACTGGGGCAGAGAACTGTTGAATTTAGAGGAAGAGACACTCACTCATGGTGTAGAAAGAAGACAGGAGTTCAATAATCAGTTCTTATACTAGCTAAGAAAAAAGGAAAACATGTTGGATTATCAGATCATAACTTGCTGTTTGATTTGAGACACCTCTTTTGAATAAGCTTGTTGTGGTTACAGTGCAGACATTTTTTAACAGAGGAGTTCCCAAATTCATTCAGATTAAGGGAGAGAAGGAGAACAGGTGAGTGTGAACACCGAGAAGAAGTTATAATATCACAAGTTAGTGGCACTTTTCTTTCAGTAAGTGTCTAAAACCTACATATCCATGAGATATATGCGTTCAGAAAAATAAATGTATGTGAATAATGAAACTGCGACAATGTCAAGGTATAGATAACTCTCAATTTTTAACCTTCAGAAAAATTGAATCAATGCAGATTATTCTGCACACAAAAAATAATTTCATCGTCTTCTTCTTTGTCCCCCAACTTTTGGCGGCCGCTCGTTGATTTTAAAAATACTTGTGATGGCCTTGATAGCTGCAGTTCAGTGTATTGCCTTTAAATGGAAAAGTGTTACACCAGCATGCTTAAACATGTGGCTGAATGAGCTCTCATCTAATATTCCACTAAAAAAAAAAAAAATCTATAATTTAAAGAAGCCTTTAATGAGGTACGGGACAATTTTCTAGCTCTTGTGCACAAAGGATGAGGCAGATTGAACTCTTTCTGAGATGATGAAGTTTTAAATTGTGAAAACCTTGGAAATGAAATTTGATTTACCTGCATGTATACATGTGTGTATGGGTGCAAATAATGTACACGCAGATGTTTATGTAGATTTTTATTTATTTATTTATTTTTCTGTTAATTTGTATCCTTCCTGTTGCTATGTGAAGGGAGTGGGTGGGTGGGGAAGGATTCATTGAATCTCTTCTGTAAATAACACTGAATTTATAAATAAATAAAAAATATATATGGAAAAAAAAAACTTATGATGATTACTAGTTTGCCCCCATTAGTAAGAAAACCCAGACTCTCAAGTCTATGTTTAGGGTTTCTGTATTAGCTATAATCAATATTTCCCTGTTAAATTTGAGAATATAATAACTCAGTTTAATATGATGGCAAAATGGTCATCATCATCATCAACTGAAATAAAACTATCTGATTTAAATGAGTGAGCTTTTTTTCAAGATACTAATTTCAGCAAAGCCTGTTAAATAAAGACACACACCTTTTGTATTTTTTATTTTAATTTTAAATTCATCCTAAATTTATATGGAAACAAAGTTTATTAGCAACTGGTTTTGTAGCTTTGATGCTGCCTTTTTTAAAGTTAAGAATCCAGGAACTCCATCCTCTGCTAGATTTAAGGCACAAATACATACTATGATAGAAACAAGAACCTTACAAGATACAGAAAACATGACAACATGTCCGTTTGAATAACAATTTTGTAGAAAAAGTTGTCTGCTATTGACAAAAAACGCTCTTACTTGAGCCTGAACAAGTGTTTTTGTCAGTCAATAGCTCCTCCACTTAGGGCCTGCAGTATGTGACTGTCTAACACTTATCTCTGCAGGACTTATAGGAGTTAATGAGAGCAGCTTGACAATGTGAGACTACCTGGAGCCTAAGGGCCTGTCGGGGAGTGAGTAAACCATTAGCCATGGCCCCGGGGCAAACGGCTCCCTAAAAAGTGAAGACTTCTGCTGCTCCATTTTCTTTCTAAGTCTACATGCAAAGGCTAAGACTGGAGCAGTATTTACTGGAGACAGGGTCCTGCTGCTTTGTCCCGTTACTGCCACGGCAGATATCTAATGCCATGTCCTGTCAGCAACCTGAACCCCAGCTGGTCAAAACAAGTCTGAGATGTAACTGACATACAGTAATCCCTGCAAACAACACACATACACTGGCTTTTCAGAGAGGCAGGGAGAGTTGATACAGACAAGAGTAATGGCTCTCTCACCTGTAACATGATTCTGTCTTTAGAAGGAGGCCTGAGGATGGGTGGAGGTGCCCCACCCTCCGTCCTCCCTGTTGGACACCACTGTTCTGCGGCTCATTGTCTTTGTGTGATGGGTCAGGAAGATAAATCCTCTTTGCTCTCCGGTTTTTGCAAACAGCCACAGAAAAATGATAGCCCTGGGAGCATATTTTTGGCATCATATAAATAAGAAATGAAAAAAAGGGAAAAAAATTATACCCCTGAAAAAAATCCTCCTGTTTCCAAGCCTCGTAGGAACCACAAACAGAGGCCTGTGGTGCACTTTTAGACGCCAAAAGAAGTCAGTAAAGTTCTGTTTTAATCCTCTTTTGTAGAGTTGATAAGTAGTGTAAAGTATATAAATTTGATAAAAAAAGATACAGACTTTTACACTCATTGAATAGATTCAAAGATGTTGTGAGTTTATCGATGTTTTCACAGCATCATGGTCCTGTTAAATTAAATACATGACTACATGCATCTTGTTTTTGTTCAAATCCTTAATAATTATGTAGCGCTTGTTGTTTTAATTTTACTCAAACAAACGTGGCGTCTTTGTGTCCCTGAAGCAGCCAGCCGCCCTGGTTCAAATCTGTGGCCTCTCCTTTAACTTTCCCTCTTCTTCTATCCACTGTCCTACCCTTTCAGTGAAGGCCTGAGCCGAAGAAATATATAGAAACAGCAAACCCTTAATGCTGGATAGATTTTTTAAATTAAATCGATACAAAGGTATTAGCACACACTACGTCCTTTTTCAGCAGTTAGCCCAAAGCCACATGTACCTGTGTTGTTGTTAGCTCATGAGGGTTCACTGAAGAGTGCACATGTGAATGATCCAAACTCCATCCAAACATAGATTTACATCCTACACATTCATTGCTTCATATGCGACTACATAAAAGTTATTGTCATATAACAAGGTTGATGTATTTTCATGATAATCTTCAGTCTACTCAATAAAAAATGAAGCAATGCTTGGAAAAACGCAAAATGTCACATGGACTCGTTTCATAGAAAGGATCTCCCTGTGAACTTTTACACATTAATTACTTAAACGGCACCTCTACTCTCAGAAAGCTCCTTCTGTTTTCAGTTTTTGTTGATATGATCAGACAGCTGATTAGTGTACTTAATACTTATGAACAAAGACATATGGAGACAGGTGTTTGTGGCATACTACAATGTGTTATATTGAAAGGTGTTCCTTTAACCCTGTCCATTTTTCTAACAAATATGAGGTAAGCATAAAATGTAGAACAACTTCTGCAATAACAGGCCACACCACTAACATCCGCTGCAACTTCAACAATTCATTTCAGCAACAATCTCACCTGTCTGACCAAGTACACAGAAACCCTTCCGGCCTTTAAAACTGAGATATAAAAGTAAATAACGTTGATAATTTATTATTCATGTTTCAAAACCATATGAACATATAAAAATGACATAAAATAGCTGAAAACCCTTAAAAGGAAACTGTATGCAGCCCCCCCCCCAAAAAAAATCTCAGTTGCCATCCCCTCCACCCTGTAGTGATAGAAAAAGTTCCTTTTTATTATCTGAGCGCAGCAGAAGTTTTTCGGAAGATTGAGGCAAACTTTTTAAATCCTGAATCTACAAAGGTTAAGAACACCGGCTGATCACCACACTCGGGCTCTTTTGAGTACATTACAATCACTTTGAAACACATGAAACAATTGCAAACATGGAGGTGATTTAGGACATTAACGGCAGGTGGTAGAGACCTGCACAAAGGGAGATTGTATGAAGATTAGAGTGATGAAATAGTCAAATTTATTATCTTGACAGCTGGATATTCCAATTTCTTTGCCGCTGAGCCATGTAGATCTTCCAGAGTGCAAACACGTTTAAGTACTTCTTCAGAGTCAATTAAATCAGATACTAGTTAAATTACCATTTTTATTAACCTACAGGTTCACATTTGTGTAATTTTAATCACTATTGGAAAGACTATTAGAAAGGCTTTCCTATGAAGACAGAACGAAGGGTCATTTAGAGAGCAGTGGAATTAATCACACAATGTCACTTCAAATCTACCTTTCAATTCACTTTAAAGCTCGCTCTGTGATTTACATGTGCATGGTGAATTATCTGTGGTTAGTTAAAGGGGAGATTAGGGGTGGCGATTGGCTGCACCCACCTAAAGCTCCAGGAAACTTGAACGTCACACCTGAACCAAAGAAAGATTATTAAAATGAAGGTTGAACAGTATTTCAGAAGAGTTAGAGCAGGGTTATTAAATACCCAAAGTTCAACTTTACTGTCAGTATTCTGCTACATATCATCCTCTATTCCCCCATACCTGTGGAGTGTCCCCTCCTCTGCTATATGCAGCACCAGGCCGACCTCTGGAGCATAGACACTAAATAATATACCAAGAGAACATTAACCTTTAGTTGTGGTGTTAAGATGGAACCTCAATTAACAAGGGTAAATAATCCTTGTGATTACTTTTGGCTGGCCTTTATCTCGTACATAACCTCATTAAATGAAGCATCCAAACATAAAACCACAACTAATCACGAGCTCTGCCGAGGCATTGCTGTATAACCGTGTGGGATTTTAAAAACACACCCACGCATGTGCGAGCGTGCATGCAGCCCTAACACACACACACACACACACACACACACACACACACAGAGTTAGTCTGAAAAGGTGTTACGCTTAATAAAGTGTGTGGCTTTGGAAAAAAACTCCTCAAATTCAATCAAATGTTTTCAAGCTCACCTTTGTGATATTAAGTCAAAATTAATCAAAACTAATTATGACTGAAGGATGTTTTAACAATTTACCTACTATCAACATGACCTTAGGTGGTTGTCAAATAAGTTATTACAGATAAAATCTGAGACGGTGGCCTTCAAAGTCTCAAAAAATCAACTGAAGAGTCACAAAATTCTGCCTCCTCATTTCACCAAAATACTTTGCAAATTGATTTTACTGAAGTGCTCACATTTACATAGTCTCCAGGTTTTTTTTTTACCCCGTCTACTCTTAGACTTAGCTTTAGCATCCAGTAAAAGCTCAAAACCATCACTTATAGTTTAAGGTCATGTTTAGGGGGTGACAGATTTCCCACTCTTAAGGTACAAAATCACCCAGTACAGTAGAGTACAGATTAACAAGAATAGCTCAAAAAAGGATCACAAAGCCTGCCTGCAATCAATGTCAAATTTCCAAGTACATACAAAGTCATTAAGTTAACATCCTCCTGCTTGTGCCATCAACCTGCTTGTGCCATCCACACATTGCTCCAGTTGGATGCAACCTGACACAACATGCATTTAACTTTACCTCCATCTGGATCAACATAATACCAAATCCTGCCGTGGTAGGAGATACCGTCTGTCATCTGTGCCTGTATATACATTAAAATAGTCAAGCATTGTAGTGTAAAGGCCAGTGTCACCTTTAGATTTAGATCTGCAGCCAATGCTAGCTGGGCTCAGTGATGCCAGTAACGTGTTACTTAGTAACACGCTACTCTAATAAGTCCACTTTTTCCAGTAATAAGTAATCTAACGCGTTGTTATTTCCAAACCAGTAATTAGATTTAGGTTACATGTCCAAGTCACTATGTGCGTTACTTTTTTCTCACTTTTCTTAAAAAAAAGAGAGATATGTTTTTGTCTGGGGGGAGTGACGTCAGTGGTTAATGTGTATATATATATATATATATTTTTTTTTTGACATCTGCTAAAATTACACTTCCAATAAAGTGAGTGTTGGAAACATAGACTGTATATACTATGGACAACCTGGTTCCGCCTACCGCCTGTATACGGATTTGAAGCCAAAAAGCTCTCTGTATTTCCAGGATTTTTCTTCATTTCCTGAAACCAGCGCTGTGCTGTAGAGATGTGCGCATTCGGCCGCACAGTCGCAGAGAGTTGCTGTGATGACGCTCGGCTCAAACAGCGTATCCCCCGGGAGAGCTACTCAATCCCTGAACGCCCACAGGCTGTATCCGGTGTCAATCATAGCAAACATGAACCCCCTAATAACTTTTAAAAAAGGAGCTTCACAGAAAAAAGAGGACTTGAGCACAAACCAGTCTTACTGTAACTACATGTCAACGTCGCAAGCAGGGGGGAGAAAAATGTATGTTCTGTGTAATAAATTTCTAAAGTTTGTCCACAGCCCCATAAGCTTTGCTGGCGGAGGCCGGATTTATGATCTGTACTGCAGCCCATCAACAGAGGGTGCTGTTCTCTGAGTGGCTTCACCCCGCGAGGAAGCAGACGGCGTCCATTCTATACACAGTCTATGGTTGGAAAGAAAATGGTTGTCATTTATATGTTGAGGTGGCTGAATGTAACTTACAAAGTAACTTGTTATTTAACTTAGTTACTTTGAAAATCAAGTAATCAGTAAAGTGACTTTTCAAAGAAGTAATCCGTAATCAAATTGTGGCAACACTGGCTGTGCTTCAGCTAAGACTCATCACTAGACCTGAATTTTAGTCCTACAACGATAAAAAATATCAATAAACGCTGAAAAAAACTCGTTTTTGGGGGTACTGACATTTATGCATTCAACCAAACTCTCACAACCTTAGGATATTCAAGTTACACAGTCTAACTTTGCAGTTACTTCATTAACCGACCCTCTTGTTTTGATAATATTATGTTTATCCTGTATGACACTGAATTTATGCAATTTAGTGTTTACTGAATTCATAAGCTACGAGTTCATTCAACAAATTCCAGATTGATGATGAACAAACAGACAACATCTAGCTGGTTCTAGTCTAAAATGTAGCTTTAAAAATATTACTCTCTGCTTTGATCATTCGGATTAATTATATTTTATTTTTTATAAAATAAATAAATAAATAAGAGTTTAATCTAAAGGTAACTCAATGGTTTACCGCTTGTAATTTAGGCCTTTGAGAGGTTCAGATTAAATGTGATCAATTTGAGTTTAAATCAGCAGATTCATCAGTAAAGGAAATACTCTAAAGTTGCAGCTCATCGATTGTTTCAATATTGTCTAACATGGATCTTAGTTCAGTTATAGGGTAAAATGTAAGAAAATGCCACATATGTGAACATCATAACTAGAGGCAGTTAGGTAAAGTCAATGTACCACTGCTGATGTATAAAAAGTGATACCAGAGAAAAAAGTGTTCAAGATACACCCAGTACCTTGCTCTGTTCTTGTCTCGATTCAAACCATTTCCCTCATGGACATTATTTTAGGGAATAATGAGTCATCAAAAAACATTCAGACTCCATCTGCAGTTCCAAAAGTACAAAATCAACACACTGCACACATCTCCAGTCTGGAAGTGTTCCCAAACAGTTTCTCAGTGGACAGTCAAACTTATCTGAAGCCTTAGTGTAATAACATCAGATTTGCCTTTTATTGTGTTTGCAGGTTGGAATTAGTTTAAATAGGCCATAGGAAATTGACTCCATTTAATCTGAGCATTGAAATGTAGACCGTGTAATCAGTTCCCGTTCACATGTGGGCCAAGATAAGACTGGTTTTATTTGTGTGTAAATCTATCCTGAGAGGCCTCATTCTTGGCCGTGGCTATAGTAAGCCATGCCTCCCAGCTATAGCAGCGTGTGTGTGTGTGTGTGTGTGTGTGTGTGTGTGTGTGTGTGTGTGTGTGTGTGTGTGTGTGTGTGTGTGTGGACATTACTGGTCCTTCACTTGGGTCCCCACCCTCTGCCTCAGGATCCTTGTGTAATTGAGAGATGATCTGGGCATCCCAGACAAAGCATGGTCACACTGCCTCAGGAAGTGAGCACAATAATCTTTGTAACAAGGCGAGGAAGACTCTGCCTCTCTCATGGTGGAAATAAGGAAATGTAATTCAGGGGGAAATAATCAAATTCCTTCAGTTTATTACTAACTAGTAGAAAAAAAGTTCCTTAGGAGGCGAAAAGTCAAATCTGGCATGAATTGTAAGATGAAGCCATTCATACTTGCCTTCAAACACTGTTCTCTTTGTTTCAGCCAAAGTCGCAGTGTTATACAATACAAGTACATATTCTAAGTCATTTGCATCCATATCTGTTACTTTAGCTCTGTAGTGGCACAATGCATTATGAAGCAAACTTGATTGTGAGTTGTCACCTGAGCCTCATTCCCTTTAATTACATGCGTTGTGTGGACACATATGCATACAAATGGCTTATTTGAGAAGTGAATGAAAAGGAGTTCATTTGAAAAACTACAACAAAACCATTTGTTCCCAGCAAAACAGCACTCGCTGTATGACAAATGATGCTTTAGTCTTATGAATAATTCTCAAATTCTAAGCAATCAAGTTTTAAAGATATCGTAAATCCTGTTTAAATGGCCTCATTCATTACACAGTGGATATGGGAGGGATACTAATAAAGTGTTGCGTCTGAAATTGTCTCTGACTTCATGTGTCGCTGGGAGATGTTCGCTGCAGAGCTGATGTATGGTGTGAATGACTGTATAGTGATGGAAATGTCGCTGTGGCCTCGTTAGCATTCTGCTGTAACCCTCGGGCACGAGTGTCAGATTCCCTCAAAATTTACAGCTCAGTTTGGAACCGAAAGAATCTGTGCATAATGGCTGTGAGGGGCCTTATAATAAAAAAAAAAAACGGATTCACACGCAGGAGGTCAGCTATGAGGGAGACGTTGATTAATGAACAACTTCTCCAGTAAAGGGTTGAAATTGGTCCAAAGTACAAATTCACAAAGTTGCAGTAGATGTCATTAAATGCAGTTTTGATCAGTTTTCTTGTTGTTTTAATCTCTTTGCTGCTCTCTCAGATGTAATATCTAACATTATGCAGACTAGGGGCCTCCTGCATTACGAGTTAGCTGGTTTTATGTGCATTTTTAATGCCTATAAGTCACTATAATGGGGCTTTCTCTATATTGACTCATACATGTTGTCATATATTTTTAGTATGAGCAGAAAACTGAACAACATCGGAAACAAAGTGTAACAGCCTTTGATTAATATGATAAAACACAAGTCATGATAATAATGCGATCATTCATGTAGCAATACTCATACAACTTAAGACAAATATGTTTGATTAGGGCTGCAGCTATCAAAAATGTAGTAATCGAGTACTTGACTGAATATTCCATCGATTGATTGAGTAATTGGAAAAAACATATTTTTTTTTCAGTTAAAGTGCAATTATTATTATACAAGAGAAAATAAGACATTTAACTTAATCATGAACAATCAGTTGTTTTCCTTTTTAGAAACAAGGAACACAGAACAAGCGTGTGCGTTAGCAGATTGCAATGCTCATAAAAAAGCTAATTATGATATTAACTTTCATCATGTCCCTAAAGACATTAGTGTCTGAGAGCTGAATAGCTTCTATGTTACCTGCTTCTTCAACTACACCGGCAATGTTAGGCTGCAAGCTAGCATGAAGAGGAGTGTGCAGAGCTGTCTCCGCCCACGACTCAGAGTGAATTACTAATGAGCTACTGGAGCTCTGCAGGAGAAAAGTCCCTCTCATCATTCATTTTTTCCGCTCCGCAAAACCAAAACCGCGCTAACTCCTCCTTCGACAGTGGTGATGTAAGCCCGATGTGTCCGCTAGAAAATAATCCGTGTAGATCGGTTTAAGCTTATAAACTAGTACTCGAGGCTGAGAAAATTCCTTTATCATTTTTTGTAATTGAGGTACTCGAGGAATCGTTTCAGCCCTATATTTGATCTGAAGCCTAAAAAGGTTATCCAGATAACCGCTATGAACTTTGATAGTATTCGGTGTTGTCACAAATTGAGGCTGTCCACTCATCATTCGACAATTCGCTGCACAACTTTCAGGCGTAGGTTATGTTAACATGCATATATGTATTTTAAAAAGGATTTCTTTTTCTATGTTTTCAAAAAGAATCCTGTCCACCTTAAGTGTTGGTGAATATTTTTCACACGACAAAGAAAAATGGACCAGAAGGTAGTGATACTGTGTGATCAGGCTGTCACTATAACTCCTGCGAAGAAGGAGGAACATAACTAATACGTGGATACGGAGCATCTACTTGAAAAGTGTCCTTTATACCTTGTACAAAGGGGCAAATTAAAAACTGCTGAGTATGATTTTTTTTGTTTCTGTTTATTAATACATGCTACAGTTATCACTATGAGAAAGGTAAATAAAAGAAGACAGGATGACTATCTTTTGCTGAAAAGAAAAGGCCTCATATACGCTGGAAGCAGTATCTAAATGCAAGCAGCCGCTAACATTTCCTGCATGTGTAGCCCCCCCTGTCCTCTTTCAGATGTCTCATTCCTTGAGCACTCAGCTAAGAAGGGTAGAAAATGTGAATTACAACTAAGCTACTTAACCACAATGAATTAAGGCCTAACATTTGAAAATTTGATACTGAAATTACTGTCATTATGGTGCATTATGTCTGAGCATAATGATTGCTTTGGCGCTGTTTGAAGACAAAGGCAGACTCTGGGGGGAAAGCATAGTCGGAGGAAAAGTTGATTTCATGGCTGTTAATGATATGTGAACTTCAAACCTTAATTCTAGCAGCCTTCATTTCCTGCCAATTCACAACTCTTCTTTTGTTACCTACCTAAATAGTAATGCATCTGCAAATGATTTCTCTTTCTGTGGACTCAGAGTGAGCCATACCCACTGAGAAATACTTGTCAGACAGGAGAAAATTGCTCCTTTTTTGGCTTATGTTTGCTTTGTACAACATGTGCTTCAGTGTCGAATGAATAAGAGAGAACATACTAGAAAGGCTTAACAGGAATGCACAGAGTGTTTTAATCTATTACCACTAACTGACGGATTTGATGAATCTAAAGAACACCAAACATACACAGAACTTTTGAGAGCATGTGCACCTTTTAGCAAAAGAGGCAAGAGTCAGACACACTGCACTTATGCAGAGCTTTCTTTGGCCTCTGCTGTGTTTTTGTGGGTGCAAATTTGCACCAAATGTCGAGGGTGCTGACAAAGAGATGAATTGCAAACCAAAATCTGGGACCACACAGTAACTGTGACCGCGCTTTCCTCACGGCTGTATTACTGAGCTGCCAAAACAGACACATGGAAAATGGGCCTGTATCAGCCTCCATTTTTTAAGGATGTTTCCAGGGTTGCAAACAATGTTGAGACCAATTGGAGCTGTTATTAATTCTCTATCAGTTTCAGTTTGGATGCCTGAAAGCCAATTAAAGGAAACTTAATTGAATCAGCCTCAGGACCCTCCTGAACAGGAACTCAAATGAATTGTGCTCAGGGAGGGATGGCAGAAAGAGAAGGAGGGCATGGAGGTTAAATAAAAAAGGGTGAAATTACAGAGTATAAGTCGTTTCTAGGAATAATGGCTGTGGACTGACCCTACTAAGAGGAAAATTAAATCTTGTTTGCAACCTTATCCAACCGAAACAGCTGCTGTAGTGTTTGTTATTTTTTGTCTGGTCACTTTTCAGGTTAAAACTGACACCAGCATCTGCCAAAGTTCGGAGATGAATTCCTAACAAAGTACATTCGAGGTGAGGAGCAATATTGACAGCCAGAAACAACATAGGTTTGGGTTTTGGTTGAACTGAAAAAAAAGGGTGTTCAGTGCTCCTACTTTAGAGATGGTACAATAACTCATCAAAAGATACTCACTTTTGTACCAGAGAGGTTTTTTTCATAGATGTGTTGTTAGGAAAACAGCTAATAAACAAGACCCTGACAGATAAAGAAAGGATGCAGAAAAGGCAAAAACTTTGATGGTGACATCTTGTGAGCCTGTTGCTGACTGGTTTTGCTGGCTATTTTTGATATGTGACATGCCAATCAGAGTCATGTTGCCACATACTGTAGCAGAAGGAGACATGCTTCTGTCAAAAATGCAATTCTTGCCTAGTGCATGTAAAGTGGGACAAGTACAGAAATCCAGCTTAATCACTTTATAGAGTGATTGCTGTGCTTTATGTAAATGTGCATGTAAAGTGTACTGAATGATGGAAGAGGTAACAATGTAAAGTGCTCATCAGTTTTTGACTATTCCCTGAATGAGAGACAACCAGCTCTACTACTGATCCACAGTTGACAGCCACACCAGTAGCTAGTAGACAGCCTTGCCTACTAGCTTAATACATCAAACTGAAATACAATTTAACTAGGTTATTAGTCAGTCCAGACTTTGAATGTTTGAATGTTAAAAGGAGGAGTGTGTAGTCTTTAGCAGCACTTAGCAGAACAGATAGAGTAGAAATGGAAGATAATTCCTGATATAGAACATCCCTTTGTTTTTTGTTATCGCAGAATTAGTTAAAGACCCACTCCAATGAAAATCATGTTTTTCTTGTTGTCTACATAATCACATGGCATTTTTTTTTCTGGTAATAAAGGACATATCACGAGAAAAGTAAGTGCGAAATTACATTTCTGAATATTACTGCATTCAAATCGCTGTAAATTTCTGGCAGACCTAAATGGCAGGCACAGAAACAGTGACATATTCTATGTAGCAAATCCAAGCTCCGCCCCTGGAGCCCCGCTATGCAGGCCAGACTCAGAGAAGCAGAGAGGACAATTGCGTAATAAGCGTGTGCGGTAGCGGATTGCAATACTCGTAAGAAAGCAAATTATGATATTAACTTTCATAATGTCCCTCCTTCATCATGGGCCTCCTTCTACTTAGGCCACTATCTTCCACTGCTATGTTTCTACAGTGGCACTGAGCTGCAGACTGGTAGCCTTATGTTTTTATATTCATTGAATGTCAGTGTGAAACGCACTGCTTAGGAAACAAGGAGGATGAGAGCATTTCAGTGTAGAAGTGAGATATTGGTGAGCATTCTTGTTACTAAATAGAGTACCTTCAAAAGGATATGGTTTAACTACTACTGTATATTTGATTGTTTTTGAGTTTTGAGTTTTTTGATTGAAAGACTGTTCGGGATTCATGCAAAAAGATTCAGAGAAAATATTGTATCAGGTTTGGTAGGATAGCTGCCCTTAGCCTTGAGTAACTAAGGCGTCCAAAAATGGTTAAATCCTCTATAGAAAAAAAACAGGGTACATGTTCTCTTCCTTGTTATTGTATTTCCTACCCCCCACAGTAACTGTACTTGGAAGTGATCCTTCCAAGTACATTCAAAGCAGCAGTAAAAAAATAACTAAATAAAATAAAATAAAACATCTAAATGTATTTTAGAGTGGATTCACAGAGCAAACACCTCTCTACTTTGGGATGTTTCTTTTGTTCACTAGAGTGGAGAGTTCACACACACACACACACACGCGCGCGCGCGCGCACACACACACACACACACACACACACACACACACACACACACACACACACACACACTCTCTCTCTCTCTCTCTCTCTCTCTACCTCAAGGCCATGTTCCATTGTCCTGGGAAAGCCATGAGGAGGAAGTCCTTTCATGTGTCATCTCCAGTCACTGCGCTGTCCTGACAGAGGCTTAGTGACATTTGTGAGGCCTCGGCAGAGTGTCCTGCTTTTAGTCAAATGAAGAGTCTGGCAGCTGCTACATTCATCAAAATCAAAGGATAATCTGCTTTCCATATAAAATAAACTGATGATTAACATTTTTTTTTCCCCAATAAAGGGGGATGGGAGTGTTAATGCTTGCACCTTTAAGGAGACACTTGAGAGACACGGGGCGGGAAGGTGCAGAAACGGTGCTGAAATTAGTCTGAAGATTTGAAGTTTGGTGAGCACAGGATGTAAACTAAGCTTTCACATGTAGCAATGCTCAGTCTGGTGTGTTTTCAGTGTCATGATTTAATATGCCAATTTACTTTTAAAACCTGCTGAGCTGAGTTAGAAAGTCTCATATATACCCAATAATTTTTGTTTACCAATACACAAATGAGAGACTGGACTCTCGTGACAGAAAAATGCTTAAGCTTTGCTGTAAATAAATAAACAAATAAATCCATTATGCTGTTGGCCAAAGAAGGCTCTACTTCAAATATATTTCATCTAATCCAAGCCACAGTATAATAAATGTAATGACAACACATTTATTTAAATTCTTTTGTTCAAAGCAAATTGGAAACTTTGCTTTTGCACCTAGGCAAACAATACAGTGAGCGCTCCATTATAAAAGAAATAAAGGATAAATATGAATAAATGCTCCATAAAAAAAATTTGGGAAGGTTCCCTCAAGGAATGACAATTCCAGCAGCATCAATATGGGTAGCAAAAAAAAAACAGAATGGTCAAATAAGTAAGAAAAAAAAAGAATTATATATAAAGAATAAAGACATAATAATATTTCTGTTAAATTAAGTACTTACATATTAAAAAGAAATATATAAAGCTATAGACATTTGCACATTACTATGACTGCAACTACTACAGCAATATTGCTGCTCCTTACCATCCTCTGTCTTCCTGTTACTCCTCCTACTCCCTAGAGAGGAGTTGTACAGTCAGATGGTATGAGGGACAAAGGAGTTTTTTAGTATGTTGGTCCTGGACTTGGGAAGGAGCAGTCACTGAATAAACTTCTCTGGTCAATGATGACAGTGTGCAGAGGGTGACTGGCATCGTCCATAATGTCCAGTTTGTCCATAGTCCTCGTCTCTGCCACCATCACCAGAGAGTCCAGCTTCATGCCAACCACAGAACCAGCTCATCTGATCAGTTTTTCCAGCCTGGATGTGTCCCTCTTGAGTAAAAAAAAGGACACTGGCAGCCGTGGACTGATAAAACATCTATGGGAGTTCCAGGTGACCAGAAAGGGGTACACACACATCCTGTTAAGTTTGTCCTCAAGCAAAGGGGGCTGGATAGTATTGAAGGCACGCGAGAAATCCAGAAAGAAGATCCTCACAGTGCCACTCCCCTTATCCAGATGTGAGTGGGCTCTGTGTAGCAGGTAGAGGATGGTGTCCTCCACACCAACACCTGCAAACTGCAGACTGTCCCGGGTGTGTTGCACCTGGAGTCTAAGAAGGCTGAGGAAGAGCCACACCATAGTATCCATCAGATGTGAAGTGAGTGACACCACCGTCATTCAGCCCACTGGGTTGGTTCCTCTTAGGAACTGGAGTGATGGAGGATGTCAAAACATTTTCAGCTGAAAATGGTCCAAAAGTGCATTTTCAGTTTTCGGCTAAAGGACTTTTATTACTAAAACAGATTTCGTGATGAAGCAAGCAGAAACTGCAGCCAGTATGTGCTTGTCTAGATAAGAACCAACATGTCTACCGTGTGGATGTATTTCAATGTATTTGAGAACCACAGATAGTGATTTGCATAGTGTGAAATGCTAAATTTTCAAGAGGGGGTGCATCTGCAGAGAGTTTCTTCATGTTGGGATTAATTGATTACGAAAGCCTGATCGCCATTCTGAATATGAGGAGAACACAGCACAGAAAGGAAAACTGCAACTCCGTCTGTGGAAGACACTGCAGCCAAATACACAAGTGGACAAGTGTTACTTCTTCTCTACTGCTCACAACACTTCTCCTCTTTGAACTTTTGAGTTGTTTCTGCCCCTAACTCGCAGGCGCCATCTAAAGGTGTAAACATCAAAGAACATGCAGCAACATACTGACTCAAAAATTCAAAACTCACATTGCAATTGCATTAATATTAATTTAATATTATTAAACATTAATTTATGCCTTGCTTTTAGTGAGGTTCGTAGTCTGTACAGTCATAGCCATAAATGAAATGGTATAAATAAAAGGCATAATATACATATATACTAGGACCCGACCGATTTATCGGCGAGCCGGTTAAATGTGTTGAAAATAAGTTGAAATGAGTTTTCTAACTTTAATTCTTTGAAGAAGTGTTTGAATGGTTCAAAAGCAGCCGTTTGTTAACAAAAAAAAATGTAAATAGATTACTTAAACTAATAAAATTTTAAAGCTTCAAATCGACCGATTAATTAAAAACACACACATAAACATAAATATATATATAGATACATACATAAAGATGAAAAAAATTTTACATTGTCCAGATTGTGCAGTTTCTACGCAGCTTATGAAGTGGTGTTTGTAATCCTGCCGATTACCGAAACCAAAGATGAGCTCAGCCTGCAGTAGCATTGATATTTCTGAGGCACTGCCAACCGATTCAAGCAATCACACCACAAAACTCTGTTGGTCACTTTTTGTCTCAAATTGACTATCCCAGCATGCATTGTGTAGCAAAGTGGCTGCTTTTTTTTTTTTTTTGTATTCCGGAATACAAAAAAAAACAAAAAAACAAAATAAGATAGCTCTCTATTTTCTTACGGTACACTGGCATACAGAACACAGTAGTGACAAAGGTATGACAAGTATGTCTTAGGGTATTAGAGGATTCTCACCCTTTTTCCTTACACAATTTCAGGTGTTGTTTTTAATGAGCTAGGTGACTATTGTTGTCATTGCTATCAGGATATGTGAGGGACCTTAATCAGAGCCATGACCTTGTTCTGACAAAATTGAAGATTGCATATTTAGCAGGGTTCTACTTTGCCTTTTTACATTTAAAAATGGTAGGAACCCTGGCGTTTTTTAATCAAAACTATGTACAAAACGATAAAATGAGTGGGTGAAAACAACAGCAAAGAAGTAGTACAGTCCCTCCTTAAACCAGAATTAATGAGTAACTTGGTTAGGACTGTAGCCACATAAAAACCTAATGACAAAAATGTTGCTGGAAATCCATTACATCTCTTTCCAGAAGCACTTACTCATGGTTCTGTACTGGCTATATTGAGCCTTGTTTTGTTGATCGTGACAAAACAAAGACACCAGAATTTTCCAAACCAGAACTGGTGCTCTAACTCAGCTCACTCTGTCAGACCTCTGTGAGGATAGCTCAGGGCGTAATTGATAGTTAACTTTCTCTTTGCTGGATGTTCATTAAGCCCTTACAGCTCTACATCTTACATAACAACAACTGATCAGATGGATCCTTACTTTGTGAAATTGCAAGCTGATGTCATAACCATGTCTCTAACATATCTCCTTATTCTTTAATTGGAAACTAGGGTAAAGAAAGATCATGAGTTGGCTTAAATGGACTTAAATGTCTGTTCTCCATAGTTTGTGATATCATAGGCTACAGTAAAACCTCAGCATTACCATATAAATGTAAGTTGTGAAATGTATAATACTATCCAGAAATCATGTCCATGAGTCTTTCTGTGGCTGGGATCTGTATTTTATACTGATATTGTACTTAATAGAGGAATAGTCTCAGCCCTAGTTTGGAGTTGTGTTTGACATGTTTGCATTTATTTATTTATATATTTAAAAAAAAAAAAATATATATATATATATATATATATATATATATATAAATATATTATTAAAAACATTATTTGACATGACATTTGGACTAAAAAACATTTACATTGTAACATCAAGCACCAGACCTTTGAAAACCAACATCACAGCTCCTAACCCTGCATCCAAGCAATTGCATGCCACACATATTGACACCCATGTCCCTGGGGCCAAGCCATGTGGAGAGATGATCATCATTTTATTCTGTTGTATACTAAATGACAACAAAAAGGTGAGGGAAAAAAAGGAAACCATGTCTCTAACAGACAGTGGGTTGTAGTGTTCAAGGACAAAAGCCAGCTCTTAGAGGTGAACTCTTTGGTGACCGACACATCACCATTTCAGACAACAAACAAGCAAGATTCAGCTGCTCTGATGATCTCCTTCCTAGCATTGTTTATTCACTGTCAAAAGTCTCAAGTCTAGTCACAAAGATCGAACAAAAAAGCAGAGCCACAAATATGAAATTAAAAGAGGACATTAAAGCAGCTCTTTTCTTTTCAAGACACAGTCCTCTAATGGCTCCTGCAAGTATCAGGTGAGGAACCCCTCCTGGTAGCAAGAATTACTATTTTTCATTAAGAGTGCATCATTAGACACACAGTCTGTCCTCCTGACTCCAGCTCTTTGCTGGACATGGGCTAATCAGGGCTGAGGAAGAGAGCCACGGTTCTCTTCCCCCTTCACATCTCCCCACAAATGTCTTCTCCACCGGACTCCAATCAAAGGGAGCAGAGGCCATTAGGCGGCTCTGGACCTCCTTTTCTTTATAATTACACCCTCCTGGACTGACCGAGCACCAGCTAGCCCTCTGCTATTTGCGGTAATTAGTCCAGAATGTGAGCTGTCAACATGCAAAAAAATCGTGCCAGTAGGCCCACGATGCCACAACCACCCCCACTGTGTGTTCAACAACAAGCACCTAGCCTCGGCCACTGGAATGCATTAACTTTCCCCTCTCTTTTTTTCCCTCGGCGACTCGTGTCAAATCCAGGTCCCTCAGAACAAAATCTTAATAATTAACTGGCAAATTTTAACATGATTGCTTGTGACACACCTACTCTGGTAATTATTGCTTTGAGGCCAAGTGCTAATGAAATTAATGCATTCATTGCCCCAGCAAATTAGCATAACTCATACAAATGGCCCACATTTGAAACCCTGTTGCAAAGGGAAGACAACATACAGGAAACGTCGCATCATCAAGAAAAAGTGACAGTGTCTGGCATGTTGAGTTGTGGACAGTATGATGAGCACTGCTGGCTTAAAGTCTAAATGACTAAATCCTCTTAATGTTAACCATGGCTGATTGCAGTTATGCATTAAAGAGTGATAGCAGCACAGGACCAAATGATTATCACTATCATCATTACAGTCATTGCTGATCTACATATACATCCCTCTACGGTGGGGGACGACTAAATAGCTGTGCTACTGCAAACATTAAAATGTTATTATACTGATGCATTAACTTACTGCAGCAAAGTTCATATCAATACACAGCAGAAGCTTCCCAGCAATAATTCTCTAACTGGCACAGCTGCCATTCGCAGCATCAACCAGTCCTGCTACTAACCCAGTTCATGGCTGTTTGGTCACTCAGTGGGATGTCTCTCAGACATTTACTGCTCCGCATTAATAATTGATGCCAGCGCCATCGGTACAATGGACCAAGACAAGTGCAACAGTCAGTTAGACATAGTAAGGAAGTGCAAGAAATGTCCCCTGTTAGGTAAAAGAAGGGCAGAGATGGTTTTAGCACCAAGAATGTGTTTGCCTGCAGCCAAATACTGTCAGAGAAACAACACGGGGTTAAATTATTGCAACCAGGAGGGAGTCTTCAACTTAGTATGACAGTTCATGGAAGTTTTTCCAGCAACCTCACCATAATGAATGTATATATTTAGTCAACTCTGTGATTAAACATCACCACCTTCACATTTGCATCTGCTGTATTAATCTTTTTAAATAATTATCAATATCTTGCATGTACGACATCTTTACAAAATGCCTGTTTCATGTGGTGTCTAGGCCATAGTGCAGCCATCAGCTAGGGCTGCAGCTCAATGTGTGCTGCCATAATACAACAATACCAAACTTTTTAGATATTAACATGCACAGACAAGACAGAGTTTTTGTTTGATTTTTTTTTTTTTTAATTCATCACTTTTACTTGAACTTAAAAAATATTTCAGTTAATTGATAAATAAATAGTTAAAAGTGTGGATGATTCATCCCTGTTTGGTGACATAGTCAGGTTTTAGCACCCATGAATCTCTTTTTCTAAACCCTCTCTAATGAACAGGATGTGTTGGCTAGCTTTTAGTTAGGTTATGACTGTGTGCTCTGTCTGGACTTGTTCACTTGTTAAGCATCTTTTCACTGCCATTAACGGAAATCAGTTTTCACAACATGCCCTTCCCTTGTATGTGGTTTTAAGGAGATGTTTGCTAAACCACACTTTACAAATCTTTTATTTATTTATTTTTTAATGGGGAATTCAAAAAATCCAAAAACAAAACAAGATTACCTGAGTTAATTTCTTTTGTGTCCCATCAAAAGATCTGACAGATCGTGAAGATTTTGACCAGACGAAAACCTGAACATCTGATGTAAATAGCTTTTGCTTGAGATAAGTGGTGGTGTTGTTTGATACAACTGTGGCAGCTTGCTAAAACTCAACTTTGTTAGTGTGATATGCAGGCCTAGGACTGATAGTTAGTAGGAGCTGCCGGTGACCTTTGCAAGTATTGAAATAATATGATCAAGAAGTTGTGCGCAATTTGAAGACTAAGCTAGCTAATATGCTCAGTTTAATGTTCAGCTTACAAGCCTTGCCAGACTGACTAGTCTGAACTAAGTTTATTTATCAGGACAGCTAGTAAGCTAACTAGTTAAGCTAACAAGCATTTATTTTCTTGTTTATCGCAAATTTTTAGTCACTCTAAAAAGAGAATGCAATACATGCAATTTTTTTTTTTAATAGGTAATAGTTTAAAACCAATGGTATGTGAATTTTTAACAATCTTTGAACCATGTGTGGTGGCAAGGCTCTCAACTGTGTAGCACACAAGCGTCTGTAACTGCAAACCTTTTGGAAATCTTGGCTGGGGTCTAAAATGTTTACGTCTGAAAAGACTTTGGAGCTGAAAAGGTGATTCTACAAACTGGAAGTCCACCAAAACCATTATTATTTTCCTTGAAAAAAAATCACAAATATTAACAATCATCAATGTACTTAAAAACCTGTCTGATAACATGATGATCATGCAATTGCTACTGTGCTACCATCTATGAAAAGAAACCACACCCCATGGGAGACACTCATGGTTCCAAATAGAGACAAATCTGTTTTATTTGGATAAAAAATATTCATAGAAGACTCCCCTTTAGACAAAATGTTTCATCTAACTTTCAACAGTGTATGACTCTGTGTGTGTGCACACTTTCATGTTTAAAATATCTTAAAATCCTGAAAGGTCGTTGTTAGAGTTACTGTGACATTTTCTTCCACAGGCTGGATTCCCCTCATGCATACACACACAGACGCAGACGGCAAAGATCACATTTTCAGCCCGCTGCTGTAGAGCAAACAATGAATAAAACACTCTGTCTCCAGCTTTTGATGCTTTGACCCACAGCACAACCATGAATACATACAACACATCAACAGCATAGTCTCTAATCTCAGATGGTTAGTAATGTAGCCACCTTATCCAGCTTGCAACCCCATCTGTGATGACACATCAGCCCCACCGTTTCACAGGAATAAAGCCACAAACACAAGACACAATGTGTTGATGGAACATTTGCATTAGGCATGTACCACAGGAAAGCGCGATTAATTTCGGCTCATGAAATGAATACAGATTTTGTCATTACAAGGCTTATATCCTTCGCCAAATATTGTAATATTTCTCCCTTCTTCTCCACAGCAAGGGCTCTGCTGCAATAATAAGGAATAAAAGACAGCTTACAGCTCATAAGTAACACAACTGCTAGCAAATCAACTAAATCACAGAGCAAAACAAAGACCTGATTGCTCATTAGTATTATGGATCTGCTCTGCTTTAATCTGTTTTGTGAGATGCAGCCACTGTTTAATGACTTAAATGGTGTTTGTTTAAATGCGTTACGTACATTTCACCAAGGCAGATTAAAAGAATGAGACATCATCAAATGTCTGACTGAATCCACACTGAGGTTTCTTACTTTATTTCCCTTTTAATCATTATTTATCTCATTTTTGCGAGTATGACCTTTCCCTATAAAAATCAAGAAAAGGTGCTGTATGCTCCTCCGAAAGTGAAATACTTTTTGCAACTAATGGCAATATAAATAAAACTGGATTTGACTGAAAACACCAACCTTGGCTTTGCAGACAATGCACCGTAGCCTGTCTTCACTCCCACAACCCTATAAGGGAGAAAAAGTAATTAGTGACCGTGAATTATCAAAACAACTGTTCAAAAGCAGGATGTACCAAACAAAGGCATGCACAAGATAAATCATTTTGTTTGTGTTTTGATCAATAAGGTAATTATAGCTGTTTGGAAAATGAGATTTCACCCTCAACCCAAAGAACAAGGAATATTCTGCACACAAATTGATGCTAATTTGACTACAAAGCTAAAATCTTGCCGTACGGTAGCCTGTAGGTGCAAAAAATAATATTACACAAACATGAAATCCAAAGAAAATATACAGGTTTTCACAGAGAAACACTAAACAGATACTAACAAAGTGTGTTCCCCACATCTCCTGAGACAGTTGAAAACCTGTATTTATAGGGACCAACAAAACTGATGGGATGAAAAATTTTACCAGTATCAAAGAAGCAGAAATTAGAGCTAAGTGACAGTCAATACTGATGTTTTTGCATGGTGCCTATGAAATATTTTTGTGTCTGTTATTTAAAGTCTCACTCCGATCTTTTTTTAAAAGTGTTCTCAGTGGTCTTTAAATTGTGATTCTGAAGTTTGTAGTCAAAATCACATTACCTGTGTCATTTTCAAGGGCTTTTGTTCTGCAGAGCTACATTCGCCCATTGGCACTTCACCTCTGAGTCATGGGCAGAGACAGCACTGCTCTGCACACTCCCATTCATGCTAGCCTAACATTGACAGTGTAGTAGAAGTGGCAGGTAACAGGAACCATTCAGCTCTCGGACACTAATGTCTTTAGGGACATGATGAAAGTTAATATCATAATTAGCTTTCTTATGAGCATTGCAATCCACTAACGCACATGCTTGTTCCGTGATTGTCCTCTCTACTTCTCTGAGTCTGGCCTGCATATCGGGGCTCCAGGGGCGGAGCTTGGATTTGTGACGTTTGAAATCTCACTGTGTCTCAACCTACCGTTTGGGTCTGCCAGAGATTCACAGCGATTTGAATGAAGAAATGCTCAGAGATGCAGTTTGCTCTTAGTTTTCTAATGTTATGTCCTGTAGCATTAGAAAAAATGCCATATGAACATGAAGACAACAAGAAAAACACCATTTTTATGAGAGTGGATCTTTAAAGAAGCAATGAGATTTGATGTATTTATATAGTTGCACCTTCGCCCTTTAAAATCCCTCTTAAAATGCCACTAGAATATGTCTTACAATCTGCATGTTGCTGATCTTCCTCAGAGACTGTATCCTATTCCCACAAGGCAAACAATTTCTTTCATGTCTGATGATCAAAATAAAATAGTTTGTTCAGTGGGGTCTTCTTTTACCGTATAAAAATCTCTGAATCAGCAGTAATAAGTAATAGCTTCCAGATTTACATCAATGTGATGAAGATAGAGAAAGGATGCCACAGAATACAGATAAACATCAGTTACTGAAACTGGTGAATGACACATTAATCTATGATGAGCTGATGTCAATAAACAGGGCCAATATTTGTCGGTATTCACGTTCAAGTGATACAGTAGTGCATCCTTAATTGGTACCCTTTCTAGTCAGCAGAAAACGCCTTAAGTCTTTGACATCACTGGTCAATAGAAAGACACCTCTTGTGTCTGTAGCTAAAAAGAGGCGTACAGTCGGAGCAGTGGCAGGTGACGCTATTACAGTTGGGGATGCACTGGCAGTATTTTCCACACAAAAATGAAACCTGGGTGGCCCATCCATACAACATTGTCATAAGCTAACAGTCATTTAGTTGATGGTCTCTTTTCTCTCCAGCAAACAGCTACATCTTGCTTGACCGTCAACTTAGTTACTTCCTCACATTATGCAAATCTAAGCATGACTTTTACTATTCACAAGAATTGAGAAGTTTAAGGAAATTAGCTACTCAGACCACAAACAAATTTTGTATGTAAACCTGTAAACATGTTGAATTTTGCTGGTAAACCAGACATTTTAACATAGGGGTTAATGGGGTCTGCATAGCTTTTGGAGCCAGCCTCCAGTGGACACTTAAGGAACTGCATTTTTTGCAGTCATGGCATTTTTTCGACAAACTGTCAAAAGTTGTGTCTCAGATAGAAGCTGCCATAACAGACAACACTTCCTTTAATTTAACTGACAATTGGAAGTAATTTGACCTCCTTCCAAATTAAAAGCATTTCTTTAAACAAAATGGCTAATACAGTGACCTCAGCCTGGGCAGTAAAAACAGGGGAATGAATGTTTCAAAGAAACGCAACTTTTGAAAACTTTCAAAATAAAAGCACTCCTTTCACCAAAACAAAGAATTGGGTAACCGCAGCTGAGTAAAAACAGAAAAATGAGACACCAACAAAATATATATATATATTTTTTTTTAGAAATCTTTCCTTTAGATCACAAACATAAGCTTGGTCACCCACACTCTAATGATGGTGAAAAACTTGATTGTAAACCAAACGTCTTGAATTGTTGTTGCATTATGTATTCTTATTTATCATGAATGTTGCTGTTTTCACCCCTTGAACAAGGATCCAATCAACAACAGTTCAACGCTGCCTGCATTAGTAGATATTGTTTTAATGTCTGCACTTAATGTTCCACTTCACATGACAGAACTCCACATGACACTAAAATAACATGGTGACAATAATCTTCAAGCTGGTGCTAAATATCTGAAGATACTATTAACAAGAAGAAAGCATTTGTACAAATACAAACTGCCATTGCCAACCATTGCTAATATGCATGGCATGTAGAAGCCCACTTTGATAGATGTTAATGGCATATAATTATAGAACACTGCTATTAGGCAATGTGATTTTATAAAGAGGACCATTGCCCCTGGCACTGTGGCCTGATTGCTGTGAGTGTTGGGCTAATGAATGTAAACCAAGTCTGTTTGCAGTGATGAGAATTATCAACCCATGAGAGAGACGGAGCGAGAGAGGATAAGAAGGGAGGTGGTGGGGGTGGGGGTGGAGGGGGACTTTACTCACTTTCACACCACTCGCAATTAAACAGAAATAATAGCATGCACACTCACAGTCAAGGGCATACTTGCTGAAAACACGTGCACAAAAACACTAACATCAAAAACATCATCAAAACCTGTCATGTAAGCTTCTTGGTATGTTTTCCATCTGCTTACACTTTACAAACACTCACATCAATGCTATAATTAGCTGCAAAGTTGTTAGCATCTTCACAAGCCCTATTCTCACCCCCTTTTCCGACTACTACGTGTCTTATTTCAGATGGGTGGAATTACAGCAATTTTTGCAGACTACTTTTACCATTAAAACCTCCAGATGAAAAACAGATGTAATAAAATGGAAAACATATCTATCTGTTGGGATGGCGAGTGTATAGCATTACTTTCCAAGAAGCCTGCGTCTTTGCTCTGTATTTTCTCAAGCCGTCGTCTGGTTGGGTAGTGAGACACACCAGGCCACACTCGACTGGTGTGGTAAGAGCAATGCAGTCCTCTCATGCCCTTGTACTTTGTGCTGTGAGGGGTTTCACCCCTCTAGGAATGCACTCCCTATAATGAGGGTCAGGGGTCAAAGTGCTGCCTCGCCTGGAGGCCGGGATCTCCTAGGCACACTCAGTCACTGCCTCTGTCCCTATATTTAAATCCTGCCTCAGGACATGTTTTTCAAAGGGCATCTCCTAACTAGTTCCTGGTTACTAATTAGTTTTGTGCCATGCTATTTGTCTTTGGGAACCTGGGAAGGAGAGGGCGGGGGGTACAAATGAGGCAGTCTAAAAAAAGATAGCGTATGGTTAGCCTCAGTGCAGATGATAATCGCTCAGATAGTCCTCTGCTGGGAACACACTTAAACACGTTTCAACAGTTGTGGAAATAAATGCCAGCACAGTTTTTGCGGTGTTTGACTCGATGTGCCCGCTGTTTAGTGACAACATCTGTGTGAAACTGTTGCGGATGAAATTAAATAAAGACAAAGAATTTGGCCTTTTGTGTTCAAGCTGCTTTTAGGAGTGCTAACGGTGCATGCTATCACTCCCAGCTGGCTAGCTCCCTCTCTCAAGTCAAATCATTATTGGATTACATTTTCTGGCTTCATAAAATGCGGTTAAGAGCCACTTTAGACATATGTGCATGACCTGCTTTCCAGAGATGGCTATCAGAGCAAAAGTGACAGGTCAATTGCTGATTTCTGTTCTGTAAAAGGGAGAGGGGCTCCCTACCCTGAGCACTCTAAAAGGTCGCACACTCTCTCTCCCGCTCTCTTTCACTCTGTCTGCTTCCCTCACACACTAAAAACTAAAGTAGTCTTCCAGCATCAGCACACACTCCCAGCAGAGAGTGGGCTGTGTGTGTGTGTGTGTGTGAGAGAGAGAGAGAGAGAGAGAGTGTGTGTGTGAGAGAGTGTCTGCCTCATGAGTGCAGGCTTGTGTGTCTGTATATAATTGTATAGTGGGAAGACACACACTTAATGGAAGTGGCTCTTCACTCTGACAGCTGGGTGGTGCAGATGAAAGGTCTGCTGTAGCATGTTGTCTACCACTTGTGGAGTATCAAAAGAGACCCAAAGCTCACAGGAGTGAACAGAAAGCATTTCAAAAAAGCACTTTTTTATCTTGAAACAATATCCAGTGATATCATGAGATATTAACTCATTTAAGTATTTTAAAAAAGTGAGAGGCTTGTTTTGATACAATCTAGTTCTCATTATTTCCAGCCACACTCTAGGGGTCCCAAATAAAGATCCCAAATAGTGAACGCTAAATTGCGAGTGCAAACTAAAAAATTTCACATGCTATTAGTGGGCGTGTTGCGGGTGATGATTGCTTGTGCAAATGATAACGGGTGCAAAAGTGGTGTGGACCGCCCTCTTCAAACGAGGATTTTGTGTGAGCTATTGGCCGTCACCATGGAGAGTTTGTGTGAGCAGAGTGATCGTAGCCAAAAAGTAAAGTTTGAAGCCATGGAGTTGCACCTATCGTTTTTGGGTGCTAAATGATTCCATTTGCGCCTGCTCCTCCCAGTATTTTGCATGTTCTGATGATCTACATACATTATGCATATTCATGAAGACAAACACGCTAAATCGACTGCGCGCTGTTTTGCTCATTTGACAGATGCAATACTCGGTGCACCTGGTTAGTAGATCAGTTTATCAAGTTTGCATGTTTTTGCACATGCAAACCTTTAGTAGATTAGGCCCTTAATGTTTAACCTACATTGAAACAGACCTTCTTAAAGGAATATGAGAGACAGAAACTGATTTTATTTAAAAATAAAAAAACTCTGCCCTTTGGCCCTCTAGTTAAGGTTGGTTTAAGAGAGTATATATATTGCCCTTCCACAGTGCTGGGAAAAAGGTTCCGATTTAAAACATGTTGGCCTGAGTTACTTACGCTGATCCAAAATGAGATCCTAGCATTTCGTCCAAAGTATGGATTAGTGCTGGACGATAATTCGATAACAATATATATCGATCGATAGACGTGTGGTGCGATAGAAAAAAAACGGGTCGATAAAAAGTTCGATAGAAAAACACAGTTTCCCTTTCTTTTTCATCATAGCCTATCATGTAGCTTTTACTACAGTCATTACTTCCTCCCAACCAATCACAAACGCAGACCCAGGTACGCTACGGCACCAAGCCCAGCCCCTCTCAAACCACAACAGACAGCACGTGTATTAGAAATAATGTTACAGCAAGGAGAAGCGGAGGACATTGTCCCGAAAAAAGGTTTCAGTAGTTCACCAGCATGGCAATGTTTTGGCTTTTACAAGTCTGACAAAAAGCGAACAGCGGTCGTTTGCAAAATTTGCAGAGAATTAGTAAAAACCAAGTCTGGTAACACAACCAACTTGTTCTACCATCTAAACCGGTCGCAAGTATTTCTCAAACACAGCGCTTCAGGCATGAAAATGGGTCAGGGGTTGAAAAGCTGAGAAGGGTGCGGAGGAAATACGTTCCGGTGTTGTGCTGTAGAATGCACCCCTGCATCCCGTCCACTCATTAGCTTCTTAAAGTGGAAGAAAATGAGCTCATATTTTACAAAGACGCGAGTATTTGGATCATGGCTACTAGCAGGGGGTGCATTCGGCAGGGGTGCATTCTACGACACAACACCGGCGTGGATAAGTTCTTGTGCTCAGTTTGCGTATTAAGTCAATCACATGATAATTAAAAAAAATAAATCTCCCGACCCCGGGAGAAATATTTCAGTGTTCAGACACCAGGCTGTGGGCAGTTTCTCACACAGTTAAAACTGGTAGTATGCTATTCCCACCTAAAGCTATTCTGTTTATTTATATATTTGTTTGTTTTGTTTATTTTCATCAAAAGACTATTTAAATATTTATTTATCAGATTTTCTGGTCACTTTAGTCTTTATGTTTGTCAGTATTTACTGACGTCACTCAGGCCACTTAAGCTGATTTCTTTTTTTTTTTTTAAGTTCTTTTTTAAAAAACTTTCAGTTGTGGTAAAAAAAAAATAAAAAGGTGGTTGAATAAAGGTTTGAATTTGAATTCAGTGCTTGTGTGTTCTTTATTAAAAGTAGGGCATTAAGCAATAGCGTAAAACATCCAGGGCTGCAATTAAAATATATGTTAAATAATTATAATAATTATATCAATAATTATCGATATCGATCAATATGATTTATTTTTTATCGATATGCTTTTTTTCTATATCGTCCAGGCCTAGTATGGATCAATGTCCAGATTTACACCTGATCTACAAACATTCACATACATTCCTGTTAAAACAACTTGGTTCATCAGTTCTTCAATTTTTGGTTTATAGCAACACTTCGCTGATTGTTACTCACTATGTAAGTATTCAGTAAAATACATGTCAGTGTACTGAAACAATTTCTCATATTGATCAACAGTACAGTTTACCATTCAAAATTTGCAGCTAGGAATGTGTATCACAAACCTGCAGAGCTTTTTGGTACTGGTGCATGCCACTGGTCAGTAACAAAATCACAGATGAGCTCAGCAACACACTTAGCTCCTATGAGAATCTATTAATAGCATTATCGTAAATGCATGAAACACAACCTCGTCAAATGTCTTGCAGTCAAATGTGACATTAGCGTGAACAAACAGGGCAAACTGCAGCAGCTAAGCGGTGTTAGCTGCTTAACTTCCTAGTAGCTCCACTCAAGTACTGATTTCTTTTCAACGCCTCCCATCCACAGTGTCTAAACATTGTTGTTGTCACCATTTATCAACAAGTGGTGTCCGTATCTCAAACCTCTGTCATAGTTTATGCTTCCCATTTACCATCATTGCTATGGCTGCATTTGTTGTGCTTCCTTTCAAAGTTAGCTTGCATCCTGATTGGTCATTTTTTTATTCCACCTGACAAATGACAGAGTGCATACTCAGATGTTCTCTGGGTCCCCCCAACACGTAAGGATTTCTGATCATAAAAATTGAACATGTTTAATAACTACAATTTCAGGACAGCTCAAATTGTCTTCCCCACAGATGTGGAGGCACCAAGAAGTATCAGTATACAAGTACTGGGGCTTCACAATGTAGCTCAAGCAGTATCAACCTGTTTCCTTTTGGTAGACAAGACGCTAAAATCATAAATATTGAAATGACATGTTTTAATTAAGCTGCATATCCCCCAGGAATTGGTTCCCAGTAACCAGACACACTTGAGGATATTACTGCCTTCCTTTTTGCTGATTCAAATATTCAAACCAGTTTTGCTCTTTTTTGTTTGTTTGTTTGTTTGTTTGTTTCCATCAATTTACGGCAGTTTTTGCATGTCACAGTTCAATGCATATCCACTGTTTCCAGGCTTTATCAATTACACTTTGAATTTGGTTTTCTTTTTTTTTTTTAAGGAATTAAGTTATTTGTTGGTCTAGAAAGTAGACCTAGCCTAATAAATATATAACAAGCTAGCAACAAGCTTGCCAACTTGCAAGATATTTTGGGGATGTTAATGGTCAACAGTGACTAAGCCAGGGGTGCCCGACTAGTTGATTGTGATGGACTGGTAGATCGCGGACTACTTCTCAGTCGATTGCAAGAAGTAGCCTTGACAACAGTAAATAAAACTCTTGTCATCAATCCACGCTTTGATAGTGTTTTTCTCGTGGCTGTGCTGCACCAGTGCCACACCTCCTCTTCGTTGTGGCCGTCAGGTCAGGTCACATGCATGCTGAGAGACGCTCACTAGTGGGGTAGTCAGCAGCTAAAACAAAGGAAGATGGCAGACGCAAAAAGACCCAAAACTTAAAATTATCACCTGGAGTGGGAAGATGATAACTCTTTTGTCTACTCAAACTCAAGGCCCATCTGTCTCATCTACAAACCCAGCATGGCCATACCAAAGAAGGCCAATTTGGAACAACATTTCAAGATGGTACATAAAAGTTGTGAGATGGATTTTCCTGCTTAAACACCGCTATGCTCTCCGAAAGTGCAGGATTGAAGAGTGAGCTTACCGCACAGCAGTCTGTTTTTACCAGACAAAACACCAAGGGTAAGGCTGCAACAATGGCATCTTATTGAGTTACTCATGCTCTTCCTTAACACAAGAAGTCATTCAAGGACGGCAAGGTTGTTAAGGAAGCCTTCATCGAGGCTGCTGATGCACTTTTTGGTGAGTCACACTAAGGTAGAATGAATTCTTGTCATCTGGATGTGTGGGTTTCTTGAGTGCATTGTTATATGTTATAATTAATATGTCCCTGATAGGCTGTTGGCAAGGATTATGGGGACAGTGTGAACTAGTAGATCTCAACAGACTAGACAATTTTAAAGTAGATCTTGATTTAGAAAAGGTTGAGCACTCCTGAACTAAGCCCTGACGTGGCTGCCTACTCCATGTGTGAGTTGTGTGTTTTATAGGGTTCATTTAACATAAAACTCCTGAGGTTATTTTTTTTACGATATGAATTAGCTCAGTAGTTTAAGACAAAACAAAAATAATGTGCTAAAAGAGGCAAAAGATAATTCTTCAGAGCTTTGAGTTTCCTACATTTTATTCTTTCCTATACTTACACTAAGGTAATTATAATTCGTCTTTGCAAAACTGGCTGCAGCAGCAGTTGGCTGGAAATTAACAGAGCTGGAGTAATTAGCATGAGCAACAATGAGTACCATAACTGAACAGAGGACAAATGTATGCCACCCACATAAAACTTACACTTCATTAACCAAGAAGAGTGTAAAGTGCTTTTCTGCGGGGTGCATAAACATCTTATCAGTGACCGCACTATCAATACAACTCCTGATTCAAAGAGTGCTACAGATGTTAATGAGCAGTTTTACATTGGGTGACAGGTGTCTGGTGAACAATTGCTTCCTGGATTTCTTCCAGTCCATTATAAGGTGCTCCTCACTGTTTCAGCTTCTGCATTTCAACTGCTTCACAGTGACGTGTTATCATTGTTAGCAACCCTCATTAAAATTAATTGGTATTGCTATTTGAAAGAAAGCTCATTACCTTAAGGCAAACAGCTTTGTTTTGTCTCAATGAGGAATGCTTACTTTGCAAACACATTTGTTCACAGTTAGAAACTCAACACAGACATTTTCCCTCCTTCACATCCTGACAAATGGCTGATGAGAAAAAAAAAAAAAACTGTCACAGAAATTCAGAATATCAAGGTTTCTCTGCATTAGAGAGTCTTTCTTACCCTCTGGATCCAAGTGGACAGACACGCGTGATGGGCAAGTAAATTCTTGCAGTCGCAGAAATTCCTCAGTGGGTCACTGGCTTTAAGTTCAGCATCCCTGCATATGAAGCACTCTGACATCTCTGCAGGAGAAGAGGAGGGGATAAAGGTTATAAAATGGTTAAGATCTGAATTTACATTGCATCGAATCCTAATCACAGATGTGCGCTCAGGCTCCATGCAATTGAGGAAATTGTTAATTGACTTGGAATTGCCACTTACATCGACATTTATTACCTATTACAGCCTTCATAACACACAGTAGAGCTCTCTAGAGCAGTATACCTTTGTTTAGTCCCTGGTGAAAACATGGCAGAGTGACACTGGGATTTCAAGAGAACTGTGGCACATTGGCATTCTTGACATGACAATAAATACAGTAATGCAGAGGGGAGATTGACAGTAAAAAATAACACTCAGTTTATATTTAGTTATTTTTCAGTGCTGGTATGAGATTTTTTTTATTCCACTTAGCATCACTGTCTTTAAAATCAACCTTCAAATCCAGCAGAAAAAGATATCCACTCCCCAGAACACCTTTTTTCTTCACCATAAATGCTTTCTACACAGCATCAACTTTCCAATTCCTAAACATTTTCCTGAGACTTTGGTCTTAAATATTTACCATTTAGAGTTAGGCATGTGGAATAAAAAATGGCAGCAGATGCTCTGGCTGTCGCTGGAGTGCAGCTGCAAAATCTGTAATTCTTTCAGCACCAGCAGCGTTATTTGACCAAGTTGGTGGTTTAGAAAAACTAAAGGCAATTTCAATTTAGACTTCAAATTTCTGCCTTTGAAAGCAGCTGAAAATCCAAGAGCAGAGCTAGTTGAACAAAAATATGAGTGCAGGAGATGTCATGGAGAAATAGACATTTTAAACACTGCTGCTACTGTTTTGCAATTCCAAGAACTTACTTTCCCATGTCAATATGGCTTGCACTGAGAAATGCATTGCTGAAATTCTCTTATTGACCATTAAAACTGATGGATCATCCACACAAAACGCTACTGTAAGGCTTAACCACTTAACTGCGTGCAAGCATTTGGAAAATGTTTGAAGATCATAGTGACAGGCCTGTATCAACTGACTTGATGGAGTGCACTGACATACTGAGGGGCAATATAAAAATACACCAAAATTGATAAAATCAAATGATGGGGGTGACATAATGAAGTGTTGTGCAAGTAAGACAACGTAAATCAGTCAGTCTGTTTTATGGGTTTAACAACAGAGTCTTTGCATACTTGTGCTGCTATTTTTGTATTTGTTAAAAATACTAACAGAAAGACACAATTTTCTCAATTTTAAGGGGTAGACAGGCTGGAGATGCATATTATTATTAGAAAACCATTCTAAAGTCAATTTTGCATAATATGGGACCTTAAAGTTGAATGTGATTTATAGCAATAAAGTGGACTGACGATCATAAAAGCTTCAATTTGTATAGTTTTCTATTTCACATAACCACCTGTTCTCTCTTACACAAAAGATCCAAGACTATGTCCATAACAGTACATAAAAAAATATACTGCCCTTTAACTTTTTAATAATAATTAACAATAACGTGCGCCAAAATTCAACAAACAAGTCTCACAGCTATGTTCAAGTTTACCAAGAAGAGCTGTTGATAACTTGTCTTTTATTGGTGCTTAGCTAGTCAGGTACAGTCAGTTAACTGGAGACTATTTACGATGAAAGAAGCCTGCTGTGGCTGGAAAAGAGGTACATGTGGAAGTGTGTCCAAAACTAGAATAGAGAAGTCAGGGATTGTTATACCACACAATAAACCAAGAAATGCAATAAGCATCCCTGTGTGCAAAACCGAGGCATCATGTGATATGGGTGTCTGAGTCGATCACAATGGGCGTTGTCTTCAACCATACAGGCAGTCATTTGACTCATTGTTCATAAAAAAATACTGATTATAGGGGCCTTGGTCCTTAGTGGTTAAATCACAAATCCCATTCACAGAGGCTATCTTTCAGCACACGTATCAGCCTCCATTCTGCCTCCCAGTTTTCTATTCTGTCCACCGTCTTATCCTGTAAATGAAGGTACAAATGCTTTAAAATAATATTAAAAGACAAATCATACTGATCAAAGCAGATTTAAGGGTGTTATATTCCACTCATATTAAACTTCAGTTTGATTAACTTTTCCCATTGAATGAAGTTATTGTTGAAAATATGGCTTCAATTTAAGAATGAGACATCATGAGTTGATTGCCATAAGTGGTAAACTGATTGTTTTCATAGTGCTTTTTTTTGTGCTTTTTTTTTGTGTCTTGTATGTCACATTTATTCATTCACACCTCATTCACACACTGATGGCAGAGGCTGGTATGGAAAGTTGTTAGCGGATCTCATTCACAGTCTCCTTCACACACCACTGGGGTTAAGTGTCTTGACCAAAGACACTTTGGCATATGGACAGCCCTGGAATCGAACTCCCAACCCCTTAATTGCTTTACCATGAAACCACAACCCCCACCTCTATCTATTGATAATTCAGTTTTTTGTCTTTTTGAGGGTCATCTACTTCAAACTCACAACTGAAAAAATGACGAATATTTTGCAAAAAAAAAAAAATCAGTTTTGTTCAGTTGGGTGGAAATGATGGGTAAGGTGTTAAATACATCATGTGCTACCTGCAGAGCATCTGGTCACACCCTGGGCAGTGGATTATAAGATCAATTCACGACCATCATCTTTGATTCTAACTGTTAAACTTCACCAGTTTCTCCATCAGCTATGATTTTTGATGATAATTACTTGGCAGTAGCTGGAGGCCAGATATGTTGGTCTCCTATAAAAACATTTAGAGGCAGCAGTGAGGGCTTGCTGTCATCTCCTGACTTGCCTGACTGTGGGATAAAGTGCTGCCTCAGAAGCTCCTGTCTCTTTCAGGCCTCTCATTGAGCCAGATTGCTTCAGGTGAAGATCTATCTCCAGATGAAAAATCTTTTAATCAAAAGCTGTTTTTTTAATGTAACCCATCAAGTTCTGTGTAAGCAGATTTTATTACTGACCGGGCAGATATCTCACCCTTCATTAATATCTCCAAGACAAGCCTTTAAACAGAGAAGCCAGCAAACTTTCTTTCCTCAACACCCTGTTAAGTTTGGTCAAAAATCACACATTTTCAGTTAAATATGTGGTGTCTCGCTGCCTCCACCTTTACCCCCCTGTTCCTTACTTCAACCGCATTGCTTGCAGGTAGAAATCAGCCCGGTGAAGTGCTTTCCAAATACCAGTATGTGTCAGAATTCATCTGTTTGCATCCTTTCAGTCTGCTTGTCAGACAAGATATCAGAGTTTCACTCACTGTCAAAATAACTTTGCATGTGTATAAGCACTTGCAGAAAATAATAGAGCCATGCAGAGACATAAACATATAGAGTGTGACAGTGTTGCTAAGAGGCAGTGTGCATGCTTCAACTGCCTGACCAAAAATATTTCCAAACTTGCTGTGATGGCAGGTTCACCAATTACACCAAAAAGTCTTTCTTAACATTTTCATTCTCCTGAATCTGTGCTGCTTTTACAATCATTATGGCAAGCCCCGAGGCACTTCAGGAGCTAAATAACAGATGTACTGCTGCTGCCAGGGAGGAAAATAACTAGAAAACAACATTACAACCGAGATGTAAACATGCAGCAGCATCAACTGTAGCTGAGCTGACAAGTCTACGTGATCTGTGACTCCCATAATTAACTGTCATTGGTGACAGAGTGCAGGAGCAATTCACATGAAGGTGAGTGTTCGTCTAACCGGCTTAAGTCAACCCCTCTACATGTTTTAGCAGCTAACAAAACTTCTCTGTGCAGTGGCAGCTTCAGATTGTGTTGTTTCCACACAGAGTGAAGTTGTACAAAACCAAAGTTCATCACTGGAGACACTGATCTCAGCCTCACAGGGGAGAATGTACCAACAAGGATTTTGTTACAAACTCTGTTATTCTACTGCAACTGTCTGAAAACAGCTTTAGTTGTGGGTGTCTGTCAGTGATGTTTTAATTCCCTGCTGCACAGTATCAGGGGGACGAATCATACCAAAAAAAACAGAAGGATAGAAGCTATGATCTCAACAGAGGCATCGTGATTTGATGAGTTTGAGACAGTGTACAGTACAGCATACAGTAAACAAACAAGGAAAATGCCAGATTGAGATGATTTAATTGTCTGTTGCATTGCTAACGACCTCATTAACTAAAGAATGATGGGAAATCAGCATGGTCCAGGCGAGGAACCGCCTGTGTGACAGCCATCTGGCTACAATGGGGGATGGAGTACAGTGGGGGTTGTGGACTGGTAAGTTAACACCACTGCTGTCATGAATTCCAAGCACAGGCCAAGAGCACCTCTGAATGGAAGAAGAGACAGGTGTTGTACAGACAGACTTCAACTTTAAACTCAAACTGATATTCATACCTGAGTCTGTTTTTCAGACTCAGACAAAAGACGGCCTGTATACAGTGAATGTAAGGTGAATCTTCTGTAAATCAAAACTCTCAGTCAGTTTCTTTTGAAAGCTCTTGATATTTAAAGAGGTAGTTTAACTTTTTGAAGTGAGGTTGTGTGAGCGGTGTACACTGATAGTAATACTGGAAATGTGTATACTAGTATGACATAATTTTAAGCAACAAATGCTGAACATTATCCAGATGACATATTAATGACTGTGGAGTCTGTTATTTAAGCTCAGTCCTGCCTTAATGTCTATGGTGTATTTTTTTCACAAGGTAAACATGTATAGCATGAGTTTTAAATAATGCAATAGAAACCAGATAAGCCAAATTATTGAATCTTTGTAATGTCAGCGTCTCAACCCTTTATTTTGAGTTTGGTCATATTTTCCAAGCTGTCTGCTGTCCCACTTAGCTTTCTAAATGCTAAGTGACAGTGAAGGGTGAAAATGTCTCAATTTAGCACACCTAAGGTAACCTAAATGTTGGGTTTGACTTTTTTAAAGTAGTTCTCTCATCTGTAGTTATAGATGAGGTTGGTGCACCACAAATTCTTGAGAATGGGGCTGAGCAGGCCTGCATTTCCTGTAATTCATACATTTATCCGTGATGACTGTGAAGCACTTTGTGACAACTGTTCTAGAAAGGTGCTATACAAATATTTTTATTATTATTATTATTATTATAATTATTATTATTATTATTATTATTGTTATTATTATTATTATTATTATTAGTAGTAGTAGTAGTATCAACAAGCACCTTGTACAACCCCATGAACAAAAATAATATTAAATTAAACTATAATAATACTTCCTTTTCAAACTGATTTGATACTTTTTTTTTTTAATCTTTGGCAGGCCATCTAAAAAGTTAAAGTAAAATATACTTTATTTGATTGTATATGAGTTCTTAGTGAGCCTAGGTATATATTTATGAACAATTTTAGGGTCCATCTGGCTATAAATGGTCAGAGCCATTTAAATTAAAATAAATAAGATTAACTTCAAACAAGGTACAACGAAGGAAACATTTTCTGTAAGAAAAATGATGACCTTAAACTTTTATATAGTAAGTTGAATACAGCTCTGTAAAAGTGACGAATCAGGTGTGAAATGATCGTAGTTGAGGTTGAAGTGACTCAAACAGACATATTACATTCATACTGTAACAGTTTGTCATGGTTAAAACAATTCAAACAAAAAAAAAAACAAGTCTCCTGGATGGAGGAACCTTCAAGTTCAAGCTCACAGCACAGCTGATCAATTTCTCGGGTTTCAGGAAGCCCCTTCCCCGCCCACAGAACACACTGCTGTTTAATTACTTTTCCAGACTCCCTGCTTCTTTCTTTGTCAGGGTTAAAACAGGCTTTATACTCCTGACGTTTTTAAGTGAAGTTTATGTTTAATATAAAGAAGAAAGAAGCACTTTTGCACATACATACCTTTGAGCAAACTTCTACAGGAGTCAGCTGGGGACAGTGATCTGTACTCACTGCCCATGTTTCACTTTCTGTTGTTGCTGTGAGACGACTTTTTCACTCACTGCAAAGAAGCTTCAGATTCCAGCAGTTTGCTCCACTTCCTGTTAGCATTCCTCTGTGTTCTCCCCTTTAGCTTATATCAGCACCCAGAGAGCAATCAATGAGACAATAAAGGAGTTTAAAACTGCTACATGTATTTTCTGTGACTGCACTCACACTCAGCTAAAAGCTATGTGTTTTTGTTTTTGAGGAAGTGGCAAAAATGCACAGCCAATCGTAGCAGAGGACTGCAGGCACGTCAGAACAGGAAGCCACATGGTGAAGAAAATAAAAAACAAAAAACAGTGCACTCTCCAACATGCCTGCCCACAACAAGACGGTGTGACTCATAAAGAAATATATAGATGATTTCAATAGACAAAAGTACACTGCTTCAGTTTAAGAGGATGCACAGGAAAACTTTTTGATTTAACAGATCTCCAAGTATAAAAGAGTGTGTAAGAACAGAGGTTGCTCCACTGAAGATACCTCTGTGTTGCAATACGCCATCATGTACGCACACTGCTGGGAAACGACTAACAGATTCAGGAATTTCCCCATTCTTCTGCAGAATAACTGAGTACAACCACCAAAGGAAATGTAAGCTGTGGTTTCTTGGTGCCATCCCAGCTAATGTATCTAAGTTGTAATGGCCTCCTTAGTTGGAAACACTGTAGGTGTTAGTATGAAAAATCAGTCCATCATTATGCAGTATTTTTCAAAGGTGCAGTATATGGGGCTTAGAGGCATTAAGCAGAACTGACTTGGTAGAAATGGAATTAGCCTTTTAAATCAACGGAGGAGGGGGTCCCCTGCTAAGGAGGCTGTGATCTTGCATCTTGCACCACTATGTTTTAAAGTAGCACAAAAGTCAAACTAACATAATTTTGTGTTTAATAAGTGGAAGAGCACCATTTGAGGGGCGAAGCAGAGGACAATGGTGGTTGTTGTGCGCCAAAGAATTTGCATTAACATACATTTCTGATTCTAAAAACTTAAAACTTAAAGATGATTTTGTTGTTGACACTTCAGTACCTGATACTTAAAATATTGCTCGAAATCTGAACAGAATGATATAGTGTTTACACATTGTAATAATAACAACGCAGTGTTGGCCTAGTGGGCTAAGTGCACCCTCGCTTACAGATTATTGCCACAATAGGATAGTCCCTGGCTCAATTTCCAGTTTTGACTCTTTGATGAATGTCTTCCCACAACCTCTACATCATATTTTTCTTGTCCTATCATTAAAAGGAAAATAAAAAATAAAAAAAATGCAATACATAAAATAGGACGTGCAATGTCAGTTAAATGACCTGAAACACCTTATATACTGCCTTGTTGTTCAGGAGTATTGATGATAAACATCCATCCAAAATCACTTTAAGGCAGCTGAGCAGGCAGAGAACTAACTATTGTGCGTGCAGAGTCTATGTCTGTGTCACATGACTTTAAAATGTTGACAAATATGCTGCCACTATCACAAATACCACAGCCAACACTTGATGCAGTGAGACAGATTTTAAAACAACCGTCTCGGTACTCATTAACGTTGGAGTACACGGACCTTTAAACAAACAGGACCGTACAGTGTTTACTAGCGTATTCACCTGCGGTGCACATACACTGCAGTGTAAAAAACCCTGAAGAAACAGATGGTGGGTTTTCATATAAGCTTCCATCATGGGACAGATGATGCATATTAAACATACTGTATATATATATATATATATATATATATATATATATATATATATATATATATATTTTAAACCATCGACAGGAATAATTGATGACTTCTAAGCCAATCAACTGCCTTCATAAGTTGCCTGAAGTATAGAAATATGTATCTGACTGGACGATCTCATTCTCTTTTGTTCTACCTCCCCATGCAGGTTGCAAAGATGCAGGGTGGTTAAAGTAGGAGAGTGCTTTAATGTGAAAGCAGAAAATAAACTCAAAGTAGTACAATTCCACCATTGGAAATTCTAATGGCCAAAAAAGTACTTACAATAAACTGCATTTATCTAGTATAAATCTCTGTATCCTTATCTAATTGTAATATTAGTTTTTTTGTCCAATACTGGAAAGGCTTGGACACTATGAGGTTTGTACTTTGAAACTGCTCTGTATTTATTTGGGATGGATGAGGTAGCATCATTTATTGTGTTACTGTGGTGCTGATAATGTTAAGGTTTGCAAATAAAGACATTCATTAACCTTGATATTGAGAATCATCCATACAGTACATTCTTTGTATGCTGCACATACGTAAGTGGTGCTCTTTATGTGAGGACACCCTTCTCAACTATGGACTTGACTGATTCTGAAAGCCTTTTTCTTCCCTAAATGTATTCGCTGTTCTCTGACAGAAAAACCTGCGAGACAGAACTGCAAAAACAAAAATCCTTGAAGTTGCTGGGATCACATAGGTCTACAGACTGCCTAATTAAATGGCACATCTCCCTCTATTCATGAAGAGCACTTATTAAAACAAGCATTCACATCCAATCCACCAGATAAATGACTTTACACCAAGTGCCATGAAGCCCATTAAATTGCTTCTTTAGAGATGGATCAGGTCCAAACACACAATCAAAGGATTTGACTGGGATTATCTCAGATTAGAAACACTCAGGGACAAATGGGGAGATGACAGGATATCATACATTGAAAGGATAAATTAGCAGGCACATACCAGACCAAATTTGTGATGGGTGTTAGGGAATAAAGAGCCGGGGAGAAAGATTGAGTGCTAAAAAGCAAGGAACAGCTCTCTAGTTTTCAGTAAACCCAGTGATACATGGCCAAAGTAAACCACAGTAAAAGCTTTTCTTCCTCGCTCTTTAAAGCCTTCTGCCATGTAAATAAAGCCTACGTCAGGGAGAGAATCAACCACTAAAAACAAGAAGTTACACACAAAGCTGTGTGTAGGTTTATGATCTAATGGTGTTACTGTAAAAGCATATTTTGTGTAAGAGTCATATTTACACATGATTACATGGTGCCATAAAAACATTTTGAAGCTCACTCTCAAACCATGTAAACATTTTAAAGTGGATTTGAGGTCAAAATGGGATAAATCTTTTTAAAACCATATTGTATTCCTACGCACATGATGTGGCTGACAAAATGTGTTTCTGTTTCATAATAATTAAACATTTCAGACATATTATATCACTGAGTCAAAACTGTCTCCTTCAGAGGCTGAACAACCATCAGCTCTTGACTCTTAAGCATCTACATATAAAAAAAATATTGATCATTGGGTAGTTAAGCCTTATGTGATTCCACCAAAATATGCTGCTCTACAGAATTTGCTATGCACTGAACCACTTTTAACCAAACTTATTAAAAATGTGAGCTTAATTTCAAAATAGAAAGTAAAAGTGCCTTTTTTGCATAGTAGATAATTTAGTTCCCCTCTAATTTGAATATTTAAAAGTAAAGTAAAGCAGGCCTAGTGCTGATAAAACACTTTTCAGATGGATAAATAATGTAGGCAGTGGTTAATGTTGGCATGTACTTCTTTGCATATTTTAAAACCAATGAGAACCTTCATTCTATCGCATTAAACTTAGGCTTTGGCTGTCTCGCAGACAGCAATAAAGGGAATTTTAGAGGGTTTGCACATTAAAGAAAAGTGACCTATGAACTCAAAGTAATCTCCTCTGTCATGTGCTCACTTGTCAGAATCTTTTCCTTTTGTGCGAGGACTAGGTGGCATGGACAGAGTGGAGCACGACTGTACCTGCGGTGCCTGTTGAAAGCCAGAAAGCTCAGTTCATCGGCTCTTTGATCTGATTCATCGTCTTTAATGATGAATGATGTGACTTACAGGTTGTCTTTGTGTAGGATTTACTTTGAGCTTCTATGAACTAAAAGTTCTCAGGTTCACTGACTATCTGTTTAATCTGCAGCTTTATATTAAAATGGTCTAACTTTCATGAACAATGACAAGAGAGCAGAGGGTAAAAGATTTGGGTCCTTCAATGTGACTGTATAGTCACATTTTTAGGGATCAAAGTGTCCTTTATGTCACAATAATCAATCATATCTGTAAACCGTCATGAAACTTCAGCTTCGTATGTGTTCATATGTTCATTTTTAGGAGAGGATAATCAGACATTTTCTTGGACATTTCTGCTTGACCAGGGTCCAGGCTTTAGGCCTCTAAATTTCAATGGGCAATAGCAAAGAGACATTCTGGGACATTATTACTGGCATGTTTTACTTAGGCATGTCAGACAGCTTATTTTGACTTCACACAAGACGGTTATGAGATCTGCAAGCCCTGACTGTCTGCAAATGACAATCCTGTTGGTAAGGGTGGAAGCTGGGACTTTAGGATAACCAGCGTCCACTTGATAAATAGAAGCTTCCTTGGAAATGGGCACTCAAGGTGTATGATTTTATATTTTGCAAATGTTAAGATTAATTCCCAATAGCGGCACTGCTTATTCTGGAATCTAGACCTGCTCAATGAAGTCCAACTCTGGTTGCAAATACTGTATTTTTCCTCCTCCAAACAAAAATGACGGCCTTAACGCTTAACAGTACCATTATCGATGCCTTGGTGCATTATGAGAGGTCATTGAGGCAAACAACAACCAAGGAGTCAAGGGCGCTATCATGGTGGACAGAAGATTGCAGTGGTCCAAAACACAGTGGTATACAACATCATACTGCATCATTTTAGTATCAGCTCTAAAAAAACAAACAGTACAACACAAGTACTTACATAAAATCCACTTGCTTTGTGAGACACACAGTTTTTGGGCAGTGAACTCTGACAGGTTCTGGGACATCTAGAGCCTTTTCTGTCCCAAAGAGAAGATCACTGCACTTTCAGAGACTGTCCAGATCCAACCCCTCTAAAACAAAAGAAATCTTTATTAATGTACTAGACATGCACTATGTACTAGACCGTAGACAATTAGATTTCCCTTTGGGGATAAATTAAATTTATTCTTATTCTTA